CGTATTGTATTTTCGATCGTTTTGTGTAAGCAATTGTTTACCTACCTATCTACCACCTGATGGTAATGAGATTTGATATCAATGACCTGTAAATAATACCAATTGTTTTTTTCCTTTCTTTCCATCTTTTCACATAAAATATTTTTTGATTTCAAATTGATAAACTAGCAAGTAATTTTCCTTTTAAATCTTTATCAATTTACTTTAAAAATTTATAACTCTTATTACTATCACTAATTATTATCAATTATTATTAATGCAGTATTAATTGATGATAGCTGATGTAAAAAGATCATGATAATTGATGATTATAAATAATGATGATGATATTGATGAAGTTTTGAAGAATGATATAGTAATAGATCATTTATACAAATAATTGCCTATAATAGAATAAATTCTTATGGATTAATAATAGAGGAAGAATAGCAAAGGTTTGTTTGAGTTATGAGTAAACAAAATAAATAATGAATGAGAGAAAATGGAAGAGAGAGTCCTCTTTTCTCTCTCTCTCTCTTTCTTTCTCCTTAAAGAGAGAAAAGGGACTATATAATAGCAATCAAATACCAATTTCCAAATATTAAAATGGAAAGACTTTTCAAAAGGCACAAAAAGAGGACAAACAACAATCATTAATGATATGATTATCTAAAAGAATGATTTCATTATATTTGTAATCCTTCGATAAACTTTTACTATCATTTCAATAATTAACATTCATCAAATTTGAATGTGTTAATTATAAAATGAAAAAAAGAAACAATCAAATTTTATGAATGCAATCATTTCTTTAATTTCAATAAACAAATCATATTATCATTTAATGATATATTATTTAATGATAAATAATAATTCGTTTATTTCAATCATTCATTCCTATTCCTTTTATTACTTCTATAAAATGAGAGAGAAAGAGAGAGAGAGAAGAAAGAAAGAAAGAAAATTGAAATGATTTCTTCAATCATGTTTGAACTATAAAATATGAAGGAGAGAGAAAAAGAAAGAATTCTTCAATTATATTTGATACTATAAAATGAGAGAGAGGGAGAGAGAGAGAGAGAGAGAAAGGAAATTAAAATGTATGAATAAACAAAAAAACAAACAAACAAACAAACTATAAATATTATATTAAAATTTTGCAACATTTTTTTCAGCAGTTATTTATTAATCATTCATTGTTTTTTTTCTGTATGACAAATTGAACAAAATTATCATTGAGATAATCAATTTGTTGTCACGCAAAAAGTAAGGAAAAACTTTTTTGATTAATATTTTATTTTAAAGTATAAAATAGGAAGATGATGTAGAAAATGCATCAATTTTTCTTGCATAAATTTCATTTGTTATATAAAATAAAATAAAATAAATTGAAAGCAAAAAGGAAAAAGGAAAATTATATATGTGAAATATAGCTAACGGTAATATAAATTATAATTAAAATGAAATGGATTTAAATTCAAAATTAGAAGAGAAAAAGAATAAAAGATTAAAAACAAAATAGATTTAAAAAGAAAATGAAATTAAAGAAAAAAAAGGTAATAGAAGTCAGAAAATACAAGTTTGATCTTTTCCGACAAATGAATCCATCTAAATTTTGTTACTGCTATAAATGCCAGCATTTAAATTTAATTCCTTCACTTTAACTGATCTCAATGCTAACGCGATTTGGAAAAAAAGCGAGAAAGAGGGAGAGAGAGGGAGGGAGAGAGAAAAGGGAGAGAGATTCTATAAAGATAAATGAAAGAAAAAAGTACGGTGATAAAAGAAGATAAGAAGATATCTCAATTAATGACAGCTTTAAAAATTTCAAAAAAAAGGATTTTAATTTTTTTCTTTTTAAATTCTATAATTTCTATGTATTTCTATTTCATGAAAAAATCATTTTTAATTTATTCCCTTTCATTTTTAAATCGTATGATTTCTTTTTAAAATTGTAATTCTAAAATTAAATTCTATCCTATTAGTATCTGCTTCCCTTTCTTGTATAACAATATCATAATATCCCATACTTTTTTTTGCTATCTCTAATATTTCTTTACCTAATTAGTATTAATTTATCTCTTGAATTTGCATATAAATTATAGAGAAGTAAATTTCTTCAACTGAATAAATATCATTATTACAAAGTAAGTATCAGTTTTTCCAAAGGATAATAAACAATTCATATTTCTTCCGGATAGTAGCAGAATAGCACCTTCCGGATATTCCTCTTGAAATTTCTTTTAAATAGCATCGGTATTTCATTCGAAAAAATAAGCAAATATTAGTAATTCTTTCGCAAGACAGATTTATATCAGTTCATTATAAGAATAATACTAATGACAGCCTTGTCATTCACCATTTTGCTTAAGATGAATATTTTGTTGAACAATAATCGAGAAAAATAATTGCCAAATATAGTGATGTATTAAATTGATAAATGATAATAATCCAACAATATTTCAGTGAAATTTTTTTCCTTAAATTTCCTATAATCTTTTATTGAGTCTAAATTTCTGATCAAAATTTTTAGTCTACAATAAATTATGTTTTTAACTTGTCATTCACTTTCCCGTCGTATCGTATCGTCGTGATCATAAAAAGATAAATACCGTAATGAATCTAAAAGACAAGAAAATGTTCAAATTATAAATGAAGATTTTAAATGTCACTTTTTCTTAAACAATAAGCGATAATTGTTGATGATAAACTGTTAATAAAAAGCCATTAATGGTAAACTATTAGTGATAACCATTAACAAAGATCTTTAGATGAATAATAACAATGAAAATTGTTGCAAAAGAAAAGAAGACAGAAAAAAAAACGCATCATTAAATTTAATCGATGAAATTTATCACGAAGGATAGTAATTTCTCTTTTGAATTGAATGATAGGGTGGTAATTTGAAATTGTCAAATTGTTGGCATTATTCTATTTTATAGCATATAAAATTAACACCATATAAAAACATTAACACCATATAATTAACACCATATAAAGCATTAACACCATAAATTAACACCATATAATTAACACCATATAAAAGATCATATCGTTTTTACCTTTATATGTATTCAACGAATTGTTTCATTAAATTATTTCCATCTTTCACTCTTTCCTTTTACCCTTTCAGTCAATTCAAATTGTGTTAATTTATTTTTCGTATATTTGAATATTTCGAATTTAATTAAAATTCTATGCATGTAATGTTAAACATGCATATCTATCAAATTTGCTGAAAGTATCCTTCGCTTGCAACAATGCTGAATTTGAAACATTTCAAAATTATTTATAAAAGAAATTAGTTTTATCAATTTTTTTCTGATTATGATCTTAATAGATTAAATACCGAGTTTTTCTTCGGTCCAATGAAATAATGTGTAAACTTAGTAATCCTTAAAAAATTTGATTTAAATGACCTTTGTATAAAAATTGTACAAATTATATAATTTCATCACTTGGATGAGCCTTATTACATCGGCTCTAAATGCTACTATGAATTTTTCAGTATAATGGCACCATGTAAAGTTCCAATCTTTCAGTAAAATTATTAGCATAAGTTTCTGCATGCATCCTCTTTATCGTATTTAAAACATTTTTATAAAAATTTCTTGCCAAAAATTTGCTCCAAATTTAATTCAGGAATTTTTATAATTTCCAGAACAATTACTGCACTATTACTTAAAATTTAAAAAATCTTAAATAGTAATTGGGAATTTTTTAATTGTTTAACAGTTTCTCTCATCACAATTTAAAATTATTTAAAAAGAAAGAACGAATCATTCGGTGTTATTTTATAAATGAATGGATCGATAAGTAAAATATTTAATTATGGTTCAATATAATGTCTCCTTATTATCTAGTTAAAAACAAGCAAAGTATTATTTAAGAATTTTAAGAGCAAAACTAAATAAGACTAATTGTTACCTTAATCAATTTCATAAGGAAAGACAAAAAGTTGAATTGAAAATTATAAAGATGTCCTATAATTTAGAGAAGAGAAAATAAAGAGCACGTAAAATTATTTTAGGATAAATTGAAAGCATTTGAGATGAAAGTGAACATTTGCTTACTATAATATAATCATAAATTCATACATCGAATCATTATTCCTTGTTTTTCCAGGATTTTGTATATAATTAAATAAATTAAAATAATGTGAAACAAGACAATGAAAACTATGAAGAAAACAATAAACCATTTATGCTGTTATAAATGCAACTTTTACAATTTCAATGCATAAAAATTCACTAATGCTTTATTAAAAAATAAAAACAAATGAAACGAAATAAAAAAAGAGTGAAGAAATGAACTTATGATAACTGTAATTGATGAATATCAGCAATTTTCATACACTAATAAGTAAATACGCCATTTTGGAAAAATTCAAATCCATATTCGTGGTATACATGCATCATATAGTATATGTTTACTAAAATATTTGAATTTAACTATTAACGAACCTTTTTACTATCTTCAATAAGTCAAAAGAAACAGTAATAACAGTAATAAAACGAAAATGCAAAACACATAAAAATAAGAAATTATAAAGAGAGAATTTACGGATAATTTGATGAGAAGGTCAGTAGTAAGACTTTAAAAAAATACATAATAATTGATGTAAAAACCTTTCACATTGATATGTATTAATTAAAAAAATTAAATCCTTGAATATACGATTGATGAGGGAGCCGAATTTGGAATTACATTAAATTTACTCTGTTCTGGTCAATATTTAATATTGCATGTTTTCATATTAACCGTATAATTGAAGACAAAAACTATTTTCCTGTATTTTGCATCCATTACGCTGATAACTTATCTATAAACAAGGATATATCTCTTTAATTTAATCAATCGTAATCATTTTTTATAAAATTTAATTCAAATTATTTGCTTCTTCATATTATGCTTTCCTTCAAGAATTTGAAAGCAACAAAATACCACTGAAAAATCGGTAATATTCAGAAATCATAAACAGATTTAAAAATGCATGATAAGTAGTTATCCAAAATCTACAATTATTTCTTGAGCAATTCTTCTTGGTTGAAGATAATCAGAAAAAACCTGATGACAGGTGCTATACGTTTTTGTTTTGTTTTTTCGTACCTGCAAATATAGTAATACTGAAAATCAACAGTATCCTTTAAAGAAATATAGTTTCAAGAAGAAATTAAAATCGACAATTAACATACCTAATAAACACCGCGAAGAACGTTTAACTGCTTGAATCGCAATGTGCTCGAAGCCACCAAGCAAGAATTGAGAACCAAGAAAGATAGTAATTGTCAATATTGCTAACAAATATTGCAAATGATAGTAGAAAAATGAATACATTAAGAATACTGATATAAATACCCAGAATATCACCACAATCCCGTAAACCACAGTAAATTTGGCTTTTGTTAGCTGCAGAATATTAGCACCATTTCATTCACAAATTTACGAAGATTCAAAGAGATCTTTTGAGTTCAAATTCCTTCGCATTTAAAAAGGAAATTAAGCTGATGACAAAATTGTTCGCTTATACTTAAGACATTCTTATTTCATAAATGTGATATTGAATTTTTGAACATATTCATAGCATAAAATTTTAAACATATGAATTCTTAACACTAAAATTTCACTGGTAGAGAAGCACTTTGATCGGAAGTATATGTCATTACAATGATATAGTAAAAGCTTACTTCAAAAACTTCATCATAATTTGAATCAGTCTTAAAAGCTCGGTGTTTGGCGTCATCGGAATGATAAAATTGTGCAAGTTTTTCCTCTTTTGTCTTCCAACGATTCGTAAGCCACAGTGCAATAAGTTCATCATTTTCGGATAAACTATCGACATCGATTTTACTCACATGAAAATGAATACTCTTCGGGCAAGAACCATTGGAAAATAGTTCGAATTCGGACTGTACAATTGCATCCGCATAAGCAACTGTCACATCATATATGTTCTTTATGTATCCTACTGAAATGATGTCACTTTGATGAAATTGGAAAAAGTCAATCAACTAAGCGGAAGAATCTTCCGGTCCGGCAAAGATACGAAACAGAAGATGTAAAAATTTATGAAGCAAATTAAAATCAAACTGAAAAAACTATTTAATGTTAATCTACTTCAAAATTAATTTGATTTCATTTAATTAAAGACTATAATTAACCTTGTCGCATTTTTTTCAATATTACTGTGAATCCCGTTGTTCTAGGATGAAGCACATAACTATAATGGACTAAACCCTGTTTCAGCGCAAATTTCCGACTTTTTTCAGTTGCTCGGTAATCTTTATCGGTTCCTTCAGGGAAAAGAAGCAGCTATAAGTATAGAACACAATGATGGTACATTATGACGAGATATGGTATAGATGGATGTAAGTACTGATATATTGTTAACTATTCTCTTTACTGACAAAAATTAAACACGACTTACAAGTGGTGGAACAATGGATAATGCTAATATTTCATTTCACTTATTAAATAATGATATCAAATCAGTTCCTTACCTGATATGCATGCCTCGAATTGGCGTAATAATCGATCATTTCCTCAATATGCGCTAGATCATTCTCAAGGCGCCGAGTTAAAAACAAATAAGCGTTCAAAGCCATAGCCCAACCAGCTCCAGGTAAATGTCTCACTATTGCCTGTTATAAAAAGTCAATAAGTTATACAGTCATTTCTCCATTTCTGGCAATTTTTGCTTATTTTGTTGGAACAACCGCAGTCTAACATATTAAAGCAAGAAATTCTTCATAAAATTATTACTTGCCATATTTTAAATTATTCTGAACAGAGCTTTGCTACCAAAACATTACTGAAAAATTATTAAAAACCACTGTAATAAGGAAAATAACGCCAGTATATTCTAAACTCATTAATAATAAATATGATTTAGATTAAAACAAATTATTCAACAGAAAACAATTTAAAGTGTTGAAATTATTGCAAGCAAACCTTTAAAGATATTTTTTGTGATGTCAAAAGCCAAGGATCTATCCGAATCAAAGCATTCCAAAAAAACAGCCAATCTAAACATGTCCGATGGTTCATTATAATCAATGCTGGTTCACTGTGGTCTATTTTGATACCGGATACTGTTACACGTGCACCAAAAAAAAATTCAATAAGACCCTGAAATGAGAATTAGAATATGAAGAATAGTTAAAGACCAAAAATGGCAAGATATTTCTTCATTTTATTTGCCCTATGCATTCATCTCACTCATCCCCTTCTTATCAGAACCTTTCATAGCTAGTTTAAAAAAATTTCAAATAGAAAAAACAAATGCAATGAAACTAGAAAGAAGATAGAGAAATGACTCAACCATGATTGAAATTCAATGAATATTATAAAAGATGCAAGTAACACCATACTATACTAAAAGAACATTTTATCTGTGAAAGAAAAAGAATAAATATAACCGTCATTCTCGGAAATCAATATATTTGTTTAATTACTTTCGAACTACTGCTACATTTACTTAAATAAGAAGGTAAGATAAGAAAATAAAATGAAACTTACGCATGGCATAAAAATCCAAAAGCCAATAAGTCGATCTACCGTTCGCCTCCACAATGTATGATTGAGAAATATTAAAGGTAGAAGTGGAACAAGAAAATACATTGAACTTAATATTGCAGATAATATGATAAAAGTACAGCAAAATACACCCCTAATTTTCATCCACCATGTTGTATGCATTAATTTTGATGGTTCACCCATTCGATAATCACAAAAAAATCTTACCTGAAGAAAGAATTATTTTAAATATTAAATGACACAGAAGATGAAAATCATAAATTATTCCATTCTTCCATGTTTTAAAAAAAATAAAGGCGGAAAATGATGAAATAAAGAAATTAATTTTTTATAATCCCAACTTCTTCTGCCTCTCATATCTAATTGTTTTGTTTATTTAAATTTGTAAGAGTAAGCTTTCAAACATCACATCAATAGTATGATTTTTTCATTGCCTTTAGCTTCCGGATCTTATTTATCAACATTTAACTCGATGCAATAATTCCTGCAATGTTTTCAAATTTAATTTACAATATAATATTCAGAAAAAGCGAAAGATTGAAAGTGTTTCATCGCCGATAAGAAATTACATCATCTTCGTCAACAACACTCATTGATTCAAATGGATGAATAAATGTAAAACAAATAAATATTATCAAAATGACCATTTATATTAATAACATATTGAAATATGATTATGCTGATTTTAAATAAAATTTTAATAAAGAAGTTATTTTGGATATTTAGTATGTCACCAATGTTTTTATTAAAATGACTTAAGTTTGTAAGAATTGATAAAATGTCAATGATATGTCAACGAGAGAAGCACAGATGAATAAGGAATGATGAAAAATTAAAAGGATAATGAAAGAGAATAATGTAGAAGGATGCAAGAAGAATAATAAACATAATTAAAAATATGGGGAAAATATGAAAAGATTATTACTGCTAGTACTTCATAAAACATATGAATATGATGACGATGATAATAAATAATAGGACATTGATTAATAATAATAGAGTGATAACAATGGGTAACCGATAATTAATAAATAATAAAAAACTAAATCTATTATCATATATACTTCCTAAAAATAATTTTATTTCACTTTTCTAAAAATTTTAAAGTTGCATAGATACTTTCTAAATATAATTTAATTTCATGGTACAAATAGCGGCAAAAACAACAACAACAAACAGTATAATTTAATCAACAAACAAAAAATAAATAAATAATACAGTTTTCTAATCAGAAACTTAACACAACAATTCATAATAATTATATCGTATAAAGTATATAGATATGAATAATTGTTGCTAAATTATTTATTCGAAAAAGTAATTTAAAAAAAGTCTACGAGAAGTTCGCGTAATTCATCATTGTTACATAATTTAATGATCGATGTAGGTGAAATGTTTGATTTTGATTCAATTGAATGTGTTCGCTGATAACATATGCAAAAAAAATTGCCGAATTCATTTTGTATATAACGCCATCAAAGAACTGATTTATTAAATCAATTACTATTTGATATGAAATAATTTAAATTTATCATTTTAAATGAACGTAAGAACTTTCATCATTCGGTTTTACTCTCACTGTGATGGATAAGGAGAATTAGGAAGATAAACTATTCAAATAAAGACCATAAAAATCAACTTTTAAACGGAACTACCAAAACGACTAATAAAAATTAACTTCCATAAATGAAATTATCAAATAAAAGCTAATGAATTTGAAATACTATCAACTGTATTGCTGTCGCTACCTTTAATTATCTTTCATCGCGATCCGCAACTATCCTCTAATATCATACTTTAACTATTAGTGTATCATGCTAATAGTTAAAGTATAAAATTTTAGGCTTTAGCAAAAACCTTAATAGATTTTCTTTTGCTAATTTCTAGAAAAAGAATTTTTGACTATTATTTCAAGAATTGACATACTTATCTTGCTCTCTCTCTATGAAAAAGATATGGAACAGAAAAGAAAACCTATTGAGGTTTTTGATAAAACCTAAAATTTCACACTATTATTAAAATAATTGATGGAATAAAATGAAATCAATGCTTAAAGTTAATTAATGAGAATCGATTTTTAACCATTGAATGAAAAATATCCCAAAATAAATCATCGATATTTCATGTCATTACCAATCGTTTAACTTTCCAATCATATCCTCATTTTAGCATATATATATATATATATATATGTATATATATATATGTTTATCCATTTATTTCCTAACAATTGAATGATAACACCTACCAGCACTTGTCCTGCGTTTGTTTTGCCAAATGCTCATCGAATTGATAAAGTACATTTACTTGAAATGGATTAAAATTAAATTTCATATTGATCGAGCAACAAGTAAACAAAGAAAAATAAAAAGGAAGAGAAAGAAAGTAACATGCAACCTATTAGAAACCTTGCAGTAACAGACTATTATCATCACAAATGAAAAGAAGAGAAAAACTTTGCCAATAACGAAATTTAGTGACTGTCCGCATCTTCTCCTCCTTTCTCTTTCTCTCTTATCTCTTCTCTTAAATTTTCATCTTTCTTATACGGCGGAAAAAAATTTTTGTTCAAACATAAATTGAAGAAAATTTTGCTGAAAATTTGATTTAAAGATCAAAAGAAATTGTTAGAAATGAGGAATATAAAAGCAATTTTATTAGATTTCTAATTTCCAAATTGAAATGACTGAGAAAAAAGTGATATTTTTTATCTTATAAAAGTATAAACTAATAAGTGTAATAATAACCAAACACAAATTCTTCTTGCCTATAGAAGTGATAAGGAGAGAAGTGATAAATTTTAATATCAGCCAAATTTGACTTTGATAGTATATATTAGTGTTGCAAAGGAATTATTTATGCAACTAGTAGGATAAATGAATATCTGATAGTAATAAAAATATGAGTGCAGTAAAAATATCTAATAGAGAGAAATGTTTCTACAGCGTGATGTGATAATATCAGCTAAAACATATAATCTTATAAATTGATGAATTTTTGATCTAAGCGCTATTTATTGATAATTTTTGTAAGTGCTATTTATATTTTCAATCATAGAATCTCAATAAACATTCTTCAAGAATGTTCATATTTCTCCAACGCTTTGTTTCTAACTAAATAGTTATCCATAGATCATTTAATTGGCTAATTACATATGATACGATGCAACATGTTGAAATTGTCCTATGCAAAGAGGCAAGAAAAATATGCAAAGTACTTGGAAATAGATGAATTTTGGGATGCTCAAGACAAGTAATGAAACGAAAGAGCAATTGCAAATTACTTTATGCTATATATATATCTTTCCTCTTTAAAAAAAAAGATATATATATATATATAGTATATATCTTTCCTCTTAACAGATGCAATAAAAGTCAACTAAAATGTTACATACGTCCCAACACACAATTCAAATCAGTGAAAAAGAGTCCCATGTTAAAAAAATATATATCTTTTTTTAAAAAAAACATTCTTGCTGCAATGAATAATCGAAAAAAGCAATATGTTCTACAAAAGTAAAACAATATTAAGTTAATAAAATGAGGTAATATAACATTAAATCATGAAATGACTGAAATTGTTCGGTAAGTACAAATATTCAGAAATGAAGTATTCCACAAAGACTTCAGATTTCATCCATTTTGAGATAAAACATTCAGCTTTTCGAATTTGAATATGATGGAATTCCTCTCGCAAACTTTTTTCCATGGTAAATATATCATGTATCCGCTCAAAAACAATATGCCTTTCTCACAAACATTTACGAGAACGATTGAAAAAACAAGTATAAGTAGTAATTCTGCTATGAAAAACAAGATCTCGAGATGAGAAGATCATATAACTGATACAATCGTACATAAATATCCTGAAAGCGGTTCATAATTTTCAAACTATACCATTTATATGCTCAATTGCTGCCAACCAACATTTAGCCGTATTTTTTTTTTTTGATTAATTGAAGCCACGAAAGCATAACTGTCATTTGACGCTCATCGACATTGCCGTATTATTAGAATGTATCTTAGCTGGTATAACATGAAAAAATGTTACAAGAAAACGGAAAAAGCAAAAGTTCATACAATTTTGCATATTCTGAAGAAAGAAGTACTACAGATCAAAACATTCCTTCGAATATAAAACATAAAAAGTAATAAGTGTGTGTACTTAAATATTATCCAAAAACTTAATTAATTTGCCGTTTTTGTTTAGATAATTGTAATGCCAAATTTTGTACACCTGCATATTGCCAGTGACAATAGACGTAAAAAACGCAAGCAAAAAATACGTAAATTCTGACAAAGGGAAAATAAATGACGGAGTAAATCCATATTACAGATATCGTTGTCCAGAATGAAAATGCACAATAATATCCAATAGCTGTCGTACTCACCTGAAACAATACGATGATAGCAAAGCTTGGTTAGATCATACAATGTTCTTTTAACGCTATCATCAAATCATAATTCTTAAGATTCTGCATGAGTTCGGATCACTTCAAATATTTTAAGTAGAATATGTAAGAAGAAACGAAAATAACCCAAATAAAAGAGAAGAAAGAAGAAAACATATTGAAGAAACAAAAAGTTTTTTTTCTCTTCTGTTTTTCTTTTTTCTAAAAGAAAGAAGAGAAAGAATGAACTGCTGAAGGTCATAAATATGTCAGATTTATTTTTACCGTGTTTTAATGTCATCTTGGTCCGTGGTATTCTCATTTCTCCACTAATCACTTATCCCTCTTTTTTCATTTGGAGCATGGGATCACAAGTTTACATTGAAATCTAGATTTTAGTCTATCACATAACATTAGTTTCAATTCCAGTCTCGCACAATCATTTCGAGAAAAAAAGAAAGATAAATGAAATTCTCTAGTTTTTAGCAGACAGCCGCAAGAAATACTAACCGGCCAATTATTTTTCCCACTGCAAGGCAAGAATTTCCTATGGGCAATGTCAGTCTTATAAAAATTCGCCAGTCGATTCTCTTTCTCTCTCCAAATTTTATTGATCCAATCAGCCAAACCACAGTCATCTTTAGGTAAATCATTTTCTTTATATCTCTTTACATCGAAATGTACAGCGTGCGGAAAGCGGCCCTTTTGGAGTACTTCCAGCTCTGAACTGACGATATCATCTGGATATCCAATCGTTATGTCGTAAATATTCTTTAAGTAACTTTCTGCAGTAAAAAATCAATATATTCCAGACATGCTATGTAAAAGTAATGATTAAAAAGATTGTTCCTTATCACCAAAATATATCATACAAGAATTCTCTCAAACATCAGAAAGTCAACTAACTTTGACGCATCACTTGTATCATATAAGAAAAACCCGTCGTACGGGGATGCAAAACAAAGTGGTATATCGGTAAACCGTGTTGTATCGCAAATTCATCGCTACGCTTTGCAGCTCGTTCACCACGATCCGTTCCTTCCGGAAAAAGTAAAATCTGAAAAAATTAGGTATGCCATGCGAAATAAAACGATTAATTATTTTATAGTAAGCTACTTAGGAAAAATGAAATATTAAAGTTATGCAGGTAATTCAGCAACAATGAATGTTATGTAAAAACTAAAATAAATTAATTGGAGAAATAAATGTTGACACCAACAAAAAAAATAAAACATCAAAATAATGTCAACTTTAAATGATAAGTTCTCAAATTTTTTTCTCCGACCTAGTAAAAAAAGATTTGGTAACAAATAGGATAGTCCAGACCATATATTTCTTCGCATGCAAGCAATGTGGAACAAAAATCAAATCAACCTGATAGTGACGACCCAAATCTTTGTAATAAGTGATCATGTCACTAATGGTATGAGCATCATTTTTATAGTTACGTTCTAGGAACAAGTAAGCTGCGCACTGCATTGCCCATCCTAAATTTCTATGAAATTTCACCGAAAAAAAGGACATATTTAGTGGAAGAAGGCAGCAAAGATAGGTAAAAACAATGGATTACTATAAGTTGAAAATTAGTAGAAATACTTATAAAGGGAATATTTTCTCTCAGCGATTCATAAAAAAAGGCATTACGATAGGCATTTTGGGGGGAAAACTGTAAATTCGGTTTTTCAAACAGAATTTCCTCGAATCAAATCAGCAAGCTATGCTTCAAACAATAATGAGAGCACAAGTTTTCAAAACTTGTTGCTCTATCGGAAAAAAAACGGTAAAAAAAACCTGCTCCAGGTATATATTCCAATGCTTTTTTCAATGATATTTTCTCAGTTGTAAGTAGCCATGGATCCATTTTGTAAAGTGCATTCCAAAAGAACATCCAATCAAGTCTCGTCCTGTGATTCATGATAATTAACGCCGGTTCGGAGCAATTTATCATATCTCCAGTGATGTGAAATTCCATTCCCAATATGTAATCACATAACGACTGCAAAATTATTTGCTTAACTTGAAAAAAAGACGTAATAAAAGCTTAATTGGTGAAATGAGAGATTAAGAAGCACTGTATTCAATTAGAACTCAACCATAATTAAAATGCACCTTAGAAACTTAATGAAGAAATAATAATGGCAAGTAATATCTAACGAACATATTCTCAAAAAAGCAGGAAGAACAATGTCATGTATCAGCTTTCTGAAATCAAATGGACTGATCAATATATAATCACCAGGCATACCAACGATGGAATATTTCATGATAAACTTCGATGTGATATCTTCATATCAAAGTCCGATCAAATAATCCGATCACTTTTATATTTCCATCCAAAATGAAGCTTATCATACACTTTTTCATCTAGTATGCCCAGTGATTATGTTGAAATTTCATTTTTAGCTGAAACATATGAATTTTGTATATCATATCGTTAGATATTGAAATGAGGGAAACTTTTTTTTGGACTTACCGAAGGTAAAAATAGCCAATAACCAATGAAACAATCAGCAAATGTACGCCATAACGAAGGAGCAAAATATATGAGCGGAATTAATGGAAATAGAAGAAATATGGAACCAAAAAAAGATGATAAAAACAATAATAACCAGAAGAATAATCCTGTTAGATTCGGTAAACCCATTATATATTTGTTGAAAATGATATTTACAACAACCGCCAAAATGGCCACATTATCGATTATTTGCAATGAGAATAATATTAGTCCTGAAATTTCATTAATGTTGCAATTTACTTCCTTTTAAAAAAAATATTTTTACGCAAAAAAAAAGTTTAATTCAGCAAATTTCATGAATATCCTAGATAAAGCTCATTCATTCTTTACCTATAATTTTATTTAGTACCCTAAATAACAGTTATATCGATAGAAAATAAACCACAATAGAATCAATTATCAGTAAGAAAATAAAAAGTAACGTAAGGGAGAGAGAGAGAGAGAGAGAAAGCAACGAGCATAACTCAATGCTACCAATTCATCATCGATTTAGTTCATTATATATGCCATTTTTGGGTGAAATAATTCAATCCATTTGAATATTTCAAATTTTCTCGTAATATCATATTAAGCTAAGATATTGTTACTTTTCTTCATCACTAAATATTATCATTATTTTGACATAATTTATAATTAGACATCAGAACTTTAAGCATTTGAAGGAAATTTCTTTGATAGAATTTCACAGTAAATTAAAACAATGTGCCTTAAGGTGAATTCTATGAGAAACAAGCAATAATTATATTGCTTTTTTCATCACTCTCTCTTCTTCCCTCACCTGTTTCATTTGTTAAATTAAGATCGACTACCTCTTCCATCTCTCATTAACAGTTATGTTTTTATTATTAAGATCGCGAAAATGTTTCAGGATAATTTCGTAACTCACTAGAGTCTCTCTCTACCTAGATATAAGATTCTCAAAGTTATTAATTTTAAATCCGCGGGTCAGGTTATAATTGATTTCAATGACGCAATCTTCACCTCATCCTTTTTTCCAAAAAATTGATTCTCCCATAATCATTCCTATTCCTATATTGTGATGAAGCATTTTGAATAAGTGAATTTATATCATTTCAACAGTAACGAATGAAAAATAATACAGAGGATGATGAAGATATATGAAAATAGTTGCAATCATTTTTTTTTTCATTGAATTTAATTTTTCACAGAAATTAAAATTAGAAAAGATATTTACAAAATTCATTGGAATGACTGGCAAGAAAAAAATACTTGACAATAAATCAGATAATATACACAACTGTGCTATTCATTTAAGAATGCAAGGGTTATTTATTGTATATACACATATGCCTGTATATTTCTCACTATTATTTTCCGGAAAACTTTTAAAACCCACAAATATTTTTTACGATCCACAGCAAGAAAATGAAATCTTTGTTTAATTAGTTCCGAATATGATTCATCTTTTCAACTAGTGTACTCTAGAGAATTACCTAACTGACCAAAGGCTGTTTTTTAGAAGAAATGCTTATTATACCAAGCAGATCATTGCAAAAAGACCAGTGGTGTTTTCGAATAAATTATCTAGATCAGATGATACGAAATGAAATCAAAATTGACAAAGGATAAAACACTTAAAAGTTAAATAATGCTGAAATTTACACTAACGGAAGAAAGCGAGGACATGGATTCAACGCATTTTGGAGTAAACGACGGTACCTTATTGAATAAGATAAAAGAATGAGAAATATTTCAGTTCTCGAAGAAATAATAACCGGTATTATCAAATGCATAACAAATTGGAAAACAAACAAACATATTACACAATGTTCAGGTATCAGTATTACAAAATCCAGGATTAGAAGGTGAATGACAAGAATGAATAATAGCAGTTCAAAATAGCTAACATCCTTTGTTTAAACGTCAACGATCCACAATGGAATCCACATAAGCCCATCCAGCACCTAATCAACTACTTTGCAATCCCTACATATTTTTCCATATGCTAATAACTGTAACAACAGTAACCGCATATAAAACACTGATTTATGGTAGCTGTTCAGAACAATACATTCAAGTCAAAAGAAAATCCAGTGACACTTCATATGTAGTCTACCCAGTAAACAATACCAAATTCCTCGTTTTCTCCCTAGAAATGACATACAGTACCAAAGGTTATTATGAGTAAATCGTAATATCGATCAGGTAGTACGACAGAAAATTTAACGGTAGATCCTACCATCCCTCAAGCGATGAACTTATATCCCAATTCATATGCATGGATCTAGATACATTTACAGTAATATTCAGATCAAAAAAACTTGTTCCTAATTATCACCACGACGGCTGCTTTTGCAGGGTGGTGAACGACTAGGAGAATGTGCGCGTACAGTAAATATTCCACTCCTGGTCGATCCCATTTTAAATATGCTTTGTGACAACTGCATATTTTCTGGCACTTTTGGTCGTCTTTTGTTTCCCAACTGGTGTAAATTAAACCCATGCTTTTCAACTTGTGTCGCTGCCGAACAAGTAAAGTTTCTATCAACAACTGCTAATGAATGAGTGTTCTTCTGTGATATATAATGCATGTATGGATTGTTGCTGCTAGTATGTCTGAAAAAAAATGGTTTCAACGAATATAAATAGGCTTATTTGTTATCCATACTATATTAGACTACTTGAAATATAATAGGAAATTCATAAAAAGTCAACATTTCATACATACAGCTTCAGTAAGCAGATAACAGATATATATATAGTACATATATCTTGATATATTTTTCTAATTAAAAAAAACTTTTTTCAGTGACTAAAGACATACAATACAAATAACTAAAGCTTTTCTTAGTGGAACTCATGTTAATGAAAACTAAAATGCTGCTGAACGATTTGTGCTGCTTGAGGTTGGATGCTCTCCTAAATATTCCCATTACTAGAATAAAAAAATAAAGAACAAAGCAAAAGAAATGCCATTGCTTGGAAAACACAGTAGAAACATCAGATCGTGCTAAGACAACGTCGAGAACTTAAAACAAATCATTTGTCGCGGACACTTCTATTAAATTATAATTAATGTCGCTTATAATCTTTCTCGAACGTTGTGAAAATTAACAATATTTATATGTTCTTCAAATGATAAACTTGCTTAGTTGATTTTATTGCATTACTTCTATCTTTACCACCGAACACGGCTGCCAAATTTCCAGGTGTCTTTATCGATTGATGACATGGCAATGCGAAGTCTCTGTTGACATCGGAACAATGCAGGAACAGCTTATTGATTGGCGTATTGAAATTTGATAAACTTTGCTATAAGTGTATGTGAAAATCACATGATTCACACTAAATTCGTCAAAAACCATAATTTAAACTAAAATTTTTACACTTACTACTTTTTAAAACTAGAATATTAAAAATTCCAATAAGTGAATAGGATGACCTTCAAACTGTATTACTTAAAAACTTGGGGAAACAAATTTATGGCATAGATTAATAAAACACAAAAAATGAAAAGATGCAATTGTTTAACCTTACTCCGTCTAGCGACGGCACACTATTAAGAGGTTCGCTTCCAAGCGAAAAACTGTTTTCTTTGTTCAGCTGCTCCTGTAGAATAAACTTTTCATTACATGCTTTCTTTTCAGGCCAAACAATAAAAAATTACAAACATTTCAGTCAAAATCTCTACTTCTAAGTATTATTTTGAGTACCCTTTCGAGTAGTCACTTTCTGCATTTGTTGCATTAAGCATTATTTTAAGATTACTGATATAATTACTAATATAATTCATCGAATTAATGCTGAAAAGCATAAATAATTAATACGAAGGAACATTGATATATTTTCTCCCAAATACCAAAATTACTAATGTAACAATAGCTATTATTCATGGTTCCCACTCTTTTCATAAAACAAGTATTAAAATAAATGTTAATAAATGTTACGGAAAAAATAAAGTTTTTACGTTATTGCCTTGAGATGGATGGGGTTGCAAATCCACTGATCCTAAAAACTCAATTAATAAATTTCATTTTAATTTATTTTCGTCAATGTATCGATTAAATAATCTTTTTGTGTGCCATATTGATCATACCAAACTTCATCCCTTCTTTTTTTCTCTTTAATTTTCGTCCAAATAAAAAACATACCTGATTTGTCGGCATTATCACTGACGTCTCCAAAATATTTCAAGCTTTGTGTACAATCCGCAAATGAATTATTCAAACGCTGTAACACTTCGTAATGGTGCTGTATATTAGTCACCAGTGAGTTTGCATTCCTAAATGTTAAGATGGGCATCAAAAATCTCAAAAAAATTTAAATGTTTGTTTGCTTCCAATAGATATCAAAAAAGTGACACTACAGATAGATTTATAAATAATATGATGAAAGAGGAAAAGCAAGGCGAGAGCAACAGTTCACTGTATCTGTAGCAATGATTGAGAATTAACATGAATAAACTTTATCTTCGGCACCCTTTTGAAATTTTAAGTTAAAGGCAAAGATAATACATGTACCAAGTAACAAACCTCACCTCTCCAAAAAATTGCACATCTTTGCAGTTTCCTTACATCGATCAGCTACATTATTTATCTGTCCATGCTAAAATTAAGGAATCCAAATTGGAAGTTTTTTGAAATCAACATTTGAGAGCAATCATAGCAGTTGGATGAAAACATGTCCGTAGACGAAAGTTGGACCTGTTCTCTTCGTGAATCTAAATAACTATTCATTTTTCAAAATTATTGCAGATATGCACATTTTCTTCATATTAGCAGGAAAAATAGAGTTTTAAACAATGAAATACATTTCGACGTGGGAAGATAATACGTTAGATCTCACTCATAGGCGTATTTGCCATCCTCTATCATTCATTCTCTCAAATAATGGTTTCTAAGGATTATTGAAGTTATAATACAAAGTAAGGCACATTTCATCAATATTTTCCAGTAGCTGATGAATTTTGCTTTGCAATATAAAAATAGAGAACTTTTTTTTTGGAATACAATATTTTTCTTAAAAAAGTCTCAAAGTTTTCTTAACAGATGTAATCAAGATTTAATGGTAAAAAGATGCAAGCCGAATTAATCAATACTATCTACCAAGGAATTATATAACAACCCTATAGCAAATGATCATTGTCAACTCTAGAGCATGAAATCACCACTACGGCTAATACTGCCATCTTAATAGTGTATAGGAAATTATTTAAATCAGTGAAACATTTTCGGAAATAACTATACCCCAAAAACGCAAAACTTACCATGCTGTTCACATTCTCTCGCATTATCCTATACTGATTCTGCTGGAATTTGATGACAGAATTTACTTTTCGTAAGGCATTTACCAGTAAAGTATTAGGTGTCTGAAATACCATTTTTGTTTTCATTTTCTTCGAAACAAATTTAATTAAAATAACAAAGTCAAAAATTTGATCGACTATGTTATTAATACAAACCTGGAAATACTTCTTTGTTTTCTCACTCATATGGCGTCCCACACTTTCATAAATAAAAGGTGAATGACCACATACAGTACACATCTTTCCTGATACTGCAATAATAAATAGAACTACATGAAAAGGAGCTTACTTAATATAATTAATGGCAAACTACATTCAGGGTTCAGTTGCTTTCCAAGGAAGCGTATTTTCAACTACCGCAATCATATAATGTAGCAAATTTTCATCCATAAATTAATAAGAGCGCCCCCAGCACTGTGAGCATTAAATATGAAGTAAGATTTCATTTTGAATACAACAGCAGATAATGTTCCAATCAGAAGGAATGAGGAAGAACTCGAACTAGATAACAAAGAAAAGCAATATTGCTTAGTGCTTTGCTTGAAAGTATCAGAGGGGAAAAAATAATTCCATTTGGAATAAAACAATAGGATATACAATCTAATGATATCAAACGAGGAATAAAACGTTCCGTTATTTGGTAATTAATAACAGTTCCAGTTGAAATATAACCAATATATGCATAACCACAAGTAAAAAAAATAACTTTGATTGCTTGGTGAAATCTGCAACTTATGAATAACTGAAAAAGTATTATGTAAACGAACCACACTTGTCAAGACATGTAGAGCAGAATATGTGTCCACAGCTTGCAAGTGCAAAGTGCTCATGTTTGGTAGTATTTTGAGCAGTAGCAATCAAATAGCAATTATTGCAATGTACCCACGATAACGCCATCTGCAAAATCTTTTTAAATTAAATGAGATGATAAATATAAAGACAAAAAGATTCTCATACGGCAATCTACACCACTCTCTTGTTCATTATAAAAACACTGGAGAGATTATCTCATTCTGTAAATTAGTAATATAATAACAATACTACGGAAGCCTTCCAATGCAACTAAAATATTTTACTTTCCTGTAATCTGCATTTGCAAGAATAAAAACCGCCTAATATACTATTTTATTTAGCAATCTATTTCTCGTTTTTGATTTACTCATACTAAAACAAATCTTCAGCAAAATTTAACCCTGAATTTTCCCAGTCACCTATGTCTTTTACACCAACATTCGCTATTAGTAAAAGTACCCGCAGAATCTAATTACACTATATATGTCCTGATAGCATAACCGGTAAAAGTACCTTCTTGGAGAACTCTTCTGTATATTATGTAAAGAATATTACTTATCTGTTAGAAAGTGCCATAAGTATGTTTTAATTTTATACAAGCAGACTGAAATGATTAATTGGGATTTGAACACAATCAATGAACAATCTAGTGAGTATAAAAAAGGATAAGATTCAGCAACAAATTATCAGAACCAAATTACTTACAAACATATGAGCATGAAATTCCGTCCCTGACTTCTTTTATTTGGCAGTTAATTATAAGTTAGTACGTGATCTCATCAGCAAGCCATTGTGATTGAACAAAGTGAATAATGACATTTCCGAAATAATAACTATTATGTTTGACTAAAATCACGGAAGGGTAATGTTGAGGGATTTCGATAATCACGAACTGGTGACGGAGCCCGGTAACTTTTGCGTGAAGTAATCTCATCGCTTTTCGCGGCTCCAAGTAGGCGATCATATGGTCGCTTGGTTACGTCAAGTGGAACATCAGATCGTACCACACCATACGGATGCGACGGATTAGCTAAAATTCAGACAGATAATAGAAATTAACTAACCATGTGATGAAAGTAATATATAATCAGATATTTTTGCACTATAAGTGATAGTAAAGATTTATAAAATCATGGCATGGACAAGGCTGTAAAATGTCTGTGAAAGGTGGAGATGAGAAAGACATCATAAGCAGAAAGCTTACCGGTCCGTAAAGTTTTGGTACTGGAATACTGAATTTGAGAGGGATATTGACAATTTGCTGTTGGTGTATAAGATGCTGCTGACGCTGCATATGCCTGATATATACTTGCTTGCCGTGCTTCATCTGTGGTTGAAGAAAATATTATTTTCAATGAAAATACGTATTGTCATCATTGCTCATCAGTTATCAGCAAAATGAGAAAATCTTGTTAGCAAAATTCTCTTCCACCTTTTTAATAATTATTGCTCTGCTAAATACCTTCTAATTTCTAAAGGTGCGAAAAAAACCTATGTATTGAAAAAAAACACAGAGTGTTATTTCAAACATTCTTTCCTACGCTATTTTCTTTAAAAAATAATAAAAAAACGAAACTAACCATATGCTTGAACTTTCTGTAGAGCAGACAGTAGTGCAGGAAAAAATGTAGGATCCTTACTAGTCATCATCACAACGGCAAGAATAAAATCTTTTGGTGAAATCTGAGCCAACAAACCATCTAGATATTATAAATATTTAACTCTTTTTTGAGGTGCTTACATTTGTAACGAACTTTTAAATAAATTTTACACAATAGTGCAAGTTATCATTAACGTGAAAACAATTATATCTCACCTAATATGCTAATGTCCTTATAATATTTAGGCAATAACTATACCCAAGAGAGCATAACACTAATATAAAAAATCGCAGCTAATATAACATAAAACTGTGAATCATATTCAAAAAAAGGATGACAAAACATCGCCAATTCATATAATAAATTGTCTAAAATGACAAAACACACCTAATGTAGTATCCAAATCTTGCGGTGCGATTAAACTATTACGCTCTTCAATCAGTTGTCTCTGTTGTTCTTTGACACCTTTCTCCCATTCATTAAACTCCTCCACATACTTGTTGTAAGTTTCCGTACCACATTGCGCTCTTAAAGTAAATTAATTACAATGTCAAAAATTGCTCATTAAGAGAGCGACAGAATGCTCTTAACGTCAGTTTGAAGCTGTCAGATGCATGATTTACTGAGTGTCACAGAAATAGAAGAATTTTGTAACAAAATACAAATAAAAAAAGCTGAAAAAAACTGACAACTTCACGAGTAATAGTAATACCGGCACCATATTTCGTTAATTATTAGGATTAAGCGATATCCATAAAAATTCATATTATTCAATTCTTATAAATTTAAAAGAAATGTACATATTGTTCAGCTTCCATTTTTCGAACTTTTCTTTGTGTTCCACGTACTGTTGTTCCAATCGCCCCAGTGCAACTGTTATATGTGTAATCTGCAATTGCATTTAATAATATATTGAATAATAATGTTCATGATCTATCAAAAAGATAAAAAACCGCCAAGGATAGAAGTACCCGTTAATTGGAATATTTGATAAAGTATTATTTTAAACGGCTATTATCTGTATAATAATAGAAGTGGTCAGTTTTTCGAAAAAAAAATAAAATAGAACGTTTTATTCGAATTTCCCATGACTGCAGAAAAATTTTTCTAATTTATTCAAAAAAAGGAGAAAGTTATCATAGTGGTTCGATTGTGATAATTATTGATTTCTGATTTTTTTTGCAGAAAGATAAGAATATATCAAACACTTTTATGGGAAACTGCCTTAAGAAGTATCCTGAACGAAAAAATTACATGATTTAAGAGCCGTTGTAAAATATTAAACAACTTCGGAAAGTATGAAACCTAAGTCCAAGCAAAAATAACAACCTTGTCAGCCATCACAATTTAAATTGCGATTTTTGCAGAAATGCAAGAATGTGAAACCATCAAATCTAAATCAAATTAATGCATATCACATTATTTAACAACAAGCACGTTCCTATCATCTTTCCTCTATGTTGCTCCTTTCATGATGATAACTTAACCCACTCAAATGTAAAGCAAAAGTTTATGATAAATGGAGTCAACAAAACGTAACATATCAAAAGACACGGTGAATTCAAAAAGAAAATATATACAAGTGGCATTAGTTCCACTAATGTTTTGCGTGTATCATAATTATATGCAAAACATCAAGCAATTCAACAATATCTTCCCATATAAGGCAAACTCACACAACCGCACGCTGCAACTATAACGAGAGCACTATTCCCCACTACAAACAACGAAACCATCCTTAGCGACATGCTGTGTCACGTATTGACAAATTAACAGACCAGCGATGAGAAAATAAATGCCCGTAAACGTCTGATTGATCACATCATAGTGCGTTATCAGCGTTAATCGTGACGTCAATCCAACCTATGTTTGTTTCTCTTTAATTTGTAACAACAAATGATTTATAGAAATCTTTTCTGACGCTACTGACTTTACCAATAACATCATATCAGTAACAGCAATCGCGGACAGCGTTATGTTTCCTACATGTTTTGTGGAAAAATAATCATTACATCACGGAGTATTAAATCCTTAAATTGCCCAGTGTTTTTTAGAAGTTTCGCTCTTTAAAAACAGATGAAGTTTGTGTTATATATTATAACAATAATTGCAGAAGATCTGTTTGATCTTTAACATTTCGTTCATTCTTATCGAAAAGGTAGATGGTGGATTAATATGGTGGTCGAAATGCTATCGTATGGTATGCTTATCAGTGGTGCTGTTACCTTCATAGTACTTATCTCGGGATTCAAAGCTACTTATGGACGATATTCGCAGCAATCCCATTTACCGGTTTTTTTTTTTTTTTTGATCATTCTGACAATGATAATGGCAGTAGTATTGATGGCAGACCAATTGCGGTGGCAAAATTATTGTGGAAGTTTTAATAATATCAGTAGTAGCTAATAACTGATTAGCCAATTTAGAAATAGATTTTGTGAAGTGAACAAAAGACTAAACTGATTATGGTTAAGAAACCTTAGGACAGTACCGTAAGATTGTTATTGTACACAAATAATCAAGGCGACAAACGATAAATCACAAACGTATAGGAATTGCCGGTTATACTGTAAATGTGTTGAAGACATTGTGATAACATTACGAATAATTATAGAACAGTTAGAATGGAATCTTTAATAAATATGATGAGACATAAGAACCTTAAAATACATAAGAAATTTCACCATAATGTTCTGGTATCACGGTAAGTGAGAGGAGGTTTAATCAAATTTATTGCTATGCTCTACATGGAGGTTATTCTGCTGAGAACTAAAGAAATACCACTGAATTTGGGTACTAAACTAGGATCAGAGAACTGAACTTCTAAAATTGGTACAAGGGCACACTGTACACAACTTTGCTTTATTGTTATTATTACTATTATTTTGCTATCAAAACTGTTTTACTACGGCTTCTAGGAAAACTATTAATTTATGATGCCTCACTTTATCTTATTCAAATTATGTGTAGATAGACGAGAGAATTTCGGAAATAAATATCTAGCGTCTGTCTCTTTGTAAGATAATATTGAACTTGTTTGACAAGGCTGAACTTTGGGATAATTGCAAAGCAATGCAGTAGTCAACAGTTATAACAGTTTATAGAAATCCAAAACATGTTTATAGAACATAAATTTCCAGGTACCGTTTATACCGGCAAAATGGGCTTGGTTTATACAAGAATTACCATCATTATACATTCCCCTTCACTATCTTATTAATGGTATTAGTGATCTGCCTTTTATCAATGTATTTATCCTAATTTTGTTCTGCTCCCATTATCTCAACAGGTGCAATAATGCCTTACTTTGTTTTACTCTTTCGAAGAAGATATATTCGCCTAATATGTCATTTTTCTTTCTTTAAAAAAATATTCAGTTTTTTAATCTAGTCCTCTTTATTAAGGAAAGCTAGAACTCCATTTTGAATATTTTATGAATCTTACATATTTTAAAGTATGTTTTATGCAGTTCAGAGCCCTCATTTATCCACTCCTGATCAAGGGAAATACAGGAACTCCTGCGCATATTTTCCTATTAGCCTTTCTATTCTGCACATTTAATGGATATATGCAAGCCATATGGCATTCTCGTAACGCTGTGTATATCGAATCATTGAAAGATATCGTGTTTTGCTTCATTGGTAAGTAAACATTCATATTTTTCAGTCTTTTCTAGCATCTATACTGAACTTGGATATTATACCAATTATTCTAAATGGACAAGCTAATCTATTTCTAATAGCGATATCTTGTGGTACTTAATATATCTGTGCTCCCAGCGATACAACCTATATTATTACATTCTCCGTAAATATGTAATGTAACGTTTCACAAGTAATCTTGCAATAGGCACATTGACATTTATCATTGGAATGATGATTAATATCACATCTGATTCAATACTACGAAATTTACGACAAGATGGAAAATCAGGCTACAAAATACCTTATGGTGGTTTGTTCAAATACGTCTCCGGAGCAAATTTCTTTGGGGAATGTGTCGAATGGACTGGTTATGCCTTATTGACACGGACATTGCCCGCTTTTGCCTTTGCATTTTTCACATTATGCAATCTTGCACCTCGTGCCTATCAGCATCACAGGTGTTTCTTAAATTAAAAATTTCAGTTTGTACAAGGAGAGAGAAAAGGATCAATAATTATTAACTTTTTTTCCGGGAAGTACATTATTACACTCTTGTTTATTTCAGATGGTACCAGGAAAAATTTGACAGCTATCCGAAGGATCGTAAAGCCTTTATACCATTTGTTATTTAGGCAAGAGTTGGTAATTGTGCAACAGAAAAAATTTTGGATAATCATTCATAATCACAAATGACACTTAGAAGAAAGTAGTTTAGAAAGTGAAATATTTCAAAGCCATGAGCATCGGAACGAATAATTACAGTACTTTGAAGAAAAGTTCTAGATCAAATTGCATTCTAATATCACAAAGTTCTTGTATGTACACACAGCATTAGTGATATTCAGAAAAGAAGAGAAGAAAGTTCAAACGTTATTATACTTGTCCATCTTTAAATGACGGCGTAAAACTAGAAATTTACGTCTATCAAATAACTATTTTATATGGAAGATTTGGAAGAAAAAAAATTCCTGCTACTGCTATTGAACAAGACATTCTTTTACATATTATAAAATAAAAAACAAAGAAAATGCGAGATGCGGACTAGAAACATTTGGAGCACTTGATAATAATGGATATTAAAAGAAGTTTGAGTTATTCGTGATTTCAGCTTACTGTAATACTTTATCTATCATTTATGATGACGGACTGCAAAAGTCAAACTAGCATATAAAAGCACTATCGGGTGTCGTGAAAAAAATATCTGCGAAATGTAAAACGTAAGTTGACGGCAATTTTCCAAACGTATATATAATAATTCTAACCTTCTCACTCACCGTAGTGCGGAAGCTAAAATAATTCACGAATCATTTTTGATTTTTAAATATTTTAATTATACTTACTTTTTCATTAACATAATGAAGTGATGAAGTATTGGTATAGTTATCGAAAGATTCTGGAAAATATACCACTTTTCTTGCCACTTTTCTTCGACTCTTTTACCATTTCCATGGCTTCCATCTCCGCTTTCTCAGCTTCCAGTACAACCTTGAAACAAAAGATAGCTCTCAATAATGATTGCGTTGATTTAATGCTATAGAGCATTTCACTTAAAAGAATCTCAAATGTATCAGAAAATAATAATGCACATTTTCAACCACTAAAATTTGAAAATGCTTCATTTTTTGCATCTTTTTCCACTTTTTCCACATATATCATTTTTTTCAAAAAAAATAGCATATATGCTAATTAAACCTAATAAGTAAACAGAATAGACAATAATTCAATAATAACACTGTACTTACTTTTTGCAGTTCTTCATAATCGATTTCAGCATCATCGTCCGAATTTTCGCTTTTGGAAGTGGATTCGGAAGAAGACGCTTTGCGATCCAGTTTTCTCTCCCAAAACTTGCTCATTTCTTCATTTATTTTTTCCGATTTCATATTGCTTTGATTGGCTAAAATATGAATCTCGTAAGCAATCAAGAGTAAATTTCAAGATTAGTAATATAGCGTGGAATTCGGACGTGATTTTAATAATGCAACAACATGATCGTGGAAATGATCTATTCTCAAAAGCAGAAGAGAAATTATATAACTATGCGACTTATTTTCTCCACCACTTTTACTAAAGCCCAAAGTTCCATTGGACTAAACATATATATTTACAATGTATTTACATGTAACATAGTAGATCTTTTCATACTTAATTTCTTTAGCTTTTTAATTTCGTTGTCCACTGAGTGGTTATCACTGTCTACGTTCCTTGTCAGTTTAGCTGCTTTTATACTACGTTGTTTGGCCAACTTCATCACTCGCTGTATATCTTTGAGATTCCGAATCGTATCCCGACCCATCATTATATCTGTATCTGGTACGGATAGCTTTTGATTCAACTCTAAAGGTCATCATTTGAACGATTACTTCTCAATGGTGATAATTTCTGTTCATAACTAAAGTACCTAGCTAACTTCTTTCTAGACGGTGGATCAAATGTGGAAGCAGAAATAAAACTAAATTCCTCTGTAAAAACAATCTTTGCGCTGATGCAAAAAGTTCAAGAGGACCGAATTTTAATGTGGAACAGGAGAATATCAATTAGTTACTTAATCGAGAATATCATACTCCTGCAAAGTAATTTACACATACAATACAAACAATATATCTTTTGCAAAAGAATTACGGGAATGAATTTCTTACTTCAACAAATAAAATCCATAATTATAAAGAGATGTACCATATGGAAATGAGGCATCATTTTCACACATTTTAATAAATTCTTCCGGATCAACATCATGTTCTTCCGATTCTCCATGGCAATCCCAATTTTTTTCTAACATGGCTTCATCTCTTGCTCGTTTTATTAGTTTTTCAGCCGTTTCTTCAACTTCATTTCCATTTAAAATTGCAGACTAAAAATAGACTAAAACATTGCAACAGGAAAGTCTAGAATAATTAATAAGCGAGACTCTTTTGCATAACTTCATTTGACAAAATAGCAATAATGTAAGATGGAAGTCCTCAAATTGGACTGAAACTTTAAATTGATATTCCGATGAATTGCTATCATACCTTCGGATATCTGATATCCTCCACTGGTACACCGCGAAGCTTTGCCAGTCGTTGTTCTATATCACTCACTGAAGGTGCATCTTGACCTTAAAACAAAAATATATCTTGTAAGTCGACAAAAATCAAACAACTCATTTATTCTGATCGGCAAAAAAAAACAAAAAGGCTGAAAATATTAACGAAGATACTGATCAAAATTTTCTCGTCTTACTCCATTTCTTCTTTCCATGATTCAAGTACTTTGGGAAAACGATAGAGTGGAATAGGTAAAAAAGTAAAAGCTAATAAATCATAGTTACTCCAAATAAATCCCTTATTAAAATTTACAAAAAAAGTTAAAAGAAGAAATTACAAAGAAATTAAAAAACCGAAAAGACACTTAAGTGTGCTTACTTCTATCATTCATCCTTAGCATTTCTGCTCGTTCCTCCAACGATGCTAATTTTTCCATTTGATTTTCACTCTCATCTATGTTTAAATTTGTCAAACGTTCCTCTAAAATTCTATCCTTTTCTTCCGGTTGACCATTTTGCAGTGAAAATTGTGATAGAGGACGAAATAGATGTCGCATAGATGGAGGTGGCAAATCACCATCAGCCCACCATTTGTTGGCACTCATTGAAAATTTTCACAGTCACACAAATCAAATACAAAATTTGCCTAGAAAATCATGATTATGATGCATTTAATACAATATATGATAGTAGCAAAAATGAAATGCATGACAGCGTAGGCTTAACGAACATTGATTATAAGCGTAAACTAATAGGATATGAATTTAATAGCTATCTGCACAGTGAGTTTTATCAATGATAAACTAATAAAAAGCTCATTGAAACGTTACCCTATGCTTCTTCAATATGTTCAAGAAAAGTAGCGAAGCTTTCGTAACCATCCCAAAAAGGGAAACATGCAATGCTTGCCAAACGTGAATCACCATAACTTTTAACCTCAATCTCTCCTTGACCAAAAATTTGCTGCCAATATTTGCAATCCTATTTTTCGTATTAATTTGATTCTACTTCAACTCTTAGACTTATATCCATTCATTTAATATCTTCCAAGAAACAATCCCCTTTCTTACTCATCCCAAACAAGGAAAATTATCTAGAATCTTTCTCCTCTTTTTTTCAGTTTAGCTGATCTTTATTAAGAAGTAGTACGACCAATTAGCCAAGCTCTATTCTCTCTCATCACAATATATTCATATATTCGAGCAATATATTCGAGCCAAACTATCCCATATTTAGTTGAGCATTGTTATGATAACTTCTACATCAAATACTATCAATGAAATACACCAATAATCTAACTACTATGACTATAATTAGGTAGAGAAACTACGTGTCGGCCTGAATTGTGGTTCCCATGAAACTATAGACGTCTGTCTGGTTAGTTCGATATTTAAAGAGTAGTGAATTGTTTCCGGCACTGCGGTTCGAAAATGACTTGCTATAAAATCATTTTACACAAACAAGTTAGCTGTATTACAGATAATATTTATAGAATGAAAGTATCTTTTCATCACGTATTTTGTATGTAATACTGATCAAGTCGTAAGCAGAAAGAAGAGCGAAAGCTATGTCATTAGATTAACTTTTTTAGAACTATCTAGGTGAATGAAATGTTTGTAATATCGGTTTTTAATATCGAAAAGATGAAAGTATACGAATGGATTGCATTAGGACGTCGAAAATCATTCGGATGAGAAATATTTGACTTTTCATCTTAAGAAAATAATTGCACGTGTACTGAAATCTCGGCTGAAAACAATGTTTATTCTATAACACGTTCAATTATGCCAAAAAAGTCGTAATATTCAAAAACCAAAATCATACAAACATTGCTCAACGAGAGCACGTTCAGCACCCTTTATTCGAATGAATCCTTTCAATTCATCAACGTGCGTTGCGATTGGATGGTGCAAATATTTTTCCAAATATTCTCGTATCTTCTTTTCACATTCCTTAATAGAAAGAAATAAATAATTTTTTCAGAAAATTCACAAAAATATTTCACTGGAAAAGTTGCAGAATAAAGGAATCTATTTAATAAATAACTTGTCTAAAAAATAAAATCTTCCAAATCTGACCATATGGTTCAGCTCGGGCCAACAGAACCTAGCATATAATAACAGAAGAGATGTTTTGAATATTGCAAAGTTGGCCACGCGTTAAATAGGAGAAAACGCGCAGTGGTAATAAGCTTAAACAGAACCGCTCCTAATATCTTAATATTATGCCACAACTATAAATTGTTTGAAGAACTGAAAAAATAAAGTAGAACATACAAATATATCGCCATGAATTTTTTTCACTAGTACCAGCTCAACATATTCAAAGTCCAATGTCTTTGGATCTAACTGATCCCTTCTCGTTTCCAAATAAAGTGGTAACAAGTGATCACGATTTCGTTCCACATAAAATGTTAAATCAGGTCGAGCTAAAAAAAGAAACGCAAATTCTCTAAGAATGGCTTAATATGAAATAACAATTCTGGAAACAAATTAAGCAAGACTGGCTCTCTGAAACTCTTCCCGAAAATAAAAAAAAGAAAAAAGATTATACGTTTTGGTGGCCTCCAACCACTAGGTGTTGGATATGTATCATGTTTTGGTACATCAGGAATCAATTTCCTTGGCATGAGCCTTTGTACATACTTCCAATCTACTGATATCTCAACCGCTTTGCTTCGCGTATGTTCTGAAATAGTTCTTCGTATATTCAAATTATAACCAAGTGAGAATATACTAAACTTCATATGTGAAGAGAAAACTAAAGATTGTAATTTATAAAAAAAGATAATGTAAATAACATTCTGTGAATGATAACTTCGAGAGAAACAACAAGAAACTGAATTTAACGGTTAGAAGAATATTCAACTGAAAAGAAAAGAACAGCCTGTTGCTATAAATAACATCAAATAATCACACCTTTCAATTGATGGAGCAAATGATATTCTCCATTAAATACTTACTGTTCACAGCATAAAATTAATGCTGTGGTCGCCGAATAATTAACTCAAAATGAAAATCGACACCTGTTTTCGGCATAGCAGCCTGCCATGGATCGTCCCAAACTTCACTACTTGATGTCGTATTGTTTTCTTCACTCGTAAGTTTCCGACAATGGCATTTCACTTCCGCAGCATTTCTTATCCGTTTCAAAAAATGTCGTAACATAAAACGCTCTTGAAAACACTGTGGAATAGTAGTTATCTTTTTAACATCAGCAATCCATGCTTAAGTCATCTTTTCTATTCGCCATGTTTCCCTAACGTTTACACAATAAGTTTATCGAGTATCAAATAATAAATGCAAGAATAGTGTTAGAAAGTGGAAATATACAATTCTAGAGAATAAACATAGAAGAAAAAGATTACAAGAGAGCCTTTAAGATGAGGCAATCCATACAGTGAACTTCGGTGGTTACTGATTGAATTGGCTCTGCCTTTTAGGAAGATATTCATGTTCAGAATATCAGATATTCAATGACCAGAATAATTAACCATTTGAGACTATGGCTACAGTATAAATTCTTGGAAAAGGAGAAATGATTAAAATAGGCATAAAAGTCCCACTATACATTCACTTAGGAAATAGGAAATTGGCATGCCAATGAGAACAGTACATTCTCAATAATATAAATATCAAACGATTTATTAAAATTTATTAAACATACCATAAGTAATGAAATCTTCAAGTAATGAAATTATGGACAACTATATATAACACCAGAAATTATAGATAAACCATTTTGAATAATATTAAAAAATTCGATCACCTATGTAAATAAGTACTGTGTGCATTATTCAATAATTCACAATTTTTTCTTATGATATAGTTGAGGTTTCAGTTTAGTTAATGAGCAAAATTCCATTTCTAGATACGGGCTAAACAGGCGTGACAGGTGCTGCTGATGATGTCGGTGGCAAAGTATCGACAATTATTTCTGATTCTGATTGAGGGTTACATGTCATAAGGTGACGTCGAGCTATAGCTGCATTTCGGCGTGCTATAGCTGAGCATAAAGCACTAATACGTCCCGTTCGTTGATATTCGAACCATGATTGTGTTTGTTCTCTGAAATTAATACTTATTAACCAAAAAGACCAAATAGAACTAGGCAAAAATATAATTATTAAAACCAACAAGATTAAACATCTCATTCTATTTACGACATATATCAATTAATAACTATATTTCCAGTCAGAAAGGAAAAAAAGTACGATATTATTCATGACATGCTGATATCTTGTTCTTCCAGCTGTAGGTATTCCAAAACATCTTTGTTAACTTTCTAAAATCTCCACTAAAAATTTATTGTCTTTATTCCTATGAAGCATCATTTTAAAACTTAGAAATAAAAAGAGGAAGCAAGATTTAAACTTTCGGACAATTTAAGGTTGCCATCTCTGCAATTATTCAAGAATCCAAAAAAAAACAAATAGTCTTACATAAATGTAATTGCAAAATAATCAAAGCAATTTACAACTACAAAATAATCAAAGCAACATGAGTTACATAAGCAGAATGCATCTCATAAAACTAATTGATGTTTTCAGTATAAAGCATTACGTTATCAGTCAACACTCATTTAGCACTATAGTTCTGTTCGGTTATGAAATCAATAAAATACTTACTGCGCCGATTGTGCAATTAATTCTCTTTTGTTCAATATATCGCCATACATAGCATAACCTGCGAGTTCTACGGCTGTCCTTTCTGTTAGTACTGTAATTTCATTGAACATAGTATTCATGAATCCGGCAAATTCGAATGCACTCTATAATATTTCAGCATTCAATTAAAACATTAATAATATGTAAGTATAATATTACAGTTATTTAATAATATGTAACTATAATATTTCAGTTATTCAATAATATGTAAGTGACTACACTGCTGTAGATCGATTTTGTGTCGGTGATCTGATTTCATCCACTTCACGATTCGACTCTCAGAAATGGATCGCCTGACGTTGGACAACTGACAACCCGAAAGTATTTCTTTAGCTGATGAAAAAAACCTCTAACACGTTTTTACCTCATCCAGCTGCTGGAACTAATGTTATCGGAAGACAGAATTTTCAACTGAATTTTGTGGGAAGAGATGATCTAAATCTCTATTCATAATCAATATCATCGGCTGTAGAAATAATAACACACTAATAAAAGGATTGATTGTTATCGAACCTATTATAACATTATTGTCATAAAATGTCTACTTTATAATAATCAGAGAATCTAATTTATGTAAATTCATCTATTTATTGATGATCACAACAAATAATTATCCCTCTGATAGGCTAATCACTATCCAGCTCTCTCAACTCAAACTTATACTATTTTTTTAAACTTATACTATTTTTTTTATTAGAAAAAGAAAATGGTATTTCGTATGAACTAAATTATTTTTAAAAATATTTTAGAAACTAAAGTGTTTAATAATCCTGGTTTTTTTAATAAATCCAGGATAGACTCACGTAATTTACATTAATATAATAAAATTGCAACATAAAACGTTTTTATGATACACTGAATAACATTCAGCAACAAACCCGCATGTAAACTCCATGTAATCGTCGGGCATGCTCTAATCTCATCTCAATATCTTTTTTTGATATAAACGCATCGGTACTTAATGCTGCTTCTAGCGTTTTGAACTGTGTGTGCTCTACATCCAGCAGCTGAAATAGGGATGTTATAAGAACAGCCGTTTTTTACTAATTTTTCTCATTCATATTACACTTCATATTACTGCATATTTTCTGCTATATTTTCCTACGATGTTCCCTTATCTAAGCAAATACTTATAAAAAAAAATGAGGGGAACATTACAGTTTACAATTTATATTCGAACAAACCTTAAACAAATTATTCACACAAACCAAACGGTCAGTTGTCAATTTTTTACATTCTGCCATGAATTGCATAGTCTCATTGATCATTTCTTGAAGTTTCTGTTGAGCTGTTTTAACTCGTTCTCTTGACTCGCCATATTTTGATACACTGTGGCCCATCTTGGCATGTCCATTTATTACACACAAACCACAACGAATGTTCTGAACAATTTAATTAAAAGAGTTAGTAATATCAATGTATTAATAAAAAGATATTAACATACCTTTCTCCGGTCTTCGATCTGTCTTCATCATAACTGTGATCTATTCCTATGACACTGTTATCAAGATGTGGAGTCATATTTAAAAAGCATATCTACCGTTCAAATTCATGTGAATTTTTTTGTACATTTCTTTTAAATAACATTATCAAAAGTGTCATTTATATTTCAAATTCCAACTTTCTTGTTCACAAAATATTGATTAGTTCACCTATCATAAGTCCCATTATTTTATTTGGTAATAATTTCACTGTTCTAGGTTCATCCACTATCGCAAGTATAAAAAAAAAGACTTTTAAATAAACAATTATTACCACCGCTAAAAGCTGTTGTACAAAATGAGCATTTACTTCTCTAAGCAGAGAGGATCAGTACCTCTATTCTATCAATGTGATCGCAGTCATCACAGCAATATTGATCCTCTGGTTTTGTAGGTTTGGAGCATTGATGACAACATTTAACCATAGCACCTTTTTCTTTTATCCTGGATATAAGACCTGGAAAACATTCTTACTTTAACAAAATTAGCAAGCTATAAATCATCAATTCACTCTTCAGTCATAAATTGTAGATGGCTAGCTCTTCTAGCTTATCTTAAAGCTTTATGTCCGATCCTGCCATGTGGTAACTAAAACCTCACCTGGCTCACTTCTTTCTTCTTTTCCTTCTTCTTTTAAGATAAAAGTATTTAATAAGCAAATTTTAAATAAGCAATTACTGGGTGTATGCTATAAAGAAAAAAAACTTTATCAGACAGTTATCTTACGTTTTGAAAAGCCTTGGACATGAGAGCCAAAACAAAATAAAGAATTCATGAAGAGCGCTAACTCTTTAAGGAATAATTGACGACAGGTGGAACAGTAAAATGTGCACGACATAAGGGACAAGTATATTCCTGTTCCATTTCATTACATAGTCGATCGATACAGGTCGTACAAAATGAATGACCACATTCCAGTTGCTTCGGCTCATCATATACCTTCAAGAAAGTTATTTATAAAAATGACAATGTACAAAATACAATGCTAAGATGAAGCATCACCCTACCGGTGTATTCTAACTTTACTCAGATTACGAAGGCCGGCCATAAGTCAGGTCGGAATATTACACCTACTGCTTAGTTTGATATACGCATAGTTTGAATATTAAATATATATATATATATATATATGACTAACCGTGTAACAAATCGAACAAATCATGGCTTCCAACAGGAATACATCAAGGTTGCATTCCTCTTCAACCATTTTCTTTAGTGATGTATACATTTTCGAAAGAGTTGTTGCTTTTGAAGATGAATCCGATAAAGCAGAAGAATCCACAGAATCGGAGAAAGAAGGAAGCGATGAAACATCCATTATGACGAAATTTCACTTCAGTGATCCAAACACGAAAAGTTATAGTATAATGAGGAATGCAGGCATATTTAATGAAATATGTATTTACCAATAAATGCATTACATGATCATTACGCAATTGCACCACTTATATCCTAAGCGGAAACAAATATAAAAAATATAAACGTCGGGACTAGATCGCATAATGTGGATCAGCCCTGACAATGTAAATAAGTCCTAGTAGATTACTGAAGCGCGCCAAACTTCGACCTTTACCCTTCCTAAGAATTTATGCTTTGTCAAATACAACAACTTACCAAACAAATAATCATTTAACCAACCAATAAACTAAGTGAATAGATTCTAATTGATACCAGTATGAATCACAAAAAACAATAACCATATATTCTTTCACACAACATGGTATACTGGATAATTGGACACGTGCATGTGCAAAAGATACCGTGACTTAACATATGATATCATTATTAACACGGAAAAAATAGAGCACTATCTACTGATACATTTATGCACAATATTCAATCCTTAATATACTATAGCCAATCAAAATTATCTTACTAACGCGTACCACTCAGTGAGTACATGTAATGATGTGAACAAATTAACCACAGCGGCAATTCAAAACGCTGACATAGCGCAAAATAACACATCAGCTAAGAACGATAAATACTGATCCTATATTCATTTGATCCCTATATCTATCGAAAAAATTGTATTTACCCGCAAGGGTATAAAATCTGCCCAGAAAGTACATATCATCCACTAAAAGGCCAATCTTATCGTGTAATCAGCCGTGGAATATCCAAACAGTAGCGTTTTAATATAATTGTAAATAACACAACTTCCTTACTACATTCTCCTTTTCTCTCCTTTCTTTCTCTCGTTCTCTTCTTTTACATTCACTTTTTAAGTACCGCCCAATTTGCATCTTTCCCCCAATTCCATTGAGAGATTCCTATAAAGTTTCACGTAATATCTCGTTAATGGGGATCACGCGTATAAAGAATGGAGGGAATTTCACGTAATTCACAAAAGAGGATGAAAGGAGGTTTTAAAAACATTTGAATCTATTTTAGAAGGGTAGAAAAATGTTCAAAAAAACGTTAAAGGTCAAAAAGGTCAACAAGTTTGAGACTAAATTGTTACTGTTGAAATAAAAAACAACAGGAAGCAAAAGAAACAAAAGGAATTTCTCAAAGAAAAAGGAAAATTTGAAATTACAAAGAAAATGGAAAGTTCAGGAGTGAATTTTTCAAATGAATTATAAAATGTAGAAAAGAATGTGGTCAAATATAAAGAACAGTTTTTATTATTCAATTCTTTACATAAAAATATATGAATGAAAATTTAACCCTTTGCATTTAATCTTACTTAATTTCAATTTCAATTTTAGCTTTTAATTCTCATATAACTTCATTTTAACAAAATTGTTTTTTTGCAAGCCTTTTATGGGAAACTCCTCACTTCGAACACTTTTTCAGTGTCTTATTAATTTAAACTCCCTTAATTTTTTCTCAAATCATCGCTTTTGTCTTTTATTTAAAAGACCGAGATATTCCAGTACTTTTCCTAGCGTTATTGATTAAATTCATTTTAATCTTATAACACATTCATAACATTCGGAATTTCTTTTTCTACTTATGCAAAATGAAACATTTGTTCTTCATGAATAAAGTAGTCGAAATATGCATAAAATATAATTGATTGCCACTGTGAGCTCATTGTATTCGTACGGTCGTTTAGTGAGCAGTCAAATTGTGTGATATGTTTGATACAATGATGGTAAAATAGTTTTCGATTATTTTCCATCTAATCTCTATTTGTATACTTCTATACCATATATCATTACTTTTCGCATTCTTTCCTTAATTTCTGCTAATTTTTATTTTCAATAATAAATAAAATCTAAAAATTTAAATTTGAGGGAAAAAATATTTTAAGATTTTAAGAGACGTTCTTTTTTGCAGATTTTAACAATTCATTTATTCTATTTATCCATTTATTAGGAGGAAACAACAACAATAACAACAAAGTTGATACCACTTCGAGGAAGCTTACGATTTATATCAAACAGTGCGAACGATCCGGTAACATTATATGCCCACGATACTGCAACCAATGGAATACAAGCACATTTAGCTAAAGTTCGTATCAAAAACTTAAAATTTTTGAAAATTTAATTTAAATTTCACAGAAAACTTTCCTGCCATGCCATCCTTTGATAATTTGTATATTATTATAGCATTATTACAACAATTTGGTATTATTAACATCATCATAATTTTTATTATTTAGCCAGCAGCAATAATGCAAGAGCAAAACAAATGGAGCGGAGGGACGGTACAGTTTCATAAGTAAGTATAATCAACCATTAATCTATACTGAGGTTAAATCAAATTCAGATAGCTGACTTATTGTTGATTCGAAATTAATCAGCATAGATAAAGGGATTTTCTAGGGGCAATAATCGAGTGGAAAGCATTAACACAGCATTAGCTTGTACTCATTCGCTTTATATTCGTGAACTTGTCAGCAAAACCGGCGTACAATCACCCATCCTAAATTGTACCGGTTAGTTATATGCATTTCTCTCGTCATTTATTTATTTACAATATGTATCTAAGAGAAGTAAACTGAGACAAAAAATTTGTGGAATATTTCGAGCAGTTATTTGGCACAATGAGTGAATGAAATATAATGAAAATACAGAAGCTATAAGTATACGTTCATATGGTATTAATCAAACTATTGTTATTAACAATAAAATTAAAAACAATTGAATGAAATTACTAAAATTGAAAAACTAAATTAAAATTGAAAATTAAGGCGGATGAAAGTAAAATAGGGAAAAAAGATGGAAAAATTTTTTCATCTTTTGTAATATCCTTCTGTTGTATTTTCAAAGAATCAAGTTATTGTATTACTTTTAAATGAGCAGTAATGCTGAAATTAGCGCTAATTCTAATATTTCACATTGTTGAACTTACGTTTTGAAATATTGTTGAAATAAGAAAATGCTCATTTATATCACGTACGTCTCATTTCCGCTTTTCAAGTTTTGCTTTACATACTTCTTCCTTAGTCAATGTAAACGGTTTTACATAATGCTATCATTATTTATTAGCTTATAATGAAATTCTAATTTGAATGACTGCAAATTTAAAAAAGGCAATCGTATAATTTAGCCTTACCATTTCATTGGCATACTATCAAAGCAACAATTCAATTTATGCGTACCGGATCACTTCAACTTGATTCTGCAGCAATGCAGGATATGGTTCAGGTTGTAATATGTTGTATTATTTTTTCAAACAATAATTTAAAAACCGCAAATACGAATTTGGGAAGAGAGTTTAAATTAAATGTGTCTATAAAAGAAAGTCTTTAAAACGGATAATATTTGCATTGACAGCTGTGTTTTTCATTTTTAGTGTGCGATGTTCTTTCGTATTGCACAGCTAAGTCGTCTGGTGGAATCATTCGTACGCCAACGGTCGAAGAAAGCGGAAACCGTATTGGATGCATACAAAGCTATTTTCCATGTAATGGTTTACTTTGAAAAATCTGTTCACTTATAGCTTTTATAGAGATGGTCGATATATTTGATCAACTAACTATAGCGACAATCATAGTCATAATTGACTACAGCGACGATCAGTACGCAATGACTGACACTTGATCATACCACAGAATTGACTAATACTTGATCATAACTGATCATAGGGACGATTAATGTTTCGTTTTAAATTTGCCAGGATGAGCAAATGATGCGGTGTGTAACATACGACACCCAGCAAATCGTTTGTGAAAATATGGCACATTATCTTCCGCCATACATCGAAGAGGCAATCAAGAATGAACGAAGCACATTGGCAGTAAGTTTTAGACATGACTTGTTTTGGTAGTTTGTCTTTTTTAGTTTTCATTGTTCAAATTACTTCAAATTCATGCCGAACTTTTCTCATAATCAAAGATTAAGAACTAAAATGATCAAAACAAAAAATCAACCAAATTAGATGAAATCAAACTCTAATTAATACAAACAAACATCGAAATACTAAAATTTTTTATGAAATATTTTAGCATGAATTTCAACTATTTCAAAATCGCTTTGCTAAAAAAAAAACTTTATAAACTTTATAAAAAATCTTAAAAATTGGAATGTTTTTGAGAAGAAAGAAAAATAAAAAAAACATATATTTTTGACTAGTACTCATATTTTAATCCCTTCTGTAATTGTTAAAGGGTTTTAATTGGCCGTTACGAATGATGATGATGTGACAATCTGAATTGGTAGTGGAGTTTTGAGTAGTTTTCTGTTGAAGTATTCCAAGAGTGGAAAATTTTAGCTAATGACAAGCAATGAGCTGTACTGCTTGCTTACACGTGACGCTCAACGTCTACGTTTTACTCAGCGAGAGTATGAAGATGCTGCTTGTCAGCGTTTCCAAGTGGTAATGCGTTGGATACAATTCCAAGAACAAACTTACGAAATTTATGATAATTATATGCAAGATGTTCAATCCACTTCGTTCGCCAAAGCTATTCGGCTCTTCAGCTGTGTACATTTCGAACATATGCGACCCGAGACTCGCCGACATTTTGCCAATTATTTGTGTAGCGTGAGTCCTACATCAACACCTACATTCTCTTTAAATGACACTGTCATATAAAACTTAAGTTTTCCCGCATATTCGAATACAAATCAGAAATAGGAATATGAATTAAAAGGGAAAAAAAATTGACTATTTGTAGTTACCGAATGAAATGTACATGATTGCTGCTCGACCCTATCTTCCCGAAGCCCAGTGAAAAAGCGAAGAGTTCAAGCATACAATTGCTGAGGTTAATACTTCCAACGCACTTGAAATATACCATTCAATATTCATTCTTAGACAAATTTCGTTATACCTATAACTTTGCAGCTACAACAGACCAATTAGAGCCAAATGATCTAGTCTACTTATAAGATAATTTGTTAATTTTGAAGGGTCTAGCTGCCAACAGTGAGAGCCTTTATCACAACACTTATATACAATCTTATTTGATTTACAATGCCTTCAGCATCTGAAAAAAGTCCGGCCAAAGTGATCCTATAGAATTCAGAGGATTAATTAATGTAACATCAACAGAATCTATTTTTGAATGTCTGTAGCAACTACAAATTTTATACTTCATTCTTATCTCAATTTCAGAATGCATTACAACTCATCTATTTAAGTGATAGTCTAACGACCGTAAACATTTTAATTTTCATTCTATTTTTCTTTGTAATGTAATTTCTACATCTAAATTCTGAAGAAATGAATCAATTAATTGTCAGCTTTGTTTTTTTATCTACCAATATGCAAACTTTTGCTCACCGAATAAAATATATCTTCTTTGAGAAATTATGTCACAGTGATTGAAAGAGCAGCGAAATATGATAGAACATAACTCGCAGCCGAAAGATCTGAATGGACTGGTAACAAAACGAACAATTAGTGAATGAATCATATCAAAGCAGTAGCACAGAAATTACAACTTCTGAATTTTTTGACCTTATGAGAAACTGAAAGTGAGAACCAAAAACTTAAGAGAGACTAAAAATGAAAATAAGAGCGGCAAGCAGTGAATGAATTACTGAGAGAGTTTCTATGAGCACGTTGATGAAATCACAGGGTAATTAAAACTTGCTATCGTATTAATTAATCATCAAGAAGAGAGAGCAGTGTCATGACTGAATAGAAGAAAAGCTCATTATAAAGGAATTCAAAAATATGCATAAATAAATTGCTGATTGTTAACCAACCATCATTTTGTTAGAATTATTCTTGGTATTCGCAGACTGTATTTAAGATTCCAATATTCTGTCGCTCAAACTTGAAATATTTTCCGGACCTTATTGCTATTATGCTATTAGTAATCAGTGTTATCCAAAAATTATTAAAATCACGTTCATATCGACTACCGACTAAAAGATTGATAGCAGCATCTGGCAGCAGCCAGCGGGAGCAATAATCTCAGTGGCCTTGGACTAAGCAATTTCATAGTGGCCTACAAGCTTGTTTACGTTTGGTTTTTCTGTTAAAAAAAGAAGCTCATTGGCTTTATCCAATCGGAGGTTGGGCGTTGGTGCTGTTCGATGTGGAGAGGGGGGGGGGAAGAGGGTAGGGTTGTTTTCCCGGTTGATTACCCGGTCTAGATGTAAGTGTCCAAGATAAGATTAAGATGGAATTGAACAATTCAACTTCGATTTCAACTTTGGCGAAAATTATTGCGATCTTTAATATATGCGTAAGTAGATAATTTTTAGAATATATTATTACAATGGTTACAACAAGGAATAGAAAACGAGCAGATGAAAGTAACGAAAATAAGGTACTTTATTTGCTCTATTTGAATATTTGTCCATTAAATATTTAATCAATTAATACTAATCAATAGTTATTTGAAATATTTAATCAATAGTTATTGATTAAATATTTTAAATATATTAATCAATAGTTATTTAAAATATTAAATAGTACGATTATTCAAATTCATTTACTTTATGTTTGGTTGTTTGGTGCGCACATTAGACACATCAAGCGTTGCTCCTCTTTTCTGTCCTTTTTTATAAGTTGCTATTGTTATTGGCTGTTGTTATTCTGTATTATGTATTGTCTATAATTTTAACTGTTGCTGTTTTCTGAACTTTTCTGCTTGGTATTCTTTTTGTTTATGTAATCAAGGAGCAAAATTAAATACATTTTCTCGCTCTTCCAAGTATTTTTAATAGCATATTAAATTAGAAATGAAACTTGTAGCATCGGGATCTCATATTGATCAAAAGCAGCTAAATTGAGAAAATATATTTTTCTGAAAGAGGAAAAAAATATTTTATCCTTTAATATAACTTTCTGCTTAATTTTCAGAGTGAACGCAGTGGAAATCATTGGGATGGGGAACAAAATGTTGAAATTACAAAAGAAATGCCTGTAAGACTATATATTGCTAATATCGATTAAATTAAGTTTTATTGTCAAGTAGAAGAAAAATTCCTGACCTTGGCATCTCTTCAGGGTGTTTCTACAAGTAATGAAGAAGGCGAATTGGTGGAAGCTGAGAATGGCAGTGAGAAGCGTGAAACAACTAAAGCTGGTGCTTTTTGAGCTTTCATCATTCTTAGTTTTATATTTGTTTCGTGATTTATCAAAATTTGAGCGATATCTCAATAGAAAACATTTTGTATACATTAGATTAGACGTTATATTAGACGTTATATTGATACTTTCAGACAAATTGTCAAATGAGTTTTCAAGAAAGAGTCGGAAGGAAGATTCTAGCAGTAATGCTAGGGACAGAAAGCGTAAGCGGTCACGATCAACAGATTCTGGCAGTGATACAAGTCGAGATGATTCGAGAATACGGTCAAAACGCAGGCATTCAAGTCATAAGGACACTAAGTCATCAAAAAAGGCATCTATATTATCTTTATTATATTACAGTTGCATATCTGTTAAATAACCACTTATCCATAATCATGGGTAGCTTTGAAATGCAGTTGGTTTTTTAAGTTTTAAATTTTTGATAAGGTTGAGCTAGTTCTCATTACTTTCTCTCTATGTGTACTAAATCATATTCAGACTGATCGGAAATTTCAGGCGCCTAATTATTTTAAATAGGAAAACTGAAATAGATGTTCCGATTTTTGATGTAAATAATGGTTGCTGTTTATAGCATTCGAAAAGCGAGAAACGTCGTCGTTCTCCCGCAGAAAAAGAAAAAAGAAGTGATACCAGTGAAATTCTTAACGGTATTTTAAATGCTCTTCTTTTGTTATCATTTTTCAACTAACATTTTTTAATTGTATTCAATGGTTTTTTAAAGTATATTTTAAATTACTGAATATGTATTAAGTACATATTTTATGCAAAAAATTTACAGGGACATTTTCAAGAACAGGATCAGAGATTGAGCTGAATGATATAAATTTCGAACAAAATAACACAGATGCTATTAAAAAAGAGCCAACAGCAAGAGAACGGGAAATTGCCAGGCTGTTGAAAGAAGAACAAGAGCATCCAGAGCTGCTTGATACTGATAATGATGCGGTTTGGTCGTTAAAAAAAGCCCAAATTGAAAAGCCAAGTCGGCAGTGTCCTTACTTAGATACTATTGATAGGTTTGCTTTTCAAATTCATCCTTTTTTCCGTTATAGCTTAAATTTTGCAGCAGAAAGTTCTTGTTTCTTTTTTGGCTAACTCAAAATTTTTTTTTTGCAGATGCGCGTTAGATTTTGATTTTGAAAAGCTGTGTTCCGTTTCATTGTCACACATCAATGTTTATGCTTGTATGGTTTGCGGGAAATATTTCCAGGTGAATTTTAAAGTATAGAGGATTTGCTGCCACCGTTTGACAAATGATGTTATAGTCAGAAAAATTCCTATTAGACCATACTTTTAATGTCTAGCTGATTTTCAGGGCCGAGGCACCAGTACTCATGCATACACCCATTCACTGGATACCAACCATCGAGTTTTTCTGAATTTAAGCACTTTAAAGTTTTACTGTTTGCCAGATAATTATGAAATCATTGATCCATCGTTGGATGATATCAAGGTTGTTTTATAATAGCTGGTAAAAAAAAGATCTTTCTTATGAAAGAGAAAAAAATCTATTTCAATTGTTTTTAAACCTTGAAAAAAGAAGAACGTATGAGTTTTCTTTAGTATGTATTGAAACCCACTTACACGACAAAATACATCATGAAAATCGATAATATGGGAAAGATGGCTCGGGCTTTTGATGGTACAACTTATCACCCAGGTGTTGTAGGTCTGAACAATATCAAGGCTAATGACTATGAAAATGTGGTGCTGCATGTAAGTCTTCATTTTGAAGTTTTTATTCAATCTAATTAAACACATTAGTAATTAGCATTCGCTTGCATTTGATATTCCCTTGTCCCTAATACTTGATGGTAATATCTCACTGTGTTGTAAGTTGCTCCATATATGCAATTCTGCTGTATTGCAGCAATTTAAATAGTATTAAATCATTTGAAATATTTATTTATTCACCAATTCGGAGTATTTTGTCACCCTGAAAAAAAATTATGTTTCAGGCACTTTCTCATGTTCCACCTCTTCGCGACTACTTTCTACGTGAAGAAAATTACATGAATATAAAAAGGCCACCTGGCGATAAGTTAACACTGTTGCCGAAGCGTTTTGGTGAATTAATTAGAAAGTTATGGAATCCGAAGGCTTTTAAAGCGCATGTTTCACCTCATGAAATGTTGCAAGCCAGCGTATTATGTAGCAACAAAAAATTTCAAATTACCAAACAAGGTTCTCTTCATTGGTTCTAAAAATTGATTATATGCATAAAAGCATGAACGATTCAAGTAGTCCTAGAAAGAGAAAAATTTTTGGAATGAACGTAATTCGACCATATTTTCCTACTTGATAAATTGTAGGTGATGCGGCCGAGTTCTTGAATTTTTTGCTGAATACCCTTCATATAGCATTGAATGGTACCCGTAACACATCGTCATCAATTATCTACAAGATATTTCGGGGTCGACTGCATGAATTTACACGTAAAGTAATACCGGTGGAAACAACCGAGGAAGCTCGAAAAAGTTTGCTAGAGACTGAAGAATATAAAGGTGCTTTTCACAGATCCTGTTTAATATTTCATCACCATTTTGTTATTTTCGTGCAAAATTGGAATTCATTAATGGACTTCCTTCTTTCAGAGAAGAAACTTGAAATTCCATTTCTTTATCTTACGTTGGATTTACCAGCTGCCCCCTTATATCGTGACGAGTTGCTGCAGAATATTATACCACAAGTGCCACTTTCCGTGCTCTTGACTAAATTTAATGGAGCCACTGAAAAGGTTATTGTCTTTTCCTCCCTTCAAATTTTTTTCTACATTACTAGCTTAATTGTGAAAACATCTTATTACTAAATGCACTAAAATTCCTGCGCTTGAACATTTCAGCATATTTGCTGTTCCAGGAATATAAAACATACAGTGAGAATTTCATGAAGCGTTTTCAACTGGTCCGTTTGCCACCTTATTTAATTATAACTTACAAAAGATTTCATAAGAATCAATGGTTTGTCGAAAAAAATCCTACAATTGTCAATTTTCCTATAAGGTAATGAATAAAGAATTTTTCGTTATACAAAATAGAGTGATTAATTCATTCATTGATTCATTTAGTAACCAAAGACTGATCCAGATTCCAGGCATCTAATAGTTCTCGATGAGCCGAATAGTTCACTTGGGACATAGAACGCTTTCCCTGATAACTTTGTAATTTCAAAGATGTCTGGAGAAATGAGCGTTTGTGATAAAAATATGTCTATTTCAGCAATGTTGACTTATACGATTGTTTGTCGGAAGAAATGCGTCCTTTGCATAAATATACAACCTATGATCTCGTTTCAAATATTGTTCATGATGGCCCACCATCATCTGGCTCCTATCGTATCCAAATCCTCCACAATGTTCGTTTTTTTATCACTTATATTCAGTTCATGAGTGAAAGGCAATTTTTCCTCCATATTTTAATCGAAAAGAATCACTACATCAAATTACCATCAGTCATATGTGCTGTGTTAAGGGTACTCAGAAATGGTTTGAACTGGAAGATTTGCACGTGAAAGAAATATTACCGCAGATGATCACGCTAGCCGAATCTTATATACAGGTTGTCAAATTTGTCAGTTCATTTAGTTTTACGTATGATGAACGTTTGGCAGATGTTTCTGTTCGAATAATATTTATATCATTATGAACCAAAATTAAACAAAAGTTTCTTCAAAAATTTTAGATTTGGCGTTTGAATACTTCGAAAACACGTGAGCAACGTGCTGGTGAAACAGAAGAAGGTGAAGAGGAAACTATGAAGCAATGATTTTTTTGTTTAAGTTAACGTTTTAATTGTTAATGTGAAATTAAGAATTCAATTTGTATAATCTTATGAATTCAGGCAATAGATTTATATATTCTTCCCTGCTGTTTCTTTCTCCTGACAATTCCGTATCATGTTTGTTTTTCTGGAGAAAGGAATGAGAGGATTTTCGAAAATATAAATTTTGTACACTGCTCTTAATATGCTTTGAGATTACTATTATTCTTCTACTTCAAATTTACTCCCTATAATTTCGTTGTTTTAATCTTATGTTAATAAAATGGAAGTCCCGAAAAAAATCGTGATTTCTCTTTTTAGGAAAGAATCTTGTGTAAAAATAAAGTACGATAAAGTACGACGTAAATGAGAGTTCCGCAAATATTGTTACACATATTACAGCAGCACTATTTAAAATTGATGTAGTGTAAAAATCGTTAATAGTGTTTTCTACAGTATTGTTTGAAATTGGTAAAACTAAAATTAATATAGAATTTCACCGGTGAAGCGTTTCTGCTTTCATTGAATGCCACCATTTGATATATACCATTCGTTGGATACCGCCATACTTACCATTTATATAAGCATATGCAATAATGAAATACGCGAAAAGCACCTAAATTCACTAGTCATTTTCTGACCTTGTTTAATCTCAGCAACTTATGTGAATGAAGCATAACTGCGATTGAATCATTTGACGTGAGCAAGATCAATTATGTTAGCAAAGGAGTTTAACAGATTACCTGAACAAATCGTGAAAATATTAGGTAATAGAACCAAAAAGCAGTCACTGATAACCACAAACAGAATACAAACAGCTTGACAATTTTCTGTAGTAAATTATCAACCTGAAATAACAGTCTTTATGTATTCCTTCCTCGAAATAGTGCATCATTTACTATCTTCGTCATCATTTTAATCCTCCAGTCATGAATGTCTTAATCACCTACCTCCCATACAAATTTATTCTTGTCATTTGGAAAATCTATTCGTGGTGGTTTCTGGGAATAGAATGAATCCAATTTCTCGTCCTTCGCAATCCATAATCTAGAAATTGCATCGTTTTGGAAAGAATTTAAAAATTTGAAAGCATTTCAGAGGATTGCTGAAATTTTCTTTTTAGCTTCCTTTTATATCTAATTTGAATTTTACCAATAGAGTTATTCTTCCCTTCTATCTAAATACTAATATTTTCTTTTGTTTATTCCCGCTATTTATTTCTTTTTTGATTTACCAGTGCTTCTAATATACCGTATCTAATAATTTTCATTCTATCAATATGTTCAATTTGGGAACTTTAAATTAAAATTAAAGGGAAAAAAGTAAGAACTCATTAATCCATTGAGCAATATCATGATCTTCAAGTGGTATACATGATAGATCGATTCGTTCAACATGAAATAACACTTTTTGTGGTATATGACCGATTATTAGACTAATTTCAGATTGAACAATATTTACCGGATAAGCAATAGTAACATCGTAGATGCATTCAATGTAATTATCTAAATCATAAATGCTATCATTATGAATAGAAATGGAATTTTTATCTATCTTTTATAATCCTACTTTAATCACTGATAATTTAATACAATGAATAATTTTATAAACAAACGTCGTCTCATCTCATTAATAAAATGAATAAATCCGCCTGAACGAGGATAGATTAGGTTGTTCAATTGTTTGAAACCATTCTTTTCTGCATACACATTACTTTTCATCGTTGTATTGGGCGTTTTATCCGTTCCTTCAGGAAATAACAATATCTAAAAACAATAATGAGAAAAAAAATGAATGATTAATTATCATTAATTAGGTTTGAAATCGTTAAAAAATGTTGAGAACTTTTTTAGAAAAATTTTTTCCTCAAATTTTGGAGCAGTTGCATAAATTTATGCGATGATATATTAATTAAGATGGAATGTAAGTGCACTCAAATTTTGACCAATCTTCTTCAATTTCTTAAATACATTTGATATTAATAACATTGGAATGAGTTTTTTTAATTTGGAGAAAAAGAAAACTACACCTAATTTGATTGGTAATACATTTTCAAAAGGTATTTGATACGATAAATTTAGTATAAGTTTATGGCAGAGATTTTTTCCACAACTTTTTAGGAGTATGGAAATTTATTTTATCAAATATTCACATCAGTTAATGTATTTTTTTCGTTGGAATTATTTCTTTCAAGTGTTTAACTGTTCCCATCGATAACTTCAACATCAAATACTTTAGTGATCGCTGTACTGATAACGGATAATAAGTCCACACTGCAAGCAACGAAATAGAATTGGTAATTTAGCAGGATAAACCTGATAATTGTTTCCAACAGATGCAAAGTAATGGATTGCTTCCGAAATCCGTTCCTTATCCGTTTTTATCTTACGTTCCAAGAAAATGAACTGATTTGCTTCCATTCCAAAACCTTCAATAAATCAAACAATCATATTTCAATATTAAATCAACTACTATTTATTTCATTTTTCAATTAATTCAAATTAATTTAAATTTAATACACTATTAAATGCAGTATTGCTATTATAAAGTTTTTAAGTTAAAAAAATTTCCATAAAATTTTCGATCAAATATTTGAAATGATTTTATGGGAAACTCTAGAATATTAGAAAGAAAGGCCTGCTACTGGTATACGGCGAAGTTCAGCTTTTAAAGCAATTTTTGAGCTTATCAATAGCCACGGGTTTATCTTAAATAATGCCATCCAAAAATACATCCAATCAAGTCTTGTTCGATGATTCATTATTATCATTGCTGGACGATCATAATCAATCATGTCACCTGTTATCTTAACTTTTATACCAAATATATATTCCAAAAAGGTCTGAAATGAAAGAGCACAAGTATTTCTTATAAAAGTTTCTACTATAAATTATTCAAATTATAATTCTCAATCTTATTGCTGTAAATAAAACAAATAAAGAAATAATAATAGTTAGCACAAATTCTAAATATTGTAAGTTTCTCAGCAATTGATGAATACTTTTTGAAGAAATTCAAATAACAATTACATTTAGTTCAAACTTCGGTTTAATATATAATATACATTTAATACATAAAATTATATATATTTAATATATAAAATTATCTTATCATATCGATAATTATACAGTCATTTAGATTAAACTGAATAGAATAACTTATTATTTATTAAATTTCATTTCGTTTCATCTATCAGTGTTAATTATTCATTACAATTTTTTATCATATTTGAATGATAAATTGTTTAAAGAATGAATATTAATCATTTCATCGTAAAATACATTTTTAAGTAAAAAAAATTTTCTTCTAAATATTCGAAAGCAAAAAAAATTTTATGAAATGATTAGCAATAAAAAACAATTAATATTTGTAATTAAATTTAAATATAAAACGAAAAAGAAATTGATTTGAAAGAAACTTACAACAGGAACAATAAGCCAGAAACTAATTGCTCGATCAATAAATAAACGCCATTGCTGATGAAAATTAAGGTAAATTACCGGTAAGATAAGTGTAATTATTGAATTGCCAAATAATGATGTTAGGAGAATGATCATTCCAAAAGTGATACCCAATAATGAACGAAAGATATATCGCAGAAGTTTCATTTTTTAACTTATTTTATATCAATATGATTATATCATTTGCACCATCAATTTCCAATGCAATGATTTTTTAATTTCTTTCCTTTCTTTGTCGTTTCTTTTTTCCGTTTTCTCTTGCCGGAATTATTACTTCTGAAAAATGACATCTAAAAAAATATTTTTAAAAGAATATATTCAAATATAAATTAGCATAACGATTTTCGATAACTTAATAATGTTATCATTTTATTACAATTCCTTCTTCTACTACTTATATATTTCTTGAGAAAGTTTTTTCTTTTAATTAATCTCTTTATCTTTCGAACTCTTAATAACTTCCATGATTTCATCCATTCTTTCTACACCTATAAAATTTGTTTTTAATGTTTCCGGCAAATTCACTTTATTCAAATTTACTTTATGCAAATTTACTTCACAAGGCTTTGTTAATCGAAAAGCATTATTGCTGAATGCTTCATCGTTCTATCATTTCATTTACTTGATTTTATTGCAAATTTTTCACTTATCATAACTAAATGCCGAATGTATCTTCAAATGTGTAAACGAAAGAGAACTTTACATCATATAATAATTATTATATTATTAAAATTATCATATTATCAAATTTATCATACTATCAAAGTATATCATACTATCCATTTGCCAATTACCAATGATAATAGCAATTTGCCTTGCTTGATTATTTTAAAGATAGGTTTAATAACTATCCTAAATTTATTTCCCGATTAATCCTAAATTATTGGATGAAAATATCTCGGATTATGTTTAGTTTTGTTAACCAAATGAAGAATCATTCTTATTTATGGAAAAATGATTAAAGAAGAAAGAGAAGATATTCCACGATCCAGTAAATATCAGACGATATAGTAAAATTAGGGTTATTAACAAATGATCATGACCTAATGATTTGTCCACCCGAATTAATATTTTCTTAATCGTAAATTGTTGAATGACCTAATTTTTAATCTCATAATTTAATTCATTTCTTCAATTTTTCCTACTTTCACACACGTACACACACACGCATAAACACACGCAATTCTTTTACTATTTTTAATTACCATTAATGAATTTGAAAAAGTTAATAATTTTTCTTGTTTCTATTCTTTTCTTATCGTGCAAATAAACAAATTAAATATATTCGTAAATTAAAATCACATAAATATTAAAAAACAATCAAAATGAAATTTACTTATTTAAATAGTTAAAATCATAAAGTTTCGTAAGAAAGTAATGTAAGAAAGTCTAAATTGACAAAAACTAAAATATGCAAATAATCAAATAAATACCTTTAAATATATTCCATTAAAAAAACATTCTAAAAAAGAATTTATAAATTTATTAGTTTTCTAAGCATTTCATTCAAATTGAACGAAGCGGTTGGTATGTCCCGGGAAATTTATGCTCTATTTATTAGTCTTAATATGGCATTAATGGCGCAGTCAAAGGATAATCGTATTATGACTACTGTTAAGGTATAATTTATACATCACTATATTACCTTAATATTCATTGAATTAATGAAATAAAAGGAAAATAAGCTTGTAATATTTGAAAATTGCAATTAATTTTAAGCCTATTATATTTATCAAATTTTATCATAGAAATAATAAGCGCTTTAATTAATTAATTAACATTAATGGCATAAATTTTAGGAGACAATCCCTGTGGCTGTACAAAATAATCTTGAAGAAGTGTCAATCTTACATAAAGTATTTCGAATCGTATACATTGTAATGCTTACATTAATGGGTATTATTGCTACTGTAATGTTCACTAGAAATATTCTTGATTATAAGGTTAAAAATAATTCACTTTTTCTTTTTTTCTCTTCCTTTCTCTCTCAGTCACTATTTCCTATCTTTGAAATGATTTTAATTTCAATAAATTGTAACGAGTAGATTTTGATGAAAAACCCGTTGAATGGAAAGTTTGAAAACTTACTAAATAAATAAAGATAATTTTGAGTATAAAATTGAGAAAATAATTGTTTCAGTTAGTCACTAAATATAATTGTATTATATCGTAGCAAAGCATTGGGATGGATCTTTTTAATAAGGGCAAATCAATGATACTATCCAATTTTCAACAATTTTTGACATTTCTTTCAGATGATACATTTTCAGTTATTTAGGCTATTTATTTCAAATAATTAATTTTTTATCAAAGATTTTCAACTTCATTTTTTATTTGTAGTGTATTTTTACTGGTAAGAAGTTACCGGTAACAATATGAACTTTCCAGAAGCATTTAATAGCAGCATGATCGTAGCCAGAAATGAGGAAGAAAGTTTTGGTTGTTGAAATCATACTATTAAATCCATTGGTAGAGTAGCTTAGCTTAGCATTTAAATAGTTTGATATTTTGATCAATATTAAATTCAACCGTGAAAAGATGATTTAACGATTAAGCGGTTCAATCTATGCTGACAATGTAAATCACAGTAGTTTCATTATTTATTCCAAAATATTGTGAAGTTGCAGAGTGCTCAAAAGCGATTCCATCCGAAACCTCGTTCACCAGAATCGATCGTTGAATCATCCGCTTCTCTTACGGACGGAAAAATCTATGAAAATGGAAAGAAAAAAAAGGAATCTGCTGCTGTTACCACCAATTCAATATCGAAGGACAGTACGGGATCGCAGCCAGTAAGGTTTGTGGGAAATTTTCAGGATATCAGTTGGAAATTCATGAACATTCCAACAACAACTTAACAACTAATAACAATAAAGTAATGTAATTTAAAAATCAAGTGATTTCCCGACGCTGATACCTTCTAAATCCCGAAGCAGTGCTGGACAGGATGATGATGCTAACAATGAGGTAGGTAATCTCTGTTAGTCGAACTTATTATCAATACCAACAGTGTTTGCTTTCGTACAATATTTCTGTAGGAAGAACAAAAAGATTCAATGATGTAAGGATGTAATGAAGTTTTGAAATAGGAATTTTCAAAAAAAACTTTCAAACAGGAAATTTCAAGTAGGAAATTATTTATTGATTTATTGCATTTACTTACCTGTTTGCTCATATTAGCTCACAAAAGTCAATAGTGGCACATTCTCCGCACACTTATACTTCACATAAATAAATGAAACAAATAAATAAATGAGTAAATAAATACTATGCATATACAGTACACTTCAATAATGATTCAGCTCTTTTCTATTTGTAGATGTCACTAACGCAGAAACAACGACTTGGGTGGGATGACGTCGAAATGATGCGTCATGGCCTAATTAATAGGTTAGCTATTTCCTGAGTGTATCAAATGTGTTAATGTTCCTGACTAAATGACTAAAAATGATAAAAATATGATAAAAATGATAAAATGATAAAAATGATAAAATGATAAAAATGATAAAAATAAAAATGAAAAATGACTAAAAAGATCGCCACTAGATCTAAAATTCGTTTACAGAAAATTTTTAAGAAATTAAAAGAAAAAGCAAAGAGAACACTGCTTTCAGTTACTGTGTACGAGACATCGCCTAGAAGCACCGCCCTATCGACAACCACTATTTCGAAACAAACCTGCCATACTTCTGTCACATCTGAATGAGTCCAAAACTTACGACTATTGCGAAGACTTTTATAAATTGGTTCAAACGAATTTTAATTAATCTTTTTTTTTTTTAAATCAACGAACAATATTATAACAAATGTTGCAGAGTCCCGTAAAAATAGGATGATTAAATGTGAAAAAAATCTCTGGATAACGTTTTATATATATATATGATAACATGGACTTCATACAAATGAACAAAAACTTGATATTTATTAAATTCATGGATATAGAAATGATCCTAATTTCCTACGAGCTTTATAATGCATTTTCTAGCCTTACATCGTTCGATACGTGTGCATAGTGAGCTTATGAGACTATTTATGCCATTAAAAAATTACACCCAAGAAGAGCTAGTTAGATTGTCAATAACTGAAAGACAATACAATTATAATTAACATCATCCGGAGTTTCCAAAAACCAATGATGAATAATCTGGAGGTTCTGAAGTACACTAAATTGTACAAAATTCTCTCACACTCAACCGTCAAAAAAAAAATTCGAGCAAGGTAAAATGGGCATTTTGGATTCTATTTGATCTAATTAATCTCAGCAGCAATCCTTCACTGTAGCGATTTTTGTTAGAAACAATCTTCTAAGTGAATTTCCACAACTATTTCTTTTTTTCCATTCAATAGACTATTGCTACGATATCATGACTAGTCCATGATTATTTACAACCATTTCGGTGCAAATGAAAGGTTTCCTAAAAGAGGTTCGCACCGCCAACTTTAAGAAACTCTTAATTCGATCTCCTTTCTCGTACTATTATAACCTTTACATTTCATAATAGACAATTTCTAACGAATTTTTAAACTTCAAATAAATGCAATAAATTGGAATCAGAAGAAAATTGATCAAAACAAACAAAAAAAGCCGTTAAGCCTTGTAAATAATATCATAATGACCCGGGCGATAGAGAAAAAAATGCCTTGGTAGCTTCTTATCGACAATAAAATCATAAAACCAGCCGTGATGTACTGCTGCCGTTCGATCCATATATTCTATACGAATTGATACTCCTGTAATCTACTTATTTTGTGTTCACGGCTTCACTGAATCCATAGTCACCTTACAATTTTCTATTTGTGAAAAATATCCTAACTGATTTCGACATTTTTTGCCTACTATAAAGTTAAATTGGCTTCCAAAAATGTTAGCGCCTAAGCAATTAAAATAGAGAATCCCACTTATCCATTTATGAAACCTGCAGACGCAAAAGATGAACTCTCGGCTAAAGTTTATGAAAAAAAGACCAAATCTTTAGCCTGATTTATTCATACGTGCTTGGCGTAAGCGAAGGGAACAATTTATTCCTTAAATATATTTAGAATTCTAATAAATAAATACCTATAGCTTTGGTTAAAGCAATAATTGCTAAATGATCACAATCTTTGAACATCGGTTCTATTTCCGACTGACAAAATTGTTCCATGGTACGGCCACCATCAATAAAACCTTCGTAATCAGCAGCATTTTCTCGCAGGTAACCAGATGTGATTAACCTGAAGTAAAGAAAAGTTTTATAATTTCCAGAAAAAGATCATTTCAAGGTTGCTTAAAGGTTTCTGCAATGTTACCACAAATCGATTTGTAGAACCTGAAAATATTTCGCTTAAATATCTTTCATGGTTTCTTGCTAATTTTCATTGATTAACATGCGCTATACGATACGCAAAGGGCGCAGTACATATTGAATGCTTCTCCTTTCCAGGAGCAGCATTCAATATGCGACGATTTTTGGTAAACTTACAGATATTTATAAGTTAATCAGAAAAAAAATAAAAACCTCAAGAAAGTTACGTAGTAATTTGAACGGCCTTCTTCATTCAGAGCCTCCACAAGCGAATTTTCATCATATTTTCCCGCTGTAATATCATCCAACAACTCATCGAACTGAATAAACAATCGTATTAAAAAATGTTTTTGATAAAGTAGGAGATTAACAAACAAGTCAAAATCATAGATACGAACTTGTTTAAAGATAAAGCCGTAAAAACTTTTTTCCGAAGCAATCTATGAATCTGTTACTTCCATCTGGTATAAATAAATATCCGTTTTTTAAATATTAAGTTATCTTTTGTGACGCCCAACATCTTCGCAAATATTTATGTTCTATAAAAAAAGTATACATATATACCCAGTCACAAAAGTCATTCGTAGTGAATTCTGGAAATCCAAGTTTTATTAAACGCAGCCGCCACCCTTTACATACTTTTGTAAACCTGCAATAACCAAAAATTCATTATAACTAACAAACCTAAAATATTTTTTAAAAGCTCTCATAAAGTCAATTAATTTCCAATAGCCGAAAAAAAAAGAAAACCTAGTTAATTCCTCCTGATCACTTAGTATACATTCTAGCTGAGCATAAAGAAGAGCCCGATAGAAACAACAACCATCCCCACGAATACGACGTAGAGAACCATATACTTTCGCCAATTCCTAAAAATTTTATTAGCTGCTTGGCTAAACCATTGTGAAAATATCATTAAAACCATTGCAACTACCATTTACAGTATACTTTTCCATATTAAAAACTCCATTACTCGAATTATATGAATCATTAGCAAAGTACCTTTGTCAATTACTTCCAAACTAATCTGATTACCTCTGATTTCTGATAATATTCAGCACTTTTGTCTCGATCATATTCATTTAGCAAAACGCTTAGTGATTCCTTCTGAGCAATCAATGGGTGTTCCTTCCTTATCTAAATCATTCTTTTACATAACCATTTTCCTTTATTTGCCTTATAAAAGAAATCCATCACTGCCCCAATATACAGAACGACAATCAAAAACAATATATTCCTTGGTAAATCTAAATTCAAGATTTCGAAAAAGTAAAAACACAGACAATTACAAATGACACAAATAATAAATGTATAAATGACAATAGAGCTTTCACTGCATTCATAATACACAGTTTCCCACTTGAAGACATAATTATGAGCAACATTATAAAATTTTCTAATTAAAAACGAAGTAAACACATTTAATTTTCTTCCAGATTTTGCAAAGTTTTCAAAAAAGAAACAAGTTCAAAAAAACAAACATCCTCAATTACTTTTATAATCACTGTTGCCTTAACAATAATAGTAATATCCATAAAATCAATCTAAATGCTCAACTTACCTCGTCCTCAATTTCTTTCTTCTGTCTATTGATCTGCTCGATCAGTGTTGCACCATTCGTTTCAAGCTGCTCATCCGCTGAACCTATTTCATCGCTTTCATTATCTTCAGGAATTTCGTTCGTTTCGGTGAACTTTGACATACCTAAAAATACAAAATTAATTCAGCTTCTTATATTATATTAAATAACACCGCGAACAGAAAATTTTATAAAAATACTGTAGAATATCGATGAATTAGAATCCATCGGCCAATAAATCATTTCATCGATTAGCTATAAAGAAACAAAAACGAACAAATAAGCCATTTAAACAAACATAACAATAAATCGACAGTCCACATACCGACTATTCTATCATATAGAGCAATGGATATTCAATCATTATAACAATGGAAATAATTATGCGTTAAAATAGCTACAGTTTAATATTTCATCCAATCTCCAGGAAAACCTGACAGAATCAACCCTCCAATACCTCAACAGTCAACTGAATCAAACAACATAGAGAACAAAACAAAGTTCCCTCATACTTCCTGTATCTTCTCCGTCTATTCTTTGTTCGTCCACTTTGCAAATTTTCGGATCAGTGAGAATTTTTTACTTGATCAGGATGAAGATATGGGAGATTTTTATGTTGATTATCAATAATGACATATGATTCAGGATTTTGCATTATCGCTTAGAACTCTGTTTGATCATTCTGGGATTCTATATGATCATTTGGGATTCTGTATGATTATGGAGAATTTTATATAATCTAAAATGCTGCTTAATTTTGCTAATAATTTGATATGCATATTTTATTTATTCAGGAAACGTTGCACAAAATTTGGAAACTTTTGACAAATTAATTTTCTGTAGTTAATAAACAACACCAAAGTAGAAATTATTAATCTTACAAAAAACGGTATAGTTGAATGGAATATATTCTATTACTATTTTAAATGTGAATTGAAATTTCTAATTGAAAAAAAAGATAAAGTTAGCTAAGATATTTCATATTCTCCTCTTTTTTTCTTTCTCTTTCTCTTTCTCTCTCTTCCCTGTCTTTCTTTAAAAAATTAATTAGAAGATATAAGAATGATCTGAAATGTCTCGTATTCGTTTTCATCTTCAACGATATATTGGTTGGCTTTAGGACCAAAGACTTACAATTTTTTCTTTCCCTTTCCTTAATAATGAAAGTAAGAGTTTGAGAATTAGGCCAATAGAAATATGACCTGTTGTACTTTTCAAACTTTTAGTTATTGCTGAAAAATAGAGATTTATTTATTTTTAATATTACATTTATAAAGCAATTTCAAAAGAAAAAGAAAGGTTAAGGGTCAAAACAGATAAAATTTAGGAGATTCTTAATACTTACGGCACATTTCTTCTTCCTTTTCACTTAGCAAAATAACAGTTTCACAGTTAAGTAGTAGTAAAATCAAATTCTATACATACAAAAATTTCCTTTTATTTGAAAAGATTTCAATTACTCTACAAAAAAACTTAAATTTTGAAATTTGAAGCAATCTTTTCTTCTTTTCTTAAAAAAGGAAATGACTGTTTTTTAAGAATTTCTGACAATTGCAATTAAAATATATTTGAAATTGAAAGCAACATTTCTTACTGATGAAATGGTTGGTAGCCGCAAATAACGAATTGTGAAATTATAATGTCTCTAATACAATGATAGATCCATCTCAATGAATTAATTATTCACATCGAAGTTTATTGCATTTCTCTCTCATTTCCTTGCTATATTTTAAATTTAATTCTTATATCTCATTTCTAATTATTCGATTTTTAGAGCAATTCATTGTTGTACAATCATGATGAATATCCAAATTAATTCTTAAACTAATCCATTCTTCTGATTTATTGTAACACTTTTAATGCTTATATTATTACAAAATGTTAATTAAAAAAATAAGATAAACAAAAATTGCTGATGAAGTAAAATTTTCAAAAAACAATTTATGCTTCGTTGCATTAAATTATGATTCACTTTAAAATGTATAACTAATCAGTACTAATTAAACGAATATTAATCATTATTCGTCATTGTTGTAATTATAAATCAAATTATGGTGGTATGATAGAGATAACATTTATTAAAATAGTGTTTGATATTGCTTATTTCTCCTCAATATACATTTAAATAAAAAAGAACAAATTATCGAAATATATGAAAAGTTAAAAACAATAAGTTTATACATACATTGATTGTAATTGGCATAAAATTACGATTATGTCGGCAATTATTGTTTATTTTTTGAACAACTACAAATTTTTATTTTTCCAATAAATTTGCTAAATCTTTATTTAGCATTTTTCATTAATGAAACATTTTTCAAACATCATCGCTGTATTAATTCATTTTGTTTAAATTTATTAATGATTAAACATTAATAGGATCATCACTGTATCAGTTCAATTTTATTCAATCGATTAAAACATTACTGAACTTGAGGGAATCCCTAAATAACTAATTATCAGACATCACACGTTATACCTAAAAAAGAAAGTTCATTAGATTTGTCTTTGAATAATAATGATTTCTTAAAGTTTATAAATACGTAATCAGAAATTAAGTAATGATATTCTGAAAATAGTTATGAAAAAAAAGAATTAAACAACCATTTGAAACAAAATTTTTCTATTCTTCCAGTTCAGAGCAGCCCATTTTAATATTTATTTTCCTGTTGAATCGCAATTTGTACACCTGTCGAATAATTTGATTTTTTTTGTTTCTTCTTTTTCATTTTATCCAAAAAAAATGGTAAATATTTTGAAGATAATTTCAACATATACTTTCAATTTCATCAGAAATACTTTGAACTCATTCGGATATTTATCAAACATTTCTTTTATCTGTAAAGAATTTTTAAATCGATTTGTTAATATGTATGAAAGTGTTCTATCGATTGATTTTTAGCACTTCAAAACAATCATTACATATTAACATTAAACTTATTATGCAATTTCTTTTCAATTTTAATATTTAAATTGATAAGATATGCTGACAGTTTCCGCAATTCAAGTTAACTCTCATTACAAAATAATGCAAATAGCTATAATCATAATTCTTTTTTGCAACTTTTACAACAAAGTTCGTATCCGGTGGAGCCGTAGATTTGTTGAGATTAAAAGTGTAGCGAAACCACTTAAAACATTCTTTCTCAAATTCAAATATGCGAAAATAGTAGCATGCTAATTCTTTTCGTTAACTTATGTATAAGCAATACTTTCAAGTATAACAAATGGCGAAAGTTGCGCTCTGAATACAAGAATTAAGAATACCTGTGCCCTTCATGCTATAAAAGATTATTCAAAAACTGAAACAAAAATTTTATCTGCGACATCAATTACATCATAAAAATTACCCCGGTATTACTCCACCTTATTCAAAATATATCATCATTTGCAAACTTTCATACATTTCCACCTTATGTTTTTCCTTTTATACATCGCCATTTGCAAATCATCTAAAAAAAATATATACGTTTTAATTTTCAATCATTATATATTTCCATAGAGTTCCAAAAAATCTATAACACATAAACATAAAGAAGAGAGAATAGTTCACCTATATTTTCTAACCATTCTGACTAAATATTTTATAATAATATCATGTTTAAGTAAGAAGAACAAATATCACCTCGCACCGCAATTAATTATAAATTGGTATAAGATTAGCGGAAGCTATTACTCGGCCAACTTCATTTTCACATAGTACCATATAAGTACCATAATGATAATGCCGTATAATAGGTACTGTTAAACGGCATAAATCAGCTGTATCATCGATTTGAACATCATCAAACTTCATTTTTTCATTATTAAATAACCAACATACCTAAATACCATGTTACTTTTAACCTTACCAAATAATTTAAATGATAATTTAAGCCAATTATAATAACAATCATATCATTAATTAATCATTTGAAATCTTTCTTACCAATATTGTACGGTTTCGCTTTATTTGCAACTTTATTTTTTTTAAAATAATAAAAAAATGACAAAAATGATCATTCAATCAAAGATTTGCCCAAATCTTAGATCAACGATGCATGCATTCATTTACTTATTTCGTGTATCAATCATTAATACATGCATATTTCTGCTAATTTTATTAATAATGCACTAATGCATTCAATTGTATTCATCTACCAGATACATGCAATGCATGACCATCGAGTTACAAATCGATGTATTTACCAATATTAATTTTTTTTCAGCTTTTGTTACTATTCCTCAATACATCTATCAGTATGACCTATTAATGCATGCGTATATTTCATCTATTTGCAATATATGCACGCGTGCATGAAATTATTTCCGTCATCTCGGAAGATAAACATATATCCCATTGTTACCAAGAAAAAAAGGAACAAACTCGCGGTCGTGGTGAACCAAGCAAAATACAATCGAAGCATGCTTTTTGTCCAATTTCCGCATGAACATCACCAAATACTTTAAGAAATTCCGGTGCATGACTCCATGGATTTTTCGCATACTTATTGTAAGGTAATTCATATGCCAATTGATCAACTTGCTGTTTGCATTGCAGAAGAATTAATTATCCAATTCAATGCAAATTAATTACTAATTATGAGAGTTTTTTCAATAGCGCTTTTTTAACCACAATTACTATCTCAATTTTAATTTCTAAAAAAAAGATAGAAGTAGGAAAAGAATGTTGAATGGGAATATTTGAACAATTATTCGTTGACAAACCGGAAAAAAAGCAAAGACTTAATCTCTCACTTTGGTTAATGAATCATATTTTGAAGTAGATCGACGAAGAGTTTTAGAATCATCAACCAATGGCATCCAATAATTTGACGAAAAATTATTCTGTGAATGGATATAACGATCCATTATCTATAATTAATTAAAGCATGTCTAAATAATTCATTTCTAACAATAATTTTCCGAAATATTTTTCCGTACAGAAATAGTTGTTGTTTGTTCCTTGTTCGATTGCTTATCTAAGAAGCTATGAATAGGATCACAAAAATTCCCATAATATCGAATATTGTAGAAGAACATTACATAATAGCTGAATGACTTAATCAATTAATTTATTATCTTAGATTGTAATGAAATATCAAAAAGAATTATTGGAAATGATTAATTTTTATAAATAATTGGAATTACAAAACAAATATAGCAAGAAATGAAATATATATATATATATGAATTATTGGAAATTATATATATATAATTTGTTTTAATGTTCAATTGGATTTTAATAATCGTAACAGATTGGAATTTGTTTTTAAGCATCAATGTGTATAAATATCTAAATACGGATAGAGAATTGGACAAAAGTTCTTCTCTAAACTAAGTAAAAATAAATGAAAAATTGATGATAGAAATTTTCACAGAAGCAAAAGTAAAATAAACCGGATTGATTTGGGTAAACTTCTCAGTTAGTTGATTAGCTAAAAAACATCGAAGCAGTAAAGGGAGCAGAAAGAAAATGAAAAGGAACATAAATTCTTTATTTACTTTTTACCAATTTCTTCCCTTCTCAATTAATTATCATATTAAACATTACTTAGCAGATGTCGAAACTTAAGTTAAAACAAAAGACAAAGTGTAATTGAAAATATTTGTTCAGAGAAAACTAAAATTTAAAGCAAGTAAAAATATTTCATCTGTGTAAGAAAATTTTCTAGTATAAGTTAAATTTTAGTATTGCTATAAGGTGTAATGTATAATATCGATAAATTATTCATCACATATTTATTCAATCATAGTTTTCTATATCGACAATGCAACAATATTAGAAACAAAATCAAACGTCAGTGCATATATCTTTACATGATAGATAATGAGAACCGCTAATTCATTATATATTACAATCACTTAATAGAAGATCCATAAGATACTCAAGAACACCGCAATTATATAACTCAGACCAATGATCCTTTTAATTTATCTAAGATGACATATATTAATAGATAACGAGAATTTCAGGAAATGGTAATTCTCATCATCTATTAATAGTAATTTAGTAGTTCAAGAAATGATCGATCCTTACAACATATCAACGCGAAAAGCAATATCACAACTAAAATTCATTCCAGTGATCCAATTTATTCAGATCTTTCTCACTATTCTTATTACAAGCCAAGGAAAGAAAGGGGACTGATATTTTCGGTTACTACGTTAACCATTGGTAAGCTATTAAATTCCGGAAGGTTTTCCTCAACATATTGCTTAAATTTGGTATAATTTCCGCTTTATGAAAAATCTCGCTTTATAAAAAATCTTTCTTTACTTTGTTAAAAATATCTCATAAAATAAAACAATGAGAAATAAAGTTGAATAACAACACATATAATTGAATAACAACAATAAAACATAATTAAACCCGTAAGAAATGCATAATAAAATTTTGGAACACGTATATTTCAATAAATAGAAACTCATAAATTTTTTTTTGGGGGGGGGAAAAAAAAAAGATATATGAGGGATGCAAGGAATGCCAGAGTGTAAATCCATGACCAAAATTCGAAAACTTCTTCACATCAGAAATGAGATGCCTTAATAATAGATTATTACTTTTTATCGTTCCGTGTTATGGCAAATTTTCCTTCCCCTTTTTCATATTATTCTTTCCCAGTAACTTAGCCCCTGTTTGTTTTCTAGCTCTCTTCGGCTTGCTAACTTGTCCGCTAGTACTTGGAGCACCCTGTGCTGCACTTCGCTTTCTGGAAGCAATTTTCATCACAGCTGATTCAGGCTGTTGAATTTCTGAAACAGTGTCATTCCACTCAGAGTTATCACCATCTACAACGTTCATCTTCGGTAACAAGCTAACAGTTTCACTGATTTCACCGCTAGCAGTTCCATCAATAACAGCATCTAATGCATTCTTCACCGCATCCTCCATCATATTAGTATTAGGACCTTGAAATGATTAGTATACGGTACTAAATATGATTTCATCAGAAATTTATTTTGTTCACCTCTTCGCATAAAATTATTTAAAACGAAAAGTTGAAACCTACTATTTTCACGTAGTTGTTGCGCGGCCAATTTGTAAGCGGCGGGAATCTAAATTTCATAGAATAAATGATTAAGAGAACATAAAAAATAATAATGCTCATCATTCTTCCTCATTTTTAGGATGACTCACTCAGTTATGACTTTATGAGCGCTTTAAAAATTATGCAATATGTTGCAAAAACGAAAAATCAATTATTTTGGCGCAAATTTTGAGATTTACCATAAAATCACGTTCATATATTTTCTGAACAGCAGTACAAACTGATTCGATACACTCGTCGATACGATGATTCATAGCTTCAGCAACTTCCGATGCATCTGATTCAATAACGCCCGTATCGTGGATTTCTTCCTGTCCTATTTTTTTGTCGGCAACGTATCTTCGTGGCTGAAATTCATATCGTTACAGATGAGAACTAAAATATACCAAAGAAATGTGAAGTTCCGTTTGACATATAATAGATTTGATTTAACTGCAAAAAAGTCTATCAATGGATTTGAAATTAAAAAATGTCAGAAAATTGACTTTCCTATACTGATAATGACTGACTTGTTTATACATTCGCTTCTTCAAAAATTCGCCAACACTCAATTCAGCTGCATAGTCATCATCAAACTCTTCTTCCGGAATCGTTATTTGTTCCGATGTTAAAAGATTTTTACCAGGATGTAGTTGATTTTGAAGTCGTACTTTAAGGCTTTCCAAAGTTTGCTTTTGCTGTTCTGCTAATTTCGAAGTAGCAACTGAACGTAAATACATTCTTCTTTCCACTGACTCTTTACTCTCTATTGACCGATACAAAAACATTGGCCAAAAGAGCAAAACTCGCAACTTTGCCTGAAACATATAACAAAAAGTGCTCAATTGGAAATGATAAAACTATGAAAGAAATGCCAATGATCAAATAAATGAAAAAGAATAACCTTAAGTAAAACGTATTCAGGGTCCAAAATAATTTGCCGTGAAAGTTGTAAAAATATATTATCGTTCTGATCCTGGAATTTTATCTGTATGTTTTACTGAAACAATGGCATCTTTTTTTTGAGATAGAGTTCAATACAGGAAACGAAAATGAAAAGCAGAAAGACATACCGAAACAAGCGGTTCAAAAAACTCTCCAGCGGATTCTCGTAACAAATGCATTTGCTTCTGGAATAATAACTTTTGCTCAACAGGCAGTCAAAATTAACGAATAAATTAGTGCAATTAAAAAGTTAACATCGTAAAGATTTTTTCCTTATGATATTAATTCTGGGAAGTTGATGCATATCCATGTTTAGATAATACCTTGAAGAGATTAACTGCTTTGGATGGCTAGATAATTTGGGTAATTAAATTTACACCATCCAACGGACAACGCTAATTTAGACCTCAATAATGTATCGGGCAAAAATTTTTATAATATCAACGCTATCATTACAAGTCCGTTTAAAAATTGGAGTTCTTAATAAATTATAAAATCAGTAGATTAGAACTTGTCTGCCATTTTATGCAGTCAACCGTAACATAATCCCAAGTTTGGTACAGACATTGCAATATGCACCGGATATTTAAGTTGTGCAAGGGAGTTTTAACATATTATTTTCTAATCCTAAGTCAGATTTTTGACCTTAATTATTATACTCCATGAAGGGTATTTATTCTCCAAAAAGCAAAAATCTTCAGGGTCAAAAGTTTTCCACACAATCTAAAATACGAGAAATATAAAATGATTACAAACAAAGGATCGAACTAATGCAATAATTATTTGCTAAGTATTTCATTTAGCAAATATTTGAGTTATGCGACAGCTATATTGTCACCTTTTTCATAAGTGGCATACCTGAATATTTTCGTATAAGCGTAGTGATCCAATGCAAGGCGGTATAGCAAAAGCATTAGTTCCACAAGATACAGCTTTATTTACGTCATCGACAAGGACCTAAAAATGCTGAACTAAAAGGAGCATATAGAATTCAAGAATTGAAAGAGGAAACTTTTTCTGATCTCTTTTAACACCAAGGTGAAAAAAATACAAGTTAAGCATTTCAAGCAGCTGAGCTATTTTGACAAGACCAAAATTGATAATAGACTGACCGAATTAAGATATCGATCAACTTCATCAAGAACCTGACTTCTGGTAAATTTCTTTTGACGCATAAAACACTGTGAATTATCACTTCGTTCAATTAAATCACACAAAGCATTAATGACGTGATCTTTTGCAGCCTATAGTAATTTAGAATTAAAGATGTCATGCTGAAGTATTCCATTCCGAAAAATGAAAAATCTATTAATGTTACATAACCCGAACGATCATAAACCAAAATTTGATTCTGGTGAACCAAAATGATAATATGTCAGTTGATGTGAAATAAACAGAATACATCCTCAGTAATCCTCAAGCATGAACAAAAGCACAATAATAATTTAGTCAACTGCGATCACAAGCTTCAAGCTAATATCTTAGCAATATCAGAAAAAGTTTTTTTCCCCTAAAGTGTTCTGAAGTCATGTCCAACATCATTATCCTTGATGCGTTAAAAAAGAAAAAAACTAAGCAACCTCTGGATCAGTTTCTTGTAACACTCTGCATTTCGCATCGAATTCATTTTTTTCATGATGAGTTAAAAGCTCCTTCGTGCTTCCGCCAAGGAATCGCTTATAGTACTTCAATAAGGCACTCTGTGTTGAACTATCCAAGTAACTAAAGAAATATAATAGTAAGAAAATTGAGAGCTTTATTGTCTTAAACTTTCACGAAATGAGTTTTCCAATACAAAATGAATCTACAAAAATAAAACAGTATGCTATATAAAATTTAAAATTTACAAAAATTAATTATCGATATATATATTAGAAATATTAGAAAAGTTTATTATTAGAAAACTATATTAAAAAACTTTCAATTCCTTTAACAATCAGCTTATTTTTTTTCTGCAATAAAATTTGACACAATTTTTCTCAAATCAATCGTAGTGCTTGCAAAACTGCTTTGCATTACGTCATTTTTAATAACTCCCACCTAGTATTGAATTGCAACTTATCACTCAGCAATTTCCAAATTGATTGATCATCCTTCACATCATTCTCTAGACGTTTTTCACGAATTTCATTCAAGAATTGCATTACCATTATTCTTTGCTCCGGTGCCATTGCAGACAACGCTTCCATTTCATCGACACTTAATGCCCGCTGTAACAAAGTCATTCCATAGCTTATTGAGAAAAGCTTAGAAAAACCAAAAAACATTTTATCATTTGTTTTCCAAAGATGCATATAAACCATAAAGTTCAATTCTCGATACAGTTTCCACTCACAGCACAAAACAGTACGAAATAAGAATGAAATATACATATATAGTAGCTCATTGGAAAACGAATTTAGTATACCAGAACTGTATACCGCATGCTGCAGTTTAGATTCAGACACATTGAAGACATGAAACTCCAACAATTCACTGCGTTTAATGTAGCACAGTAGTATTTCTTCATCAAAAAGTCTGAGGAAAAAAACTACCATATCAAATGAGTTCATAACTTGCTCTGCGAGACCTCCTTTACCATCAGCTGCTAATAGCTTACGGAACGTTGCTTCAACCTGAATAATGCAAATATGAAAATTTTAAGACAAAACCTCCAATATGTTTAAATATAATTCCAGATAATAAAATCAGCCATATATATATATATATATATATATAAATCTTATATATATACAAATCTCATCAAAAATTGAATACTGAACATGGAAGCAACGATTACTTCTTGCCGGCGATGTTTGCCTTTCCAACTAAAACGTCTAAATGGATATGAACGACATTCCGAAGCCAGCTAAAATAAACCAAATAAAGGACTATAAAAAAATGACAAAATAAAAATTCCAACGAAAAATAAATTTATAATGAAATCATAAAAAGACGGACTTTGACTTTTGCTGAAAGAAGTGATCGGAAGCGTGATTTGCAATGTGAAGCAGAACGACCTGGGAGCATTGTTGAAATTCTCGACCATTCACCTGAAAAGTATGCTAATTTTGGTAAATGTCCCTTTGTATAACTTGAGTTCAAAAAAATTGTATAACTTGAGTTCAAAAAAAAATAAATAAATGTCCCTTTGTATAACTTGCAAAGTATATTTCAATCAACTATACTAACCTTTTCCGAAAATTCTTACTCCCTCAAGCAACTTTTCATCCTCATCCACTGACCATGGTTCCGCTTTAATACTTTTGTCCAACACATTAACCCATCTGAAATGGAACCGTAATTGCTGAACAATATTAATATATATTTATCTTCCAGGAAAAAAGTGGCAAACCTATCACGGCACTGCGAATCGCTTCTTCCTGGAACACACGATGCTACCTTTATCCAGTCTTTTGTTCCAAATCGGCCTACGGAGCATGTTAAAAGCTGCAATTTATCAAAGCAAAGCATCAGTTTTCGAAATCCCTACTCAAAATCCAGTATATTATGTTTGCTTAATCTTCGGATTCCCGAACTTTTTCGAAAGTATAGCACGTTGAAGAAAAACGGAAGCTTCAGATAATATGAATGAGATATAGTTACGACAAAAACTCTGAAAATGTATCCTTCTCCTTACCACATCCTCACTGGCGTTCCATCGACCAAATTTAATATCAGTGTCAAGCGCACGCCTATACCGAATTGTACATTGTTGCCGTGATCTTTCCTCCATGTAATGAGCAACTAAAACACTAGATTGACTAAAACTAAAATATTGAGATTCTTCGTTTCAAGATTTGCCATTTAACCAAAGAGTCGAAATTCAGATACTTACTTTTCTCCCAATTCATTTTACCATTCACTTGCATGCAATGTGCCAAAGTCATTAGTTGGGCATCTTCCTCTTTCGTCCATGACCTGAAATGATCAGTTAAACAAAAGGAAACAATGAATGATTCGATCGGTGTCTCCTAGCGATTTGAAGAATTCAAACTCTTGCAGAAGAGATTCAATTTCTTCTGCACTTTGTTAATAATATCTATGATGTGATAAGCCGAAGAAAAAACTCTATAAAGTTTGGAAACAATGTGTAAGGATTTATTCCCGCTTAAAGCAGAAGCTTTTCGATAATTATTTTAATATAATCGCTACTGCTTTCACTCACTGACTTTGTACAGCTCTATCCAGCAAGATTGCAATATACTATTGAACTGAAACCAAAACGGTTATACAACACTTCCTAATGTTAAGCAGTTAAACAGCCAAGAGTTTAACGTTTCGTCTAACACTATGTTGCTATTCAGCTCAGATTCTTCTATTAAAAGGATTCCAATATTAAAAGTAACCAAATCATAAAACGAACCGACCAACGTTGTCAATGTCTAATTCACTTCTGAATTTTACAAAACACTGAAAAGCTGTACGATTCGTGCCTAATCGTTCCGCAATTACATTCCAATTATTCCACCGCCCTGCACATTCCTTTAGACGTTGTATTTCCTGAGAGGACCAAGGCTCCTTTGACCATCGCGGACATTGCTCATTGATCCACTTTAATCTTAGCTGTTTTGGGGCTCTATTTCCAAGAAACTGCAATAAATAATCAGTTATACTAATTGTTCTAAATCTACGTATAAAAAATTTACAGACTAAACCCGTTAACAATTTCATGACCAACATCATGACCTTATTTCATCCGTTTCTAAATGCAATTATTCCACCACTAAAGAACGCATTGTACTAAATGACGAGGTAATGAATTAAATATCTTACATCAACTTTCGCAATCTTCGCCCAGTCAACTTCAGAATAATCACTCATTAGAACCTCGTTTTTTGGCAGATTTCTGTAAATAACAAGAAACCAATTCAATCTATACTCTTTCCATTAATTACTATTAACTTAAAGCAATATAACATTACTTCAACACCATTCAAAACTTATCAATCAGCATAAAACTACTTGTGGTATGCAATCAAACGTTCCAACTCGGTGATAGTACTATTCCAATCAGCTATCTGCTCATCCGATGTCTCTTGCCCCGCACAGCGAATTTTTTCCGCAAACATTTCTTTCCTTCAACAAAGAACAATAAGAACAATTATAATAATATTCGTATCATCAAAGCGGTACGAAAATATCTGCTCAGTCCAATTTTTACTCTGACCATCATCTAAATGAGGATGTTTCTGAGCTAATGAATTGATGAATGTCTCAATGTCTTTCCTGGTTTTTTAAAATGTATTCGTAAGAAAAACGACTGATCACGCCTTTGCCTGATCGCTTCAACAACTGCTCATATAAAACTACCTCTGAATAAATGGTTGAACACGGATTTCGATTAAAGATTTCCACACTGCATTTGCCAGTAGTTGACATTCTTTTGGTGACCCTGTAATTGACAATACATTGCATGAAGGCCTTGCATTGGTTAACATTTTTGATTCTTGTCCGGTAAACTCAACAAAGAGCAATGGAACGAACTCTTCCGATAAATGAAATCAAATGCATACATTTTTTTTCTTCCTTTACCAAAGGATCGTATTCACGACGAAAGACTTTTAATTCATATTCTTCATTCTTTGGTGGCTCCTTCAAATTGAACATTTAAAACTCATAAATTTAGAATCTTCCCAATAACAACTGCCAATTTTGAGCGAGCGAAAATACTTCGCCTGTGCAAATTCACTAGACTAAACATTCATTAATGGGAATATTAGTATTTTTTCTGCCACAGAAAAAATGAAAGCATATGTCATTCGCTTTTATCCTGTTGGAATGATAAAAAACTCATTTATTAGTTGTCAAAAAACTTAACCATAAGACAAAGTAATTCATTTACTAATTATCAAACCTCCCAGAAATAATTTACATTTTCAAAATAATATAGAAAAAAGCTTTGCTATTCATTTACCATTTCATGAGAATCCCGAAAATATGGGAACAAAAACCGCGAAACTGGCACTTTCTTTATATTAATTCTTAATCCACGTTCTGTTGTCTGCCGCAATTTAGCTTTCAATAATTTCTGCAAAAAAAATTTCCAAAGGCATGATACGGTACCTATGAAGAAATCATATTTTTCAAAAGATCTAAAAAAATTTACTTGTGCTTCGCGATTCTTAGATATAGCTAATGTAACACGTCGGATCAAATTCTGCAAAGTTTCATTAAATGCTTCATTGATTGCTAGCAGAGTATTTATATCATCCACGGTGATGAGCAGATCATTTTCATTGTTGACAACCTAAAACCTTCGTCATATGTTTCATGCCAACGCAATATTTTTTTTTGAAAATTTTTTTTAAAAATTCGAATATGATTTCAAGTAGTATTTTATTAAGCAAATCTCTATGCAAAAAAGCTTTTTTTATATCGGCCATGATGGTGAGCTATACGACAAATGAATCATTATTAAATAAATGAATATATATAATTAATATATTAAATTTTCAGTAAAATATAAAAGTGCATAAATATATCGCAATAGCAAGAGCTCTCAGGTGAATCAGATCATAAGGTCTAATCAATTATTCAAAATAACCTACCGCATTGTTTAGTTCCAATGTATTGCTTTCTTCCATTTCTGCAAGTACCAACTCCAAATCGTCACTCACTGAAAAATGAATTCCTTAATCTATCACTACTAGACATGCACAATTCACCTTTACTTTCAATGACAACAGCATGATTTCGAATATTACGTTTACGCATTATTTATAAAACTTATGATTCCACATCTGAAGTCCAAGTTCTTCAAGCTGTCGTAACATTCTTCGTCATCTCTTAACGATTATTCCCAAAATATCGAATATAAATTAGGTGGATCTTAATGAAAAAAAAACAAAAGTTGGTACTACTCGCCAGCCCCCGATAACTTGCCTGTTTGTTGTCGTCGACTTGGACCAGGTTGACTATCACTCGCATTTATTTCTTCATTGGCAGTCACTGCACACATTCTTTCATCATTCTGAATACTTAATGCCAAATTCGGCATGACTGTTGCGTCCGCCAGCTCATCCATTTCTAAAATACTATGGAATACCACAGAATTGCTGAAATTAACGCAGTAACCGACAATTACCTAATAAAATTCGACTTATCAATGACCAGCAATGACGAACCAAACATCATCAATTTTCGGGAAAACGTCGACAATAACAGATTTCACTTATTTTCTTCGGTCATTAGGTAAGCTATAGATGAAACTATAGGTCATTAACAACTATACCAATGAAAAGTGATGTAACCACTAATACAAAAACGTTGCATAGAACCAAAAATGGAACAGTTTAAAATAGTAAAACATAAGACCACCTTTAACGAAAGTTCGAAATAAACAAAACGAAGAATTCCTTAAAAAAGTCCAAAAATTAAGAATTCCTTGGAAAAGTCCAAAAAAATAACATAAATTCATTATTCTAATCATCCTTTTTTAGAGCATCACAAGTAAAAATTTTTTTTGAAGTATTCAAGCACTTTGAAGTGTAGCATTCTCTCTTTTAAAAAATTTCAGTCAGTAGTGTATGCATGACATGAACAGTTATATCTCTGCAAAAGAAAATTTTAAGTTTTTATCGCAAAGTAGCAAATGTAACTTTGAAAGATTAGGAAAAGAACAAATATACGATGCAAATATACAATACACAATATACAAAAAGTAATGCAGTTCATTTCGAAAGAAAAAGCGCATTAAAGAAATAAGGAAACATGCCATGCGGGGCAATTCACAATTTTCGTAAAAACATATGGAAAAAGGGAGGTAAAGTAAAAGTGAAAAAATATCACCAGGTGAAGAAAATCAAAGCACTTAACAAAGTTTTACAGTAAAATGTATATATTACAGCTCGCAGTTATGAATAAAACAATTTATTTATTTTTTTTTTTGCCTCGTTTATCTTTATCCTTTTATTCACATATCCTTCTGTTTTCAGAGATGAAGCTAACAAAACGAGATTTGGCTGAACAGAAAAGGATCACATCATTATCATTCCCAATATTTTTTTCCCTTCAATATCCAATGATTTTTAACTTTTGATCTCTTGAATTAAATTAAATCCCGACAGAATTTTACATAACTCCATCAAAAAAGGGGAGAAGAGGAAACGATACCTACATATCACGCGTTAGATTTAATGTCAGATAAAACTCCAGGATTAAATTGCTTCTAAATGTACACATACGCAGGCACTAATTGTCAATGTCCTTCACCAGATATTATTCTTCATTTGAGGAGTGATTTGCGAGAATTCTGGAAAGGAAAAGAAGATTAAAAAAAACATTTGCCTCATGAACTCTTTTGAATAAAAAATCTACTACAAATAAAAAATAAAGACTTTTGATTATGCATTTTCCTCTTGTTGATTGCCGAAACATTCGAACGAAGAATTCTAGTTTTATCCTCATGGTTTCCGGAGAGACATTAATATAGGAGATTAATACATGTTTTCCGTAAGATGTTATAAAATTAATTCAAAAAAGCAGTCAACAAACATCTTGATACAATCAAATTACATATAAGAGGACCGAATAAATCCCGCGACCGAGCGAGCATTAAATTGCAGTCTATCCCAAAACAAACCTGTTTAGTCGAGGTTACTCCATTAAACACATCTTTGAAAGAATTCATTGCTTTCGACTGCTCGTCTAACTGAATATTTAAATTCGCAATATGTTCATGCAAATTTTGCAGTTGCACATCATAACTTTTCCGTGTCATTTCCAGCTCCTCCTGAAACACTTTTTTATTTGTTTTTTTTTCAATTTTAAACTTATTCTCGAAAAAGGGAGTATTTTCAGTTCACTGAAAATTCAACAATGATTATTCGATTGATTAAAACAACCTTTAATGCTAATTCCCTCGCAGTTACAAGGCTTAGTTCCTCGCGTAACGTTTTATTTTCGTGGTTTGACAGTTTAGCTAATTTGAGCAAATCTTTACACTGAAATAGGTATCATCATTTTTCTTAACTTCTTGTTCTTGTTAAGAGAATAAATACATTCGGGAAAATCTAAAATTGATGGCCATTACAAAATGTAGCACAAAATTTGTTTTAAAAGTGAACAAAATAATAAACATCTGAAGCAGATATAACAAACTTCATGCTTATAATAGAAAGCTCGACTACGAATATGTTCGATATCAGCATGTAAATCACCAATCCGCTCTTCGAAATATGAACAAATCACATCTGCATTATTACAAGAAACTTCTGACACAGCAGTTCGAGATTCTGACGACCTAACCAATTAGATATTTCAAATAAATGCAATATCATTTAACAGATCTGAATTGCTTATCTTAGGAAACTTACAAAGTACAAGGTAGAGACTTATCACAATAACCTTGAGCAGCTTCTATCATGACTTAACTGTCATCCTGATTTGGAAAGAGAAGTTTATAGTACGCCTCAAAAAAGCCGTAAAATGGGAGGGCAAAAAGTTAGTAAAAACAACAGTATAATATACAAAATTAAAAATCCTCACTCCACTGGGTCTAATTTCGTTTTAAGAAGTTCATAATCCAAAGTGATCCGCTCTTTTTCTTTTTCTAATTCAACAATCCTTTTCGTTGCTAACTCTATCTGCAAAACGTAGAAAGAAATAAGCAACTATAAATCGGCAGAAAGCTCCAAAATTCTAGGCGAAAGTACTTTGATTTGATAACTGAAGTTTTCTATCGAACTGTCATATTCAACATTAGGACCGCATATTATTAAATGCAAGAGTATACTACAAGATAAATTAAGGAAATGCACTTCGGATTTCCAAAAATCGGTAGCTGACCGCGCACATTTGTTTTTTGATATCTGTACCTGTAATAAAATATCTATATCCATATTTTTAGCATCAAGAGAAATGGTGTTCTCGATGTTCAAATAAATAGATATATTAGCTAACAATAAAACATTAATAAATTTACTTCCTCATGTTTAACTTCGCCATTATTCTTATTAGCTACCATCTTCACAGCACTAGTTGGCAGTGCAGAATCTGACAGAGAACAAGCATCTTCCGTGTTCTTGGAAACAACGTCTACCCTGGAAAGCAAACTTTCAGCTTATAAATTTAAGTCGCATGTGTTCATTTTCTAAATAATCCAATATTGCAACATACTCTTTTATTTGATTAGAGTTCATGATCAGCTGTACAAATGCAACGAAGCTATTGAAATTGCGATGCAGCGATGTCAAGCAATTGTTTATGCATTCATTGACACAGCGTAACCGCTTCGTAGCTGTCGGAATGTGATTTTCGTTGAAAATTTTTGCCGTATAAGTACGACTACAATCTATAAAAAAAAGATTAAAATGTTGTCAGAAATTCTACTATATTTCTCCAATAATCTACAGCATTTCCATGTTAACATTATATAGCAAAATATATTCCTCAAATTATACCTGCCAACGCTGCTCTCGATTTTTCGACCAAAGCAAACAAGTCCAATGCAGATTGACCATCGCTGCATTTAATTTGCCCAGAAAGAGCAATGAGAGATCGAAGAAGTGTAAGAAATGCAGTAGTCCAATCATCATTACATTTGCTTAGATTCGTTCCGCACCATGATATCCTATTTTCATCAACACTATTTTCATAGAACAAGTCTTGCCATTCCTGTAATAATCAAATGTTGAGAGAAGCATTTTCCTTTTATATCATTAGATTATTCAGTATTGCGCCTTATTTGACTACAAGCTAGACTTAATCATCTCGAAATGAATAAATTGAAGAAATTATTCCTTCAATTTATACAATTAAACTATTTCAACCACTCATTACCATGAGTTGATGGCGTTGATCAGAAATCAGGCGTTGCTTGCAACTTCCATGAAAAAGAATGTCACCAGTGGATGATAATTAATAAACTTACCTGACAAGAAAACAATGCGCTAGTGATAACTGAAATAATTTCTACGCACTCAGCAGATAAGTTACAGCAGTCATTATCAGTGCTTTTTATCAGAATATTTTCAATGCTGCTTGAACAGGCTTCAAACATATCACAACTTGATAACAATCGTCGTCCATACTATAAAAATTGAAAAATGACAGTAGAGATACAGACAAAACTTTCAATTTAAAGAAATTGTTGCTGCTATTGCAACACAATGATCTACGTTCCTATGTGTAAAATAAACCAAAATAAAATAAACTTTAAATTGCCACTCTTTTATATTCCTCTAAAAGTCATTTAGTAAACCCATGATATAGTAATGAGTATGTATAACGCACCAAGTAGTAGCAATTGCTCTAAAACTTTCAAAATCACATCAATACCAAATTGAATTTAATAAAACAAGCAAAAGCCGTCAAGAGAATTGTTCTATTGCAACCACTACAAGTGACCTCTATTTCCCCACCAGAAGTGTCCTCTCCGGTAATTTTTCCATGTTACTATCATTTGGATAGATTGTGGAGCGTTGCTCAAACAGCTGAAGTAAATTTGCAAATCCAGCTGCTAGCATTCTTGCCATACGTAAGGCATCTAGCCATAGAACTTGCAGTGTCTCTTTCATAGCGACAAATCCTTCAGAATGTAACGCCTTAAAAAATAAATAAACGGATAATCCCGATAAGATAAAAATTAAAAACATGATGTGAACAAAAACTGATCTAGAGCAAACACTTTTCAAAATAAGTAAGCCATTTTCAGACAGAAGAAGCCATCTGGCTTATTATGTTCTCTCCCCAAATACTCTTTAATCCACATTTCAGGGAAATAACCAATTTATTTCATTTGAGATTTATTATGACTTCCTAGAAATGATATTATTTTATTACAAAGCTCATGGTAAGTTTAAACATAATTTGTTTTGAGGAATGAAATCATTAAACAAATAAAATGCAATTTACCAAATTTTGACTCCCTGTAGCGCCAACTTCCATCACTGACATGTTCTCAGCAGCTAACTGGATTTTCAACTGTTTTCCCATGTTACAATTCCTGAACAAAAAGCTAATAAATACAGCGAATAAAATTTTGTGCCTTTCACAATTAACAGCATGCAATAGAATAAATAATGAATATGAACAGTTTTCTAAAAATAACCAGATGATACTTCCAAAATAATGCAGAATGGATAGAAAAGACAAAGGATTGTTATCCACCAGTTCTATCCTTCTAGACGATTGGTCCAAGAGCAGCACACTAGCTTAAACGTTCGAGAAAATGCCAAATTAATATATTAGGTCAAACTAAACTTAAAAGGAAATTAAGTATACTGACACTGTCTGATCAGTTACAACATCCGTCTTTATCCTTTTAAGTTCTTCTTTCAGCTTTACATTTTCGATTTCAAGGATCCGATATTGTTCATTAAGAGCTGACGTTGTTTCCGTATATTCGCTTTCCAGGTCGGATATCTGAAATAGCCAGATTTTGCGTTATAAGAAAGATAAAAGAAAGTAACTACACTTTCAGATAAAGTCATTACACTTTCTGACCGCTCAGGAGTATTTCTCTGCGTCAGAAAAGCAATGACTAAAGGCAAAACTTCGACTCACTTTTGATACCGATTTAATTAACTCGATTTCAACTGCATTTTACCTAAAAGTTAGTTAAATACATCATTTCTGATAAGCTACTTGATTTGAACAACAATTTTAATTTAATTTATACTGAAAGAATTATAGCTAGTTGCATCAAAAGTAATACCTTCCTGTGCAATATTTCATTTTCTGCCACTTTCTTCTGCAATTCCATCTGCAGAACACCATTATCCAATTCAATCGAACGTTCTGCACTTGCATTCTTTTGAAACAGTCCTCGTTTCTGAAGGAAGAAAGAGTTCAGAAACATCGACATAAAGATTTTCTCTATAACGACTTTAAAGAAAAATTCAAAGCAAAAATATCAACCTTAACGGATGCCTGTTTAACATTGTCAATTTCATTTTGTAATGATTCGACTCGCTTCACCAGCTGGCTATTACGAAATTCAAATCCTTCCTTTTCATTTTCGAGTTTCCGCAATGCTGATTCGCTGTTATGCAAATCAACCTAAAAATCCCGAAAGAAATTTAAGAATACTAAGTAATTATTCGATAAAAGTCTCTGGTTCACAAACTGATAGGACAAAAATATTATAGCCACACAAAAATATATAGCCATACAACATATGCACAGAAAACATAGTTAGAAACAACACGCTGTATTCGCATTATTATATGATTTATCTAAACAACACGCACAAAACTCTTCATCCTCCCAATAATGGAACTCGAGGATACTGTTACAATACTTTTCATCATATAATAATGCGAATACAGCGTGTTGTGCTTAAACTGTTTTGAACTGGAATTAAGTAATCATTTGAGATAAAAACTAGAAAAACATCTCTAGAGACAAGAATTTGATGAATGTTCATAGAAGAAAGAAAAAAGAACATTTATGAAGACTTATTAAAAATAACGAAGCAGTAACGAATGAAATAATTAAGCAAAATGAACAAATTGTTTTTTTTTTTTTTTTAAGCTCCTTCATAAATAACTAACCGACAGCTTTTCATTTTTTGCTTGTTCCGCAATAACAGCATTCTTCAACGTGGATATTTGAACTTTCAACTGCAAAAATAAAAGTATGCACTTTTATCTTCGATTTTATTAAAATTCACTGTTGGTCAATTAAATGTTTTATAAATTAAAAATAGCTTGGCTCATTATCAACCGCTTGTTATTGAACTACTTCAAAAGTTCAAAGCTTACAAGCTTTGTATTTAGTTCAACTTACAGGCTTATATTGAAAAAGTTAATGAACCTTAGCATACTCTGCAGCGACACGTTGATATTTGGTATTGATATCAGCATTTGAAGAGATTGTTGACATCTACACCCCACATCAACTCTTTCCACCGCAACTAACTTTCAACCAGCTACCCGGAAAATTCAAGCACAAACGTACGCAACGAATATGTGAGAAAACGTATTATAACATCAATATTTGAATAAAAACTGAAATTTCAACTATTCAAACATTCCCATTCTTTAACTTCCATCAGCCGAAGTATATAACTCATTTCCACAAAAAACATTATGCTGATAAAATACTATGACACTATGACTTCCTACATTTCATACTGTCCCATCCGGAAAACATTTGAGAGCCGGTAACCCTTTGGAATATCAATCATCAAGAAGCTTCTTTTATTGTTGCGAGATTAATTCTGGGCGATATTCCTCTCTAGAAAGCTGTTACGAAACTCGTGGTTCATCCACAGCGACAAATTAGTTCCCATCCCTTATCTGAGGTTTTATCTTCCCCGATTATCTCACACCGGATCAGTAGTACAGTAGCTGCAGAAGTTATCTGAAACATGCAAAAGGAAGGACTAAACAGATTAAAATATTAATATACCTATAAATGTTACGAACAGGTCTATGAAAGTTACATCGATCAAATATTTTAAACAAAGTTTATTTCCCATGAAAATTATGAATGAAAAAGAATCCTAGCAGTTGCAAATTCAAACACAACTGAAGAAAGCATAAATAATGGAATAAGATGATATGAAGATAGCTATCATACAAGATATACAAGTAAAATCTTACTCAAATCCAGTATTTTTTGCCATGAATATTTCAAATCTTCAATATTTTTCTTATTTCACTTAAAATTCACAGAAGTGTTTCACTAACAATAAATCTATCACAGGCCAGAACTTTTTCACAGTAACAAGTTCTTACATTTGCTTCCAGTAACATGAACAAAGTTTTCGGGCTGTTGGCAGCAGTGAAAGATTCCATGTGCACTCTATGAAGAGAGCAATCACAAATTCATCAACCGTTCTCAAATTACCGGATGAAAAAGACACACAGAGCAAGACAGGAAGAAAGCGAGTGAGCTTGAAAAAAAGAAAAAGGAAACCAATGATTACTGAATGGTGAGAAACCATAAAGTCTAACAATGCCGATTGAAAAGCGACAATTCGTAATTTCAATTACAGAAGAATATTGCAAATGCGATGGAAACTCGTAATCATGACAATCTCATGATCTGTGTTTCATAGGTTCAAAAATTGATACCAATAGAAATGAATCAGCAAAAGTATTACCAACTAAATTTGAAATTCATTATTTCACAAACCGAATAAAAAATTATGAAAAAATTATTTTTCCACTTAATTTTTTCACGCAATAAATTCATTAAGTGGAGAAGCAATTTTTCCATAATTAACTTTGAGTCATATCCTCCTTAAATTATTAGTTCAAATGAGTATTCTATGTTTGAAGATCGTGATACGTTGGGACAATGCCCCCTCAATAGTTCTACAATATTTAACATGAAAAAAGCATGGAATTACGAAATGTATAATGAGAGGAAAAATTAACAATGTTAACAAGAAATATAGAACAAGCAACCAGTGCTGTTTGGAATGTCAAAAATAATCAATGCCAACAAATTTTCAGCTAATTTATTGAAACTCTTCGTTTTTCTTCGCTAAACAGGATATAAGACTATTTAATAACAGCAGAATGAAATACACATTCTTCAGGAATTGTGTAACGTAACTATATTAACAAATCTGCAAATCTGCTTATGTTACTGCTACTTTCGAGAAGTAAACAAGTCCCGTTTAATTTAGCAAAACACTCCTGACAATTCGTTATAGGCATTTCCAACTGACAATGTAATTGTACACTATTTGGACTAAATGGATCCATATCAATTATACGACTGCCTCAGCAGCTATAAAAATGATCATGTTGTAGAAGCATAAAGGTGGATGAAAGATGACCGACCCACAAAATGCATTGGTCTGAATGAATATGATATGCAACGAATCACTGAGATGAACGTTTTCGAGAGAAATAAATTTTTGAGTTAAATGGGGAAAATTACATTTCAAACTTGCATAGGGACACTGTAGTTGATAAAGCAACACAATATCCCTCATGCACTGCATGTGTTATCCATCGCTATTACACTGTGATCAGCACAAAAACTGGAACAAATCCAGTTACCATTCGGTGGAGACGATAAGCCAACACAAAATGTATGATAACCGCGGTCACAACGATCGCAGAACATCATCGCATCCTGTAAATGCTCATTTAATCAATGCCCATACAAACATATACTTACTTATAAGTACATAGAGTACAAACAGATTCCTAAACAATTCCTCTGAAACGTTAACAAATTAAGCAGTACAAATAGTTCATATAAATAACGGCGAAAATCATGCATGCCTAAACTATTCAATGTCCAAAATCATATCAAACTTGAAGAAAGTGAAAGCCGACAATTCCTGTTTCAATTGTGGTAAATAAAGAAAGAAATAAATACTAAGTAAAACGGCAGCATTAAAGGACTCTGTAAAAATTTGAAAAAATCCTGCCGAACAACTAAATTTGATTAACACTAAATCTTCCAGCAATATTTTAAATTTATTCTAAAATAATACTTTTTCTAAACTATAAAGCACAGTCGAGTTCGCAATATTTCCATGTACCATAACCCATTGTACACCAAGATATTTTAATTTTTACCCTATTTTCCTTCCCTCATTTTCCTTTTTCAGTTTTTCCATTAACCGACCACAATACTTGACAATAATTTTTGCATATTTCACCTCATTATCCGGTTTTTCGCATATCGTACATTTCTTGCATTCAATGCAGTTCCATCTATAGTTCACTGCAACTTTAACGACGTGTTCCGGCAAACCAGCACAATCCGGATGCACTACATTATTACAATTAGAACAGGATAACATTTGACGCTCCTCATTTTCCCCGCATATCGAACACTGTTGTTGCTGTTGCTGAGTCAAGTCCTATAATCAAAACAAGTGTTGAAAGTGCTTTTTGGTTTCATCAAACACTTATACGGATTCTAATTCTTTTCCCAAGTTAATGTCTTCAAATCAAACCTATCTTATCGTTAGTCATTAACAAATTAAATCATGACTTCTCGATACACCTTCTTTTCCTTTATTTTCAATTGAACTTGAGGTTAACATAAAAAATTTTCGCAGTCAAGTAATCAATCCATCAAATCGGAGAAAATGAAGAGATTAACAGCCCAGAAGTAGCAGCGTATGACAGGAAAAATCAGTGAGAAGGAAAAATGATTAATGAAATTCGAAATCTGCTTTGAAGGGAAAAATTTGCATTCCCTCGACATTTTCCACCACCTTCACATACACCTCCCTTCTCCAGACAAAAATTATGAAAATAAATTTATTTCCATCACTTCCCATAACAGTAATATTCTCTTCCCCACTTTCCTCCTTTTTTCTCAACTACAATAATTCACATAACGAACTACATCTTGTGACTCGGTGAAATCAATGATCTTTTCAAATAGATAGCAAAAAAAGAAAGAATAAAATAAGAAAAGCATGACGAGAAAGCAATCTGACTAATACAATCAACGATCGAATACACAATTTTTCGTTCTGCTTAGTATGAATAAATAAATACGTAGATAACTGGAAAAGTAAATGTATAAATGAATGGTAAATACTTCTGGAGTATCAATTCATTATGTTTCAAATTCAAGATATCAAACTTTGTTGCTCGTTTTGCCTTTGTTCTTTCCAAAATATGCAAGCTTATATGTCTAAAAAAAACTATATTTTCAAAGTGAAAGAATTTACTAGATTTGAACTACTGCATCAATAAAACATCCTTAAATCACCATAAATGCATTGTTTACTATTCATATTCACTACGCCATATATGCACGATTCTCTGAAAACTGAAAATGCAACTACAGTAACAATTCAAAAAAGAAGTCATATATTACAAAGGCAAAAATTTTTCAAAACAATGCAATACCAGTATACCTGACAGAAACGAATCCAGATGGATTGGAGATCAAAATAATTGTTAAATAAAAGCATTATTGCTTAAAGTAAATCTTTTTCTTCGACATACTGCTATCTATGAAGTATTAGATAATTTTTCTGAGTAGCAACAATTAAAAAGAGCATGTATAAATACTGCAGACGTAATTTAAAATGTGAAAATTCAGATATAAAACATATATATAACAAACAAGGTTTATATTTAGCAAAAAGAATATTCGATGAAGACGCGTAAGAATATAAAGATAAATAAGCCATGGTAGTTAATTCTCGGTGCTTTACCATCGATATTATTGAGACATTAAGAATGAAATGCAGTTCTTTGAATGTACTTATTTTAATTCTTGATTAAGCACCGAACTGCATTTATCATTGAGAATTTTCGATCTTCAGTAAATATACTTACCATCATCCGATCCTATGAAGACTTGACCATTTAATTTGTCCTTTTTTGAGCAGACGAACAAAAAGATGCAAAAATGGTAAAATTTTGAAAGCACAAACTCATTTCTCCAAGGATGTTGGAAAGTCCCTTTCTTGCACTCCCTACATTTTGAAACAACGAAAATCAAGCAGGACAAATTCATGTTTCTGAAGGCCTATATCTAGGGAATGAAGTAATAAAAATAAATATAAACCAAAATGAAACGTCCGGTGCTGCAAATCTTACGAAACCTCACTGAATCGCAAGACGACGACCCAAAGAGATTGCTGAAGTTCAGTTTGCTAATCAAGGCACAAAATTTTACAATATACAAAAAAGAAGCTATGCAAAAGAAAAACGCATTAATAAAATGAAATTTTCAACAACGATGCTAAAAATATCATTTGGAACGCGCAAATAATCCGGATGTCTTCAACAGTGACTCCAACCTAAATTCTTCAGGCATCATATGTGACGCGAAAAGTCCAAATAATCACTTCGTAGAAGTTATTCGGTTAACGCGAAAGCTTCAAAAAACAAAGTTCTACTTTATAAAAATTAAGTTCTGAAAACAAAGATTTCCGATTACTTCAGTTGTCGATGATAAAACGAGTGGATTCCTCCGACCAGTACATCTGAAGATATCAACAAATTGATGAAAAGTTTACAGCGGATGACTGGATGAGAAATCCTGGATGATATTAAGATAATGCGAAAAAAGATAGAAGAGAATACGCCAACTCGCTTTTTGAAGAAATGAAGGAAATCGCAGATATACACATAATAAACGATCACAAACATCAGTTTATCATCAACTGTCATCCTTTACAAAAATTAGCAAATAGAATGTGGAAGTGCATTAGCACTTCAAATAATAAAACACTAACCTGAGAATCCACTTTATCCAGCTTTGTTCTGATATCATCATTGTAATTAGAGGGTAATAAAACTGGAGGCGGTAGCTCGAGCTGGTTATCATGTTGTCCAGGATCACTACTTTCAATATTTGTTGTCACTGTTACCTCTTCCTCGTGAACAATCACAGGAAGCGGTGAAACAGGTCGTTTCGGAGGCAAAAGATAGTCATAATCCAGCACAGTAGACAATGGTAATCGACGTAATTCTTTTGAAGTAAACCTTAAATTTGCAACACATAAGCAACGTAAGCGAAATCCAATTCATTGACATTCAAAGGCATCACCAAAACAACAATAATGTTTTACCTTCACTGTCATGAAAAAAAAAAAAAAAAATTAAGACCTCAACGAGGCGATAATGACAATCAAGAAAATATATACTTTTTATAGAAATGCTGATATTGGCCATGAATAAGCGCAGCAGGATAGGGTCCTGGGCGCGTGTATTCTGGAGGCATCCGTTTCCATCGATTTTTTGATGACTGAATGATCTAAGAAGAAAAAAGTATTGTTCATTTTCACGAAGATGTAACTATTGACTCTATAAAATTCTGCAACATACCGATGTTTGCAAATCCCAAAAATAGCGTCGTTCGGTCCGTTTAATTACGTTCATTTCAGAATTAAATTCAAAGGCGCTCCTTATAGCACTCTTTCTCAGCTCATCCATCTTCTTTGTATCGAGCTTTATCTGAAATACTAAATGCATAAATCCTATTCCAAACAAAAAATTCTTTCTCTTCCAAATATTTGATTAAATTAACAATCAAACATACAGCATCCAGTCGCTTTTGTTCTTCTGCCATTTGCAATTTCACTTTATCAGCCGCTGCCCTTTGGTATTCCTTAAGAAGCAAAAAAATTTATACAATCAAAAAAAAAATGCCTGTTGAAACACAGAATACAATATTGAGGATTGGCTATATTATAAATATATTCTTCCTTATAAAAAAAAGTCTGTATATAGCTTACGGAATATACAGCTGGATAATCCGAAGCCATCAATTCGTGAACTTCAATTGCTCTTAAGGCTGTCAGACCATGCATTTCTGAAAATAAGTATGTTTCTAAACATCACCAGCTTTGAACAACATACCAAGTTCCCTCAATAATCGACAACTTAGGATTTGTGACAAAGCATCGGTAATGTCAGAGTTTTTGTACTGAATGACCATTTTACAATCCTAATTACAATCAGCACAACTTAATTTAATTTCTAGTTTCTTAATTAATTTATAAGGCGTTCAGTTAACGTTTTTTTCGCAGTTAGTACAGATGTAAAAAAGGATTTAAATACAAGAATAGCAAAGCACAGGTATTCTAAAAAAAAGATCGTGGAATAAATGGTGCAGCATAATCTATACTGTATATGAGGGAAATACTAGATTTGGAACTTACGGTGCTCATTTATGGCTGTAGCAAGTTTATAATTAGCCAGCAAATATTCCCTCTCGTTGATTTCAATGGTATGCCGACTCAATTCAGGGTACTTCCTTTTGAATGATTTCACATCCAGCAGTTCCGCAATTTGTTCCTAAACGAAGAATTATGCTATATGAACTTCAAATGATTGAAATATAACTTAGAACGCATGACATTCCGACAACTATTTGCATGCAGATTAGCAGATCGAGAAGCAGTATTCACAACCAACCCCAAACGTGAAATAAGCGACTAACAGATAAGTCGCCATTGTAATATTTAAGCATTAAAAAGAGAAACATTTAGGAAATGGAAAGTAAAACCACGGCCGTCTTTTCCAATCCTTGATATAAAGTGTTCATCTAACTGCGAGCCTACATAGAGCAAACGAAGAAAGCAAGAAATTGAGGTTTAAAAAAGTGCGCGTAATTAATATACTGTAACTTTAACAATGAGCAAATCAATAATGTCAGTGAAAGAATTATGAATAAGAAATGCTTTATTTATTAAATATGAAATAAACTATTGCATCTTAAATTTAAATATTCGTTACTATTATCATTGAAAAGATTTTATTCAAATTTCTTAGTATCTCAAGCGGTAGAACGGTAACGGAAAACTTATTTTAACAAAAAAAGGCCTAATCTTTGGAACCGCAAAGAAACGTAAAAAAAGCCAAACGAACTTTACAAAGAATGACTACATTATACGAAGTGATGTAGGAAGTGCGAAACTTGAAAGAAAAGTTGATTTTGTCAAGAAATAGTAATGAACTACAAAATCACCTAACACAGAAAACATAAAACCGGAACTTACTTGGATAAAATAACGTTCCCCGGATTTCGGCGGCCATTCATATTCGATAATGTGGCTCGGTTCAATATGCATATGTGTTGTATCAGCTGTAATGACACGTGTTGACGAACTCTTAATCATTCGACCTTCTTTGCCACCTGTAGCATTTACCATATCAAGATACGAAAGGTTAGAATACATAATATATTGGTTGAATGAAGACATAAGGCGATGATTATTTCCATTTTGCAATTCAGTGGAATTCGAAAATTTTGCTGGAATCTTTTCAATAAATAAATATTGACCGTTACGATGGTCAATATGTATTTATTGTAAAGATCATATCATAATGAGCTTAGCTAGAATCTAAATAAATGGTGAGTATCATAAGTGTTCTTTCAAAAGTTCCATGCGTTGGACTGATAGGATCTGGATTGATAAAATTCATTAATAAATATATAAAGCTAAACAGAAATAGAGCTGAAATTACAAATTTTTGGTAGTCCTTCAGTAGGAACCGATTCAGGATCAGAAATTGGCAAGGATAATTTTGTTGATTCATTACTGATTTCATCAACAGCCATCGCCGATGTAGGTATAGATGTTGGTGCTTCACTGAGCTTCGAACTTGACGATTCATCCCCACCTAGCACGATATCCATCACTAGAATAAATTTATGGATAATAAACTGAATCAGCAATGCAGCTAAAATTATTGTCCAGTGTTATAGTTTCAGTTGTTTTTTAGTGAAAAACTGAAGAAGGAAAATGGAGGAAAGGAAAACAAAGTAAAAATTAAAAATATATGAAACGCGACAAGACTGCGAAATTTCCATCGCTAATTTCAACCATTACATCCAATGAAGTTTACAATTTGCAGACTAACTTGTAACTATTCCCATTAAGTCAAATTTATTTTCAATAAAAATTATTGTATTTGAAAAATTTGCGATTTAAATGAAATTTATTGTAACAGTGTTATACACAGCATCATATCATATTTTACATGTACGACACCACACAGCACCACACCTGACATCACATAGAGCGCAGCGCCGGATGAGGAACTAGAACCCATTTTCAACAATTTCGGTGCTACATTTTCTAACAAACGCAATACTCACAGTGCAAATTAATTTCCGGCTAACAAACGATTAATTACTTTTGGGATTTGTCACTTTCTTGTGGGTTTTCATGGAAAAAGAGCGACCGGAAGAGGCATACGATCCTTTTGAACGTGCAATTCGTAAAACTGGATGTTGGAAAGAGCATTTGATGTGTGCTGAATGTATAGGTGATACAAAAGATTGGCGAGAGTGCAACGAAGAGGTAACACCTCTTTTATTTTTTATCATTGTTATCCATTCAGGGTTTTGTTCTTTTCGTACATTTGATAAATTTTTTTAAATGTCATAGTTCTGCTGCACATTTCTTTTTTAGCTTTACTTGTAAATCAGTGTCCCTTAATCAATCATTGTTATACAATAATGCGAACTGATAATTATAGACTAACTTCAAATGATTGTTAAGCAATTCGTTGAACGGTACTTAGTTGCTATATTTGCTATATGTTAGCGGTAGTGTTTAATTATTGGTAGTTATTACCTTTAATAGTACTTAATTGTTGGTAATTAATGCCATCAATTAAATATTGTAATTAGCTCGTTAGTTAATCAGCTTTAATTGGTTGAAGTTAACTACACTTCATGCAAAGTGTCGACATCAAATTTTCAGTTGATTATTGCACGCTAATTTCAATGGGAAGGAAAGTTTACACTCAAAACTAATTTTTTATTTGCAGTTGCAGAAATTTAGAAGTTGCATGCAAAATTATATGCAAGATAAGCTGGAGTCTTCTCAAAAAGCGTCAAATTAAACGATTGATTAATGTCAGTATTTTAATAATTTCATTTTAACTCCTCATTTAGAATATCATCATGTCCAAAATATTGTAACTTTCCTCATATTTGCAGTAACTTTACTTTTAATTTTTTAGAGTTAGAAATTGATTATTTCGAGAAAACAACCAGTCCCGTTAAAAGAATCAATGCTTCCCGAAGCGTTTGCCGAACTTATTATTGATTTGGATGATTGTGATAGTGATAGCCGTTTGCATCTAAATTATACTGACCCATATGTATACGTGCCTTTGGATCGATCACCTAGATGGTTCCTTGATGATAATTTAGTTAGTTTTAAATTTTCTCGCCTTATAATTTTTGTTTCCTTTATTTCTTTTTGCTTCATCAATTCACTCCTCTTTTAATTTCATTGTCTTACGAGTAACGGTGATAGCAAAAATCGTGAAATTGTCCAGAACCGAGCTGCTTTCGCTTATCTTCGAGGCGACTACATCGCCGCAATGGATGTATGTTATTTTATTGAATATCAACTTAAGTAAACAAGTTGCAGAAAAAATGTCCATGTTTTATCCATATCATTTTTATAACTCTTCAGGAACAGTGCGAAATGATAAAGCTATTAATTTTCTTAATACAGTTGATTATCATTGGACCTTTTTCAATTTATAATATAGGTAAGTCAGGAAACAACATCTAGAAACTCCATTTTTCAGATGTACTTCTCTTTGTTAAAAAATGAAACAAAGAACGGCAGTAGCAACTCCAATTTTGCCTTAATCGATTCTGTTATCCGATGTGGCTTAAAAGTAAGTTTCTCACGTCTGCTTTATGGAATTTCAATTTTTTCACTTTGTCTTGTCTATTTATAATATAGAATCATTTTAGATTGCTCCAATAAATGGTCCTCAATTGTTCTTTTTGCTTCAAAAACTACATGCATTGGTATCAACATATGATGAACAGTTACAATACTGGATAGAAAGTCTAGAGGTGTGTCCCTCATTATCATTCTCATTTTTAAACATTGAAACTAACACTTGCAAACCATGCAGCACTATCAAAAACAGAATATAAAATAGTTGTTATAGCCTACTGTAGTCAACCAAGGATGTTTCAGGTGTATTTAGCAACTGGAATCGGTACCAGCAATTATTTACGAAATGCAGTTTTATTATGTGCCAGTATTGATTCACCAGAATTTTGGATCTCAATTTCAAAAAATGCTCCAGTATCTCTTTTATTTAGTTTGTAGTTTATATAAACTATAAAACAGGTTCATTAATAGCGAATTTGAAACGATCCTGAGTTAATTTTATAAACGACACTAATATCAGGATCTTTGTGCAAATTTCCGAATTGGATCATTATGCCGTGCTGTTTGCATTTTGGAAAATTTGCTGCCATCCAAGGCTAAATGTTTCCATCCTCATAACTTGAAGCTGATGAAAGTAGAACTCCAGAGCCTTTGTAATGAAGGGAAGGTATGCATCTTTTCCAACCTTAAAGTCTTCATGTTCTAATAACTGTGTTCATTTTGCATTACCAATCTTTTGAATTTCGAACCATTTCGCAATTTTCAGTTATCCGAAGCAAAAGCAGCCATATGCGCCGATCTTATAAAAAGCGAAAAGACTAACACAACAGGAGTTAACCGTCCTTTCTTTTGCAAGGGTGTTCTCAAGGACAGGAAAGCTGAAGACGTTATAATACTTGAATTCACTCATCGTTTTTACTGGCTGTTTAGTGATGTAAACCAACAGTTAGTTAATGCCATGTTGCAGATATCATAAACAATAAACAGGACCTATCACAAATCATTACTTATTTTCAATGCATTTTATAACAAAAATTCTTGTTATCAATGCTTCCTGTTTATTTCCATCACAAATTGGAAGTCATCCAAAAGTCAGAAAACTTAAAGAACCTATAAATTTATGCATACAATTGCATGTACAAAGCCGATGCAAAAGCAAACTAATATAATACAAAATTACGGTAGTAATCATTATACAACATTATCACCTACGGGCGATTGTACGAACGGTTCATCTTTTTTTCTGTGTTCCTTGTCGCGTTGTTCTTAAAAAAGCAAAAAAAATTATAGAAATAACACAATGAAAGATCAACTAACCAGAAAATGCAGTTATAACAAAGGGAACCGTGAGAAGGTCCTACAAAACTCTTCTATACCTCACCTTTTAGCAATGGTTTTTCCTGTTATGCCTCTCGCGAGTTCCTCACTTAAAGCAACTTTGAGACTTTTTAAACAACATTATTTTAATTACGTGAATTCTGGATCAATTTGTTCTTGGAAATTGTTTTTGTGATTTAAAAGTGACATGATATTGAAAATTTTCAACATCTATAAAGTGCTTTGAAACAAAGGCTTCTCTCATTTTGTTATCCGCAGAACTAGGCTAAAACAAAACCAATACATTACTTCTTTTTTCAAGTGTTTTCCGCCAACGACGATCTAGACGTGCTTGATCTGCGCGTATGCTATGATATATATCTCTCAGCTCCTGCATACGCTCTTGATAGCTGTTTATTAGCGCTTCCCCAGTTAAATCTTCGTCTGTAATGAAACCAACATCGTCTATAAATTATTTAAATTTCAAATTCTATGTTTCTGGAGCCTCGGGTTAATTAACTTTCGGAATGAACAGCTGAGCTCCAACTGTACCTATACTTCAGAAATAATTAGTGCATTTAATTATAAATACCAGAAGCAGAATCAGTATAAAAGCTCTCATTAACAAAAAATCCAAATATACCAATTGGCTCCAAATTCAATTCTTTTTCAGCATAAGCCATAGCTCCTTCTGATTCCACTTTTTGTTGCATACGTACTTTCAAAGCATGCCAACTATCCCTTACACTTGGCAAACCTGTAAAATAAACCATATAAATATAATGAACATTACAAATAAAAGCGCAAACAATTTTAACTAAATGAATTTGAAAGATTATTTCCAATCTAAATTAACACTCCCAGTACTCATTCTAAGGCAAAATTTTCTGTTAACCTTAAAGTGCTTTTGGAAAAATAGTCTTTTGCCAATTAATATTCAAGCAGGTAAAACACACTTTCGTCATCACTTGATGAACATTCCTCACTTTCTTTACTTCGTTCCTCACTATTTATTTGCTTGGATCCTCCTTTTCCTATGCCTTTACGTTCAACCAATATATTCGATGCATTTCTACCAACTTTTTTTTTTTTCATTCCACGTCCACGCTGTTTAAGTCCGAGAGACATCGACGGATGCCAAACTAAAAATTTCAAACTGTACATTAAAAGCACTGGACTTTCTCGCCGAATTAACTTTTTCAGCTCATCACTTGTTTGACTTTAGCCGTATTCTCAAATTATCATAAAATTATCAAAATAAACTCCAAACTTATATTGAAAAATGGCAATGCTTACAAGACGATGAACCCACTTTTCTTAGCTTATCATGATACCTCACCTTCATCATCACATTCCTTTGAAGCTATATCTTCTGCTGCGGCTTCTAATTCCAACGAGATTTCTTTACATGATGTTATTTTTTGAACCGGATCCCCAGCAGGTGCTGAAACAGGAACACAGCGCATTTTATCGCCTCACACCCTATTACGAGCGCATCAAGTTTAACACAAATTTTAACACAGTATAGAATCGTAGGAAATAGTGTTTTATTACTATAACTGCATTTAAAAAAATAAAATAAACTGACAAATTTGCTGTAATGCAGTAATTCCCTTTTGCTTGCTGCCAACATCCTCTTTCAAATCCTTCTCATTACTTTTTGTTAGAATCATCAATTTTGATTGCCTTTCATCCCCATCCTGCAAATTCCAAATTTTTTTGTCAATCAAAGCTTTCAAGTAGGGCTATTAGGCATGTAACTTCCTAACATCAGAAGTCATGTTGCATATACCAGCGGATTTGTAGCCATAACTACATGCAACTAATATTAGCTCCCTTCAAACATAGAGATATAAGGTTCCTGTCGTTCGAAATAGTTTTGTAAACGACAAAACAAGTAAACCAGAATCCTTCATCAAACTCCATTCTAACTCAAAATTTTACAAACTGTACTGTACAATAAAAGCATAAGCATTTCAAGTATTCAAAGGAAAAGAAACACTCAAAAACCAACCGGATGTTCTTCTTTCTTTTCCACAACTTTTACCACTAAAACTGTCGATTTGTCTTCATTTTCGTCTATAAAACAATGATATTTATATAAAATACCTTGGACTGAATATTCCATAATAAAATCCGATATATATCGACATGATTAAAATAATATACCTGCTGCTTCAACCTGCGTTTTTTCAATACCAATTTGTCCAGTTCTGGATACTTCATCCTGCATCAACACAGGACCAGCTTCAACTTTCTCTGTTTTATTGTCACCAGCTGCTACAAGATATGCAGTACACAAAGCATACAACTGTTACCTTTAGTAATTTTGATTGATTTATAGCATAACTAAATTCTAAAAACTTTCACTAAAGAAAAGCATCATCATGCATACCATTTTCAGAAACGATAAACGGTGTCTTTCCTGAATTCTCTGAAAGATTTGCAACAGCTAGGCGGTTATCTGACATTGTTCTACGTCGCTTCGAATTTGAATTTGCTTCAGATAGCTTTTCCTGGAATTGATAAATTTCGATCTTTTTTTCAGCAGTGCACAATTTCTTGCTAATAAAGTGTCATATGATATAGAAAAAATAATGGACTTTGCAAAGTGAAAAATTAATCACGTAAAAATACTAACTTCTGCAATAACACCAGTAAGAAATACTGTACTCGATATAAGTTCACTTGCAAAAGAAAGATGCGGCGGTGTTTCCGAAACTGAAGCTTCTTCCGGCAAACGATTCAGCTAAATCATTGTCATGAAAAACATATAGTCCTTTTAATGTATACAAATATAGGCTTCTCCCTTTTCTTTGAGCACTCTCCCTTCTTCATACATCTTTTCCCCATTTTGCATTGCTCCTTCATCTTCCCTTCCCCTTTCTTCATATTATTACAGTGATGAAAAATTTCCACACCACTAGTTTTTTAATTAGACAGTATTTACGGAAAAAGACATACAACAATTTCTGCATCAGATTCAGTCAAAAGATTGATGCTCGCAAGATGGACAGCACTCTGCTTCACTGATTCATCCGGTGCTTTCAGTACCGTTGAATCAGCCGCTGTCAACGAGACTTTCTACAATTTTTTTAAATTTAAAAACAAAGAACTTGAAGGGAAAAACTATGAATTATGAAACGTTCTCAAATCTCAAAAACATACTAAAATGAAATTCGATTTTTAAGAATAGAAACAGTTGCCAAAAAACTTACCAGCACTTTTTTCACTTTTTTTTCCGAGATCGTAGTAGAACGTGAACGAACCTCTGAATGTGTAGCATGTTCATGAGTGTGCGATAGTCGCCGTGGTCTAAAAAAACAATACGAACAAATCTAAAGACACATTTTCTGTAGTCTCCAAAGGAGGCTTTTTTAAAAGATTACAAGATGTGATATATTTCAAGTTTTTGCAAATTTTATAATGAAATCCAAAATCCAATCATAAATTAAAACTTCCTTAAACATGCGATTTTTCGCGACTTCATACTTGATTAAAACGACCATCTTTCTCAACATCTTTTTCAATTCAATGTTATAGCATATATAAAAACCTCATAATACACAATTCGACTCATTTCTTCCTCCTCTGATTTCTTACCGAGCTCGTCCTCTCCCTTTCCCACTCTAAATTGTATGTTACTTAGAAAAGCTACATATCCCTCAAGTAAACTACTACATTCTCACTCACGGCTTCATATCAGCGACACGCTATAAACTATAATATAAACTATGTGTTCTTTCATTTGTTACTATCGCCTCCCCAAACTACCAAAATGAGTTATAATCTACTTTTACGAACCTCATTCCACTACTACACACTTCAGTTGCTAAAAGTTTCGCTGGATCAACAGAAGAACGCCATGCTACGGATGCTTCTAGAGTTGGGGCACTTAATTTGTCCGAAGCAAGCGACAAAAATTGTTCTTCCGATAGTTTCTGATCCTAAAAATTAGTTTCAATTTGAATGTAAAAATTATTTTCAATTGCTTCTCATCAGAAGCGTTTCTAACCAATAACTAAAAATCAAATTAAAAATTTCACAGTTTTGAATTTGAATTTCAAGCTAACATAAAGGACTTGAAACACTAACTTTTTCATGCACTTTAATTTTGATTAACTCGACCCACTCATCATAGCGGGAATTCCATCCAAGGTAATGTACACAACACGTCATTTCCCGAAGAATACCTTCTAACCGATCATTTAAACGTGCTGATGCTCTTGTCAATGATTCTTTTCGCTCTTTCTCATCGCAATCCATTGATTCATTGATGGCTTTGCATCTTAAAATTATCATTCAATTTTGCTGCCAAAGGAGCAAAGGATAGTTTAAACTAGAAAATATGCAGTATGCTTTATGTCACATGTTCTATCAAGTAAGCAGAAATGGGTTTTAGTTTTCGAAGTTATTTAGAGTCTTTTATACTGATCATTCCAGAAACATGGAATGGGAAACAAACCTCGCCTCGAAGTCCATCATCGAAGAAAGGACATCACCATGTGAAATTTTACCCACTGTAATTACTCTTGCATCATACCACTGACCGTGATGATACGCTTTCACATTTTGTCCCATGTAGAAATTTGTCAAGCTAAACAAAAGTAATGCTGCACACAAAAGAGTGAATTTCAATGATTTTTCAAATTTTACTACAGTACCCATGACGATTGCCACGGGCCATCAATTTCTTTCAATTAATTGCAAAGACGGACGAAATTACCTATCAGAAAAAAACCAACAGGCAGAAACAAAAGCCAACATCTGCATCAACAAGTCAAAAGGATAAGATCTACAAGAAACAAAAATAAAAACAATAAAATAAAAAAATAAAGAATCCAGCAAACACATAAAATGAAACAAATTCCCATGTTCTTCCCATACTCCCTCAAAAACGAAGCAGTAAAACTAACACTAAAGTATTCAATACTAAATTCCCCAACCAATTTATTCTCATACTCGGAAAAATCAAAAGGAACATGATGTAGATCCACCAAGACAAACAGTGAACCGAAACAAACAAACAAACAAAACCACTTATTAAACAACGAAGAGACAGAAAAGACAATCTCATAATAATAACTCTGGGCACATGCAAATATCCCCTTCCAGCTCAATACAAGAATATTTACTCTAAAAATACCAAATAATATAACAAAACAAGCGCAAAACCCACTGAACGACATATAAAGATACCACTATACTGAAAAGATAACAAAATAAAAAGTAAGGTAAATTAAACCAAAAAAATTAAAGCAAAAGCACAAATAGCATAAACAAGAAAGGTAGCCAAGAAGAAAACAAAATAACGCCCTTATTCAACAACCGAAGATCATAAAAAAAAAGAGTATGAGTATGCCAGAATAGCCAGCCTTATTGAGACCCCACGACACTGGGAACCTAAAAATGGTAAAACCTACACGGTAGCTGCAGAACAATTAAGCCACGGTACACCTTCCTTCGTTTTTTCCTTCCTGAGCACATGGGGAATATCCAAATCTTTTCCCATGGCACTTCCATCATGCTTGCTTATCGACAATTCCCTTTGATCAGCAGAAAGGCGAGTTCCAACTGTGCCCAACTTTCGAACTTCTTTTAAACGCATTTGCCGAATATGAACTAGAAAATGAGAAATATGATATTATGAATCTCGTTCAAAATCAAATACCACTCATGAAACGCTTTCCTGAGAATTAAAACGGGAATTTCTTATCATAACATCAGTATCATGGCCAAATGAAGTATTCACAATTCCGAAATTTTGGTCATGCAACGTTCTCAACAACAGCCTAATGAAATGAAATCAAACCGTCATCATCGCTTCCATTAATTCCCTGATCGACATTTGAAGCTGTTGAGACAATACTAGGGGATTTTCGTTTAATATAACTATCAGAAGGTGGCTTCTTCTCGGGTTTGCTAATCTCAAATGCGATATCAAAATAAGGAACAATAAGAGAAAATATCACAAAAAAAAAACATTCACAGAACTATCTCATCAAAATAATGGACAATAAAATACCTTTGACAATTTAGTCCTCTTATCAATATCGGAAGCTTTCGAGCTAAGCTGCTGTTCATCTCTAAAACAGACTACTTAATTCGAATAAAAAAACTTTGCGAAATTTCCAGTTGAACTGAACTATTGATTGACAACAAAAATTTTTAGCATCAAAAATTTCAACCATTTTTTATCTTAATGAAAAATTTTGAAATAAATATTGAAAATAGTTAAATTATATAGCAAGAAAATAAAATATCAGATGCAAAATGTTTAACGTTTCCCTTTCAGTTTTTAACAGTTAAACCATACTTATTTGCGTCCTTTTCATAATCTTTTTTTTTTGGACCTCGATGCTTAACTCTGTTTGATTCCTTCTCAGTCTTGAAACTTCCTTTTTCTTTGGTACTTTCGATTGTTCCACTATCGCTTATACTTCCTTTGTCCTGCTCTTCTTCATCTTTTGTCTTAGACTTTGTTCTACTACCAGGCGATAAGCAAAGTAACGGTGTTGAACTCTGTGATGACGTAGATGGTACACTGAAACAAACATGTGAATATTGATCACTGCGCCAAATTGTTACCCGCTCCTTTTAAATCCTTAAATCAGATCCAATACTAGACCATCTGCTTGTTTAGCTTATCTCATCCTTCACTAATAACACTAGAAACATCATTGCTCATCAGAACTCATGAGGCAGAAAGCCAGCCGCAGGCAAACAATATTACTTACATCTTCGAAAACATGTCTGCCAAGTATCAGTAGTGTCCACTCGTCCTCATTCTCACATCAAAACAATAACAGAGAATTAAAATAAAAATCCGATAACACTGTATTTATTTTAAATCTTGAAAAAAAAAAAAAAAAAACAGTAAAGAAAAGTCACAAAATTACATGCCCCTTCATTTTGTCGTCATCTTCGCTGACATCAGATTTCATCATATTTCGCTCCTCTTTTTTTACTTTTTCTCTCTTCGTGCGTGTCAAGCCTTCCTCTTTTTCTCGTTTCGTTACTTTTCCCTTGGTTGTACTTTCTTTTTGTCCCTTTTCCTTTTTTTTCGATGCCAGTAATGCCCATTTTCTTCTTTGTAACTACAAAATTGCTTACTTGATAGAAACAGAAAACATTTTGTATAACTTAACTTTTTGTATAACTTATTAGTGGCAACAAACCCAAACCTGTATATTATGACGGTCCAACAACCGATTTGGACGTTCACTACGACTGGAAGTTGACGGTGTCGGAGTAGACAACCAGCTCGAAATACCCAAATTGCGATAAAATGAGTTAAAATGATCCAAGTATCTGAATAAAGTCCCAAATTCAGCATGATTAATTTCATATTTTTAGCTTTGATTACTCACCTAGAATAGGCATTCTTCACGGTGACCGAAGTTGCACCTGGACATCCTTCCAAATGCATTTTCCGCAAAACCAACTTCCACTGATTGTTTTCGGTAACACGTTTTTTGCCCCCATATCGTTGAACCACATTATATAATCGAAACATGTCTATGTCTTTTCCACCAAGTATTGGTGCTCGATTAATAGGAGTTCCTGCAAAACAAATTGTAATGTGATAAAATTTTAACTGATTTCAATAAAGACAAGTGAAATATAATCTCGTTCTTCACAAATCGTTTTCATCCAGACAATATTTGGTTAGATTTATATACCATAGATTTATAAAGAATTATAGAATTGTAGATTTATACGATTCAATTCAGACCACTCTTGCAATCTCAAACTTATTCCGAAAGACAGAAATGGAATATCGATAAAGCCATCTTATCCTAAATCCTCGTACTGTAATATGTTAAAAAAAAACCTCTTTCTTCATGGAACTTATATAACTGGGCAGTAAACTGATCTCTTTCCTCGCCGTATTCTTCATCAGTGCTGCTCTCGCTCGCTGAAGAGCTACTCTCAGCAGAACTGTAAAAAAGATCGCATTTAAACATAAAAGCTGATAATCGCAGTAATGCTAACGAAATATCAATCATTATTTTATTTAATATAATTAAAAGAGAAATTTGACGTACGTCTTCTTTTCTATTTCCCGTTTTGTTTTTCCGGGAGGTTCCGAACGTTTTTTATGATCAATCGAAGAAGATCTATGCTCACGTTTTTTTGATCGCACATCATCATCATAAATTTGTGATCTTTCCCATCCCGTAGGAAAAATTTCTAAAAAACATCCTTCATTAACTTAGCAAATCATTTGAACGCAAATATTGAATAAAAAATTCGTTACACGTTATAAATTTACTTACCCTTTTCAACGAAAGCGAGAGCTCGATCTACAGCAGCTTTGGACGATGAATCAGGAAACCTGACAACTGAAGTGCCCGGTGATGACAATTTACTTACCGGACAAGCAAAGCTAAAAAATTAAGTAGTTCAAATGAAAGAATAAATTAATTGCCGTTTTACCTTATGACATAATTGGTACATAAACGTGTGAGGAACTTGAAAAATCTCGATAAAACTGAATTGCCAAAATCTGGACCTTTCAATTGTTCGTCACTGTAGTAGCAAAAGTCATAATACGTCAGCTATAGTAGCGCAAAAGCTACTTTAACCAAACAAAAACGATACCAGTCATCACATTGCTCAATCCATTCTTAGATTAGATGTCCGATATTCCGATTATTTATTTAAACAAATTTACAACAGTATTTAACAATTCATTTTAAATATTCCCCTAAGATGCTAATTAAAATGAGATTTTTTCCTTGAGTAATTGTTGAAACACTATAATTTTAATATTTGAAACATACTATTTTGAATCCTTGAAGCTTCGCAACAGAATATCACTTTTTCCAATGCTTATAGTCCCCTTTGTTGAAGCCCTGAATGGTACTTCAGCAACGACAACTGCTGGTGTCCACTTACCCTTACGTGCAACATCCTCATATACTGCCACAACACTTCCAACCTTATACAGCTAAAATGAAAGCCTCCATATTACTGATATTATCAACAACTCTGGAAAAAAATCGTAATAGATTGAAAATAATTTTTTGAATTGGTTTCCGCTCTCCAAGTGATTAAATCAAAATCAAAAAATTTAATTCCTATGAATGAAATTGCTGCACTTTGCTAGAAAAAAAAACAAGAAAAATCTTACCTTCTTTGCGTTATCAATATCTTTCGACTTTTTCTTTATTATCGGCTCCACTTCTTTGTCTCGAAGTCGTTGTCGCTTCCGTTCTCTCTTCCGGCTTGTGCTATTGCCACTTATCATTTTATCACTTGTATGGGACTTATCATCATCATTATCATCACTACTGCAATGCTTTTTTCGTGCACGTGTTCTTCCTTTTTCCTTATCTGTATCGTCAACTTCGTCATCGCCCTCATTATCACCATGATCATTATCATCATCATCACCACCATAATCCTCATCAACATTACTGTCCTCACCATCTTTATTATAGTTATCATCATTGTCTTCACCTAACCTACTCTTACCACCAGTACTATTTGGTTCTTTCATACGTTTCAACGCATCCGTGGCAACTGTTGCTGCATAACGCTTCCTACGTGTTCGTGCAATAGATTTGGTGAGGATTTTATCGGCAATCATGCGCGAAACCGACGGTTTTGGTAGGCGCGCAAAACGACGCATTTTCGAACTGCTCGAACCGTTGCCATCATCATCATTATTATTGTTATCGTCATCCTCATCATCTCCAATTTTCAAATCACAATTACCATCATTCTGTTTGTAGAATGATTTGAACTCCCTACGCGCACTGCGTAAGCGCCTTGGAACTGATTTTGTCGCTAATCGACGTGTACGGAGCGTACGACCTGACTGTACAGGAACAGTTATAGCTTGATTGATGTTATTACTGGTATGAGATAGGGTAGTGCCAGAAATGGTACTTTCAAGTGAACCATCTTCGCTGGATGTCGCATCGTCATCATGCTCCCTATCATCTTCCTTATCTCCAACGCTTGCTGATAGCTGTCGTCGCTGCTGTTTTGACTGTTCCAAATTTCTCCTATGCATAAAATTCATTTACATAATACTCAAGGTGCAGTGGCATGCTGGATGCGCGCAGTGCATATTGACTAGACGAAATGGCAAGTCAACTTTTATAGTGCATATTATTGTTAACACACTTTTAATTCTCTAAAACTAAGCATTGATGCTGGGTTTTTGTCCAAAAAGAAAATAAAAAGAAAAAGCCTGTCTTTGTGCAAATTGTGAACTGACGATGTTATTTTAGATGAAATCTATGCAATGGAACTAGGTAGCACATTTCAACAATTTAGTTAATACAGCAAGCTATTTCGAAAGTACGATGATAGAATGATACAATTTGCGCTATTGGAGAATATGCAAAATAATTCGTCGCCTGGAGAAAAACATTTTAGCCTAGATACATTACTGTCCTAATCTCAGTACCAAAAAAGAGATGTTCGGAAGAGCAAAGGATATTTAAGCTGTTTACCAAACACTTGCAAGGCTAGCACTTGGAACACTTGGAAAGATACTCAAAAATTTTGTTGTGATCAAAATGACAACAATCTCTCATATACCGTTTTGCACGCATGCCTCGTTATCTATTTGTTCTATTCTTCTCTACCCCCTAAGCAACCATATATTCATGCTTCAGACGAATGAAAAAGATCCGGTAGTTTCACGCGAGAAATGACGTAAGAAATGCGTGCTCCGACAAGTTCCAATACTGGCAGTTATGTGGTGCTGTGGTATGGTTCACCAGGTGCAAAATAAACATGTATTTTGCATGATGCGAAAAGACAGCATAGTCATACAAAAGTAAAATGGACGAAAAGAGCAAAATCAGCTTTTGCAAAAAATATACAAAGTTGAAATTTTATTGATCGAGCAAAACAATGATAAGAAAGAGGAAGGGAATAGGAAATAGGATGACTGATGTCCTTCAACTGTCCTAAAGCAGAGGAAAAGGGAGAAAGAGAATCAGAGGAAGAAGGTGAACGAATGTGTGACGGATATTTTCTAACGAAACCTACTTTCTTCCGCCATTACACTTCTATAATTTGATGATGATATTCTTTTACTACGCGATCGGATAAGACGAAATTGAATTTTTCATCTTTACTATACTCCGTGATTTAAAGGTAAAATAGAAGGGAAAAGAAATATCGAAATAGTAGGAAAACGAAGGTCGAGACGCAGCCAACATGAAGAGAACTCCGTGAAAATGCTGTTGAAATGGAGAGACGTAGGGATAAAAGCCTTCTTATTACGAACAATGCATCACATATATTGTTAACAGGAAAGAAAAGCTACACCAACGATGAATACTTATGAAGTCAGGCAGCATCAATACAATGACAGCCAGCGTACGTCCTTGACAGAAATAAATACCAACACGATTTACAATGACGATCTTTCAGTCTTCCTACTCAATTTTTATCTTCCTCCTTTGCGTAATTAAATAAGGTATGACAGTAATGAATTTGAACCAGCTACTGTGTTTTTTATTTCAACCATTGATTTCAAAGAAATCGGTGGTATCTGTTGTCATATAAATGGAATTTCAGGATATGGCTAACGTGTCATAGGTGCCAACTTCTACACAGCGAAAAAAGACTCGAAGGTAGAGTGCGTGCTTCATTTTAGATTTTAAGACTTTGTGCTATTGTTTTCTCTCTTTTCATTCTTATTGTTTTTCAATCAATTGATGAAAAATTCGACTAATACTATAAATGACGTAAAGGTGACATAAGTCATTAAAGACTTCCCGTTGCTTAAATTGTAAATTTTTTATAAGCGAGTCAGGATGTGATGTCAATATCCTAACTAATTAGGATGATGCTATAATACAATTGATTCATGTCGTGTTAATTCAATCTGTCCCATAAATTACTTTGCAATATATTTGAAATTGATAGAAAAAACCTTTTTTGTTTTCCTTTTCGATCGTCAAGAACTACTGGACTACTAAATGATTCCGGTTTGTAAAGCGGCATTGCATCCAAATTGACATCTTCATTAAAATGTTTCGCACCTTTGATGCACACCTGTGTACGCCGTAATTGTCTTTCGTCGCCATCGTTAAAGACTAAAATTTTATCGTCAGTAGGAAGTACTTGGATCCTTTTAGCTAAATTTACAGCCTTATAATCGTCCAGAAAAGCAATAATTTTGATTTAATTTCCAACAAAAATAGATTATCGTATTTTCAATTTTCGTGATTTATTCAATAAATGTGGAAATTGTAAAATTAATGAATAACACGAAATCAATTGCAGAAATACTTACCAACCACGTATATACTGTTATCTTTAATATTTTGTATAATGCCCTTATAAGTCGCTTTCCCCTGAACAATTTCAACCTGTTGATTAACTTCCAAAGAACCCTTTATTTCGGTATGATCGGCAAATATGGTACCGTAAGGCGGTGTTTTCAGCAAGATCTACAAATTACAAAAAAAATAACCCTGTATCTTTATTCCAAAAGTAATAAGGAAGCTAAAAACTGATAGCGATCAAATATAGCCAAATTATGTAAAGCCTCTCTTCTCATTAGAAATGAACTTCAAAAGGGTCAAGAAGGATCGGATCTTTTTATACACATAACATATTCGATCTTTGCTCTGCGTATACATGAAAAAGATTTAAAAGAATGTACACAGAAACATGGAGAAGCTTTAATTTTAACAATGAAACTTCATATAAAATCTTTAGTACTATTAACTTACTTTACATTTTACAGATTTCGTCATACGTTTCACTTTAGCTTCGCAAAACGCCCCCTTAAATTTGGCGCTCACTTCAGTGCCAACAGTTAGAAACGGAGGGTCATCGGACTGAAAATATAAGTTTTTAGTCTGTATGAAACAACAGTGCTATCTATTCACAAAAATTTCCATAGTCTCGAAACTGACATGTTTAACCGTTTATAAGCACCATGCAGTTTTTGAAATGACTACCATCTATATATATGTGTATATGCATGAATCCATATCTGTTCATTAAGGGAGAGTATTCAGGTGTTACTTAGCTCAGAAACAAATTTAATCAAATTTTGGAAAGATTTTGATTGGAATGAAAATTGTGCAGAGTAGCATTCAAATAATTTTTAAAACACGAAGCAAACAAATCACCTGCATTACTGTTTATAAAGTACCCAATATTTTGTTATGTGTAGCACTACATGCAAGTATTCTGGAATCAGAATAACTCGAAAACCTTGAAGTCGGTGATTAATCAACCCGAAAAATTACAAGTGTAGGAGGTTTTAAACCTGAAATAACGCAAATATATTGAAAGCATGCTTGACAGCACTGGAAATTTGATGGTTTGAAAAAGTAAAGATGAAAGATAAAAAGACGAATAAAGAGGAAATGGGTAACGATAAAAAGAAAAGGATGGATTCCTGTGGAAAGTTATGGCATGTCTAATTGAAATATAACTTAAGCAAAATCTGTATCGAACAACTAAATGCCAGAAACACATGAAAGAGTAAATATGTAATAAACAAGCACGTAATTAATTAATTAATTAAAGCAATTAGGAAGGTGATAGTGCGTAACCGACCCGAGTACAAATAAGCATAAAATTAGGTAAATGAGTTTGCAATCAACTGAAATAACTAGCAATATAATATAATAAAATCGTCGAAACACACTCCACCATGACTACAGCAAGAAGTAAGATGGCATATTTGAACCCGCCTTCGACGACATGACCCTGAATCTGCCCGTTATGACTTACCATTTCAACGCTATTGCATGCAGCAGCAATGCAAATCTCGATCTCATGCAAACTATTTTTATAATTCAGTTGGCATATTGGGAAATATATTCGAACTATGTAGTTTCCGGATGTGGTTGCGGAAAATACGATATAAAAATCTTGTTAACTACAATATATAACTTGATTTTATTGAGCAGTATTTTCTTTTCAGCATCCAGTAATACAATACTATTTCGAATGAGAGCTATATCGTTTTCTCGTTTTATAAACTGGCCGAGACCGCTACAATTTGTCATCTCTACATATCCTGTCATTGGTAAACGTACATTTACCGTTGTATGTAACAATCCTCAGTCGACAATACATGCTAACGTGCGAAATGTACGTGGACGTCATGATACATCATCAAGCAGTGAAGGCAGATCATTATATTCATCGGAAGCATCAAATAATTGGAACAAGTATCAAATTTCTAACATTTCCTTTTGTCATCGTATAAGTTGTTTGCCAATTTAGTTAAATCATTTTCGCCACGTTTGTGAAACGCTGCCTTGTCGGACAGTGAACCATTAGGCTTATGCATTTGCTGATTAAATTATCGGCAGATAACTCGATAGTCCTACTCGCTGCTAACAAGGTGACTTTATTTTGCTATCGTAAACTTTTAAGAAATTAGATTTACGATGAGATGATCATGTAAGTTTAACTAACGCATTAACATGCCGATGATATCATATAGATCGTTCTTGTAAAAAGGAATCTTAAGGGGAATCTATACCGTTAATGTTGTCACTGCTAAAATTAAATGTCCGTTGAGAAAGAAGGAAGTTTTCTTTATAAAAACAAATAGGCAGTATGGTTCGAAAATTATGAACTTACGTATACAACAGAACTTATGTCTTATAGACTAATTTGACCGTATTGTTCAAATTATGAATTCATGGCGGTAATAATAAGATACATTTTGTTTCAGTTTCGCAGGAAATTATTCCTGTTCAAAATCATCAAAATCCTTGTTTACTTTCGTTATTTCTTTCAGTGTTCCAGTTGTCAAAGCTTTCGCACATGTCCCAAATAATTCAAACTATCCGATTATAGCAATTTATTGGGATGATAGCAGTAAATGTAATCGATTCAAGGTATTCTCTTGTCTTTATTCAATCCAAACAATTCTGGAACACTTCTATATAAGTTAAAACTGACAAGGCTTTCGTAGTTATTGTCAGATTATATGAATATTCATGACCAAAAAACCCAAACTCTGTTACATCCGATAACACTTTTTTCTAGAAGCAACCAGGAAGATCGATAACAAAGGCTGAAATTGAAGTCGTGTGCTTAGCACTGAAACAGGTATGTTATTCTTCGATGTATATCAACTTTCTGTTCCAACAAATTTTACCGTAACTTTATCCTGCTTCTGCTGATGGAAGTAAGGTTTGAAGTCGTGCTTTTGGTTGTTACTTGGTTTTTAGGATTGCAGCATTGCAGGCAGTTTTTCAAATGAATTTGCCACGCGTCCATATTGTTACCAATTCGAAATTTGTTTGGAAGCATTTTGGTAAAATATCATTATGGTGGAGTCTGGATGAATTTCTACAGCAAAAGTCGATGACCTTCAGTTCCTGCTCCGCCGAAGCCCAAGATCTATACCGGTTATTACACATGATCGATGTATGAACACATCAGTTCAGCGTTGTACTTTTGCGATTGTCCAATTTCCAATGTATTTTTATCGAGACTGAATCTCTTACATATTCTTTATCATCAATTCAGTCTCAACGATCTCCCCATTTATAGAAGTAGGTTCAAACCACACTGAAACAACCATATTTTATCGGTAAATTAACATATGAAAAGAACGAAAGAATTCGAGTGAATTCTTCTTTTGCATTTATTTAAAATTGTGAGAGTGATTGGACAAACTTTTTAGGCAACGATCGAATACAATTCTTCCACTAAAGAAACAGCTAAGAAATTTTTCGAAAATGTAGTGGGCAAGGAAGGAAGCAGGGGAGTATCTGATATAATTCCCGAAAAAAAGCTCGCTTCAGAAACCTTTTCATCTAAAACAGTTTTATCGAAATTGCAGAAAAGCGCTGATAAAAGTAACTCTTTTGTACCACTTTATTATACAGTAATTACAAATTAATAACAGTGGAAATTTATCTTTGTTGTTAGATCAGTAACACTATGTAAAACAAATTTTTTCTGATTTGGTTTTGATTTTACATCATAAATCCCCCAGAATTGCTTTCTTTCAATGATAGCAAATTTCCAACCAACGAAATTGCGGTTTGTTACTCTCAACATTGAATGGCCGCATAATTGTCGTAATTTCTGACTATTATTATGTTGCACTTCATTATGTTATTGCATTAATGATCTTCATCCGCATAATTTCAGGTTTATTTGTATCAGAAACGTCGTCCGCAGCAGACTCGAAAAATTAGTAAGTGTGAAAATTATTTAGAAGTCTAATTAATCTTCACCAAGAAAATATTCATTTTGGATCTTGGAACATTTTGAATTTGTTTGGCGAACTAATTCATCTTTCTAAACTGTTTCTTTCTAGTGCTTCCAAAAATCTGTTGGGTGATAGTATTCCCATTGTCTATACATGTGGCGTTTTGCATATCGAAGGAAATGAAAAAAAGTACGTCAAAGCAGGTTATGGTGTTTATTGGCCACATGCACTAGAGCTGGGTACTGGAAAACGTTATAATTTTTATCCAGTTACTTTGGTTCGATGTCAATTGCAAGCTATAATTGACGCTCTTCAACAGGTGACATAATTTCTAAATCTATGTTATTTTTTTCATTTGACACAAGTTTAAACCACTTGAAGATATTTATAGTTCTCCTTCAAGTTATGTACTGCAAAATGCTGCAGTCTTATTCAAAAAAGATTTTTAGGCTGTGGATCAAAATTACCATAGTATTGTTCTTCGTACTGACAGTGTCTCTTTTTTGGTTCACCATTCACGTCAGTGGTTGAAAGCCAATGGTTCTTATGTAAGGTATCACGATCAATACGTCAGAATCATGGATTTATGTAAAGACATCAAAGTATGATTTTCTTCACTTTAAATATATAAATCTGATGAAAATTGAAAGTATATGATGGAGGAGATTTCTTCATTTGCAGCATTGTTGCTTTACTTTAAATATCCGTGATTTTCGGGTCTTCTTTCATATTTCTATTTTAATTAAAATTTTAGGTAAGATTTCAACCAGCAAGCGATCGAGTTGCTTTAAGTCAAGCAGAAGCACTGGCTGAAAATGGTATTTGCTTACCGACACCATCCAGAAGGTCCCAAAAGAAAATGTACGATAACAAAACTTCATCTGCTACGGATATCAAATGTTCATTGTAGCAGTTACATTGCTGTAATTGTCTACTATGTGATCATTATTTGATTTGGATCATTACTTTTGTACATTGTTTGAGTAGCAAATAACATAAATAAGCTTTAAAATTACAATTATTAAAGCTGTGCTTGCGTCTTTTATAAACCTTAATGCTCGAAGTAAAGCGTAGCACGACCTACGCACAAAATTTGCATTACAACTTGCGCATTACGAAAACTGGAAAGATAGACAATGAGTTGCTGCAATTTTATATATCACTTTTATCTTGTTGGCAATCTTAACTCGAAATTTGGAAGAGATATGAACAAATGCTGGCGATGTTGAGAGTGTTTAAATAAGCCTATTATTATTATTTTGGAGCATTATTTTGCTAACAGTAATTGGAGTGGGTTGTTCTGTTATGATGGGAACAGAAGAAAGGAGAGGGCTGCTTATATCTCGTCTTTTAAATCATTCCTTGCACTTAAGATTGATGAAATCTATTTAAGAAGTTTGATTTCGAAATTGAATTCAGCTTTTTCCGAAAATTGTGAAGACTTGGGAATCAGTTCTTTGAGGTTTTCATTTATGACTAGTTCAAAAAATTGGTATTAAGTGGCATTAAATCATTCAACAATTGGGTGTTTTGATTCGCATCATAAATTTTATTATTAAGTGGTCAGGACAAGAAATATTTTTAGGACGACGAACACTTAGGTCAACTAGCAAAAAAGGAAGCAGCACAATTGAAAACGATGAAGAAAAAAATTAACCGAGGGATGAAAAGCGAAAATAGAAATGTCGAAAAGCAAGGTAAGAATTATGCGGTGATTGTGATCTCTAATGTGTAAAAAAAGGATTCAGAATGTCCTGATCATCATTTTTCAATCTCTTATTTTTTCCTATTTGGTTTAATGATACTATTCATTTCAAACAATTCAAAACTGTAAAAGGAATAAGGGAAGTAGGACTGATATTATAGTCAAAATTCAACAATGGCAATATGTGAAGCTGACTTTAGTCGCTATAACTTTTATTAGATATAACTTTTTTGTTAGGTATAACTTTTAGCTTTACTGGGAATAACTTTTTGACTTCATATTTCTAAAATTGTACTTTCAGATGATACCACGCAACAGTCACGAAATTCATCCAGTGAGAAAGCGGAGCAAAAAGTAAGTGATATTCTGGCACTTAAGAGATTTTTTGAATTTTAACAATGAAAGAAATGCTTCCAAGTCTAAGTACTATGTCACTCAGGCAGTTTTTATCTCTACGTAAAAGTGCATTATGCGTTATTTTGATTAGATCATAGTTCATCAATCAACAAGTGTTTTCACTATAAAACCAAGGTCGAAATTCGTCTAAAAACTTTCTGAACAATTTAGCCAAATGTTGAAATTTCGAAAATTTTTTAGTGAGATGATAATTAATATTTTCCAGTTGACTAATTTATACAAAAACAATAATCGAACAATATATATGCTAAGATTATCCTACTTGTTTTGATGCACACTTACATTGCCATGTAGTAATGCGTGCTGCGTTAAAATAGTTACTCTTTAATATCATTATGCAGTTTTGCAGAAGCGAGCACTATCTAATCAAACTGCGTTAAGTGTTCTCTTGAATGGTATAGGTAAATATCCACTATAGTATGTATTGCAGATTACAAATATGAATAGTGTAGATAATTTATGATATGATAAGTTATTACTTGATGATACAAAATCAAATCTTATTTTCTTTGAATATCAGGCGATAATCATAGATTGATAATTACCTATCCGAAATAGCCAATTTCTAGTATTATTGAAAAAAAAAACAGTCTACTGAATGGTGTAAATTTACTTTTGCAGCTTTGTAAAGGTACTGAGCAGTCGAAAGATTTGCCTTCTATCTCATCATCAAGAATTTCCAGTATGCTTTTTCTGTTTTAAATCTAATATTTTACACTGATAGGCAATATATCAAACTTTAGGAAAGAAGTGAAATCTTGAAAAGGATGAATGGAAATGGTGAAATAGACTGGCATGAAATTTTACTTTTCAAACAAGTTCAAAAAGTTTATTGTGATAAAAATATATTTAAAATTGACACTTAATTAGCAGCATTGATTGTTTACTAAAATTAATGTATGATTCGAGTGGTTACAATTAGCAGTTGTTTCGTGAACAATTCATTATTCACTGCATAGAATTTCATCAATTCTAAACAATCATTCGATTTTAATCAATTGGCATATGATTAACATTATCTTTTGAATTTGCTAACAAAAATTGAACATTTATTGTTAAAATTAAATAATTAGCAATAATTATAAACAATTTATACTATCGTTTTTAATTATCGGCTGCAATTAAATACAGAAAAAATTAATATGCTGGAAATTATTTTCGATAACACTAAATAAAGAAGTAAAAATTTGTTTGCGACGAAAATTACATTGGAAGCTGAAATCAAAAAGATTTTATTTTTCTTTTCTCATCGATTAGTTATGCAAATATTATTAGAAATGGATAATTTCCAAAGAAAAAATACTTGCATTAATTATTTTAGCATTTAAAAAAAATTGAAATGCTTTTGCAGGCGCACCTGAACAGAGTGAAATGTCATGTGAAGTTTCGGATAAAGATACTACTGATGTCAAGGTTCGTCTTTAATTGTATTTGGTAAAGATGGAAAATAATAAAACTAAATTGTTGATAATAATTTACCATAGAGCATTTTAATTTCATTATAATCAATTTTAATTATAGGAATAGTAATGATTATAATTTTGTATTATTAATTATGAAATAATGTTTCAGGAAAATCCATCTTTTGTAGCATCGGAAATGAATCCTTCAACAATTTCTACATCCATGTCAAGGTTTCTTTGGTTTTAATTTTAGAACGAACTAAGATCATAGGAAAACTTGTTTGGGATTAGGTGTGCACAATATAAAGGCTGAAAATAACACGTTTATAAATCAATGCCTGTAATCTTTGGAACTTTTTTTCAAGGTTAAAATATCGAAAATCTTTTTATCAAAATTCTTATCGTAAAAGTTCTGTTTTTATAAGAAATATTGGAAAATAAGAAAAGATTTTTTGCCTTGTTTATATAATATTTCACTGTTTAGCAAAAGTTCTAATTAGAAAATTATTTGGTATGGCAAGAAACAAAAGCAAAAACAAAAATGCATGCATATTTTTTTAAAGAACAACAAAAGTGAATGAAATTAATGAAGCTGTGGAAGAAATTTGTCCAAGGGTATATTATGGAACACTTACATACGAACGCTTAAATAGAATTAAGAAATATTTCACAAAATCTCAATTATTTACACTATATGAATCGGTTATTTCATCTTCTGTTACTTTTACTAATTGCTTCTATTCAATATTTAAATGAACAAAAATTTTGCTTTCTTTAAATTAACTTTTTCATCTGTATTTGAACAAAATTTTTGCATAAAAATTTGAATTCGAAGGATGCATTTGAATGGATAATTAATAATACGAAAGCAATCTACAAAGATCCGATAAATGCATCGAAGAAACTATGTATTGCTTTTGGTAATCGAACTGTTCCAATTGATTTCGCTATAAAGGTTTTATTTATAATTTATATTCTTTTAATTAATATGGAAAAAATTAATGTTTGTATTCATTTTTTTTCTTTATCGCACATTTCATAAAATGTCTTTTTTGGGGAAGAAAATGTTAGCATTGATTGATTGAATATTGATTGATCAGTGCTATCGATATTCATTCATTAAAACATTGACTGATTAATGGAATTCAAAGAAATGTAGCTATTTAAATATCTACATCAAACTGAATAATTCAATGATAAATTTGCCTTAAATTATTCAGTTTAAGATATTGAATAAAAAGACAAAATAAGTCATTTTAGTTTGATAAAATAAAGTATTAGTGTAATAATATAATTCCAAGATTTAACTGAAAAAATATCTTAAATTTTACATAGATTGCTATAATTAGAAAATTTTGGAAACCATATATTTAAAATAATAATGAAAATAAGCCAATGTCTTTGACTATTAATTATTTAAATCATTTTAGGCTTTTCAGCCATTTGTCGAGAATCATGCAATTCGTATGACAGATATGATAAAATATTGCTCATATGAGGGGCGTAACGAAATAACAATAAATGAATTGTCGCAAATATTAAAATGCCTAATTAAAATGAATATTAAGCATGCCTTATATAATAATTCTGATCATATCGCATTCCTAAAGTGATGCCACATCAAAATTCTTCTCGCACATATCATCTTTGAAAGCATTATATCTTCAATATTCTTAATTGCTCATATTTATTATTCAATGTTATTTTAAAAATAAAAATTAAATATTTCTTTTTTACAAGGAATAGAAATTTCCTTACGATTGAAAAAAGAAATCAAAATTATTTCATTAGATTAGCAAAATGAAAGATGAGAATAAATATGAAATCTATGATACTGTAACACTTTATCTATCCTCTATCATTATTGAATGAGAGAAGATGGATGGCTTTTAACAGAAAAATATGTCAATAATGAAATTTTATTTTTAAACAAACATTTTTAAATTTTTATTAGATAACATAATTGTTACATTAGGTAGCATAATTATTAGTATGCTTATAGCATATCAATATTGTAATTCAAATAAAAGATCAAATTTTTCTTAATTTATTGATAAAACACTCATGTTCTCTTTCGTCATTTTTTCACATTTCAATGGGATTAAGCATATATTAATTCTAATTAATCAGTATATTAATTATAGTTAATCAATATATTAATTATAGTTAATCAGTATGTAATCAGTTCATTTACAAATAATCATTCACATTAATTATCGATTCATTTATATATACATATATACTTGAAAAGAATTGAATATCGTATATATATTTTATTCAATTAGTATATATATATATATATATTTTGAACAGTTTCAGTGGGTTATAAGTGTTTTTGTGTACGGATTATGTATCAGCTATTTTACTACATATCATCTGGTAGTGCTTCTTCCATTGTTTTACCTGAAATTTAATAATTGGAAAAAATTTCCATTTCTTTTGATGATAATGAAAAAAAGATTAGAAGATCAAGTTGAAATATATTATTGAAGTGAATTATCATTTCATTTAAAATTAATGACAATTTTAAGTGGGGAACAAATCTTACTTTTCTTCTTTTTCTTCTTTTTCGTCTTTCTATCTCCTCTCTCGCTTTCTCCTGAATTTAATTTTTCTCTTTTTTTCTTCTCAAAAAAATTAAAATTTATAACTATTTAAATGAAGATTTAATAAGATGATAAAATGTTTATATTGCTTTCTTCCTTACTCTTTTTGGAACTTTTCTTCTTTTTACTTTTACTTTTTGACTTCTTTTTCTTTTTCTTCTTTTCACCTCTGCAATAATCAGATCAATAATTTCTGATTCTTAATCGATTGATTCGCCAGAAATTAAGCCTAAATATTTCAAAGAAATTATTTTTAAATGGTGTAACTTACGTGACAAGTCCTTTCTCCAGTGCAGTATCGGCCGATGTTTCTCCAACTCGGAAAGCAGCAGGTTGATTTTCCTCCTGATTTAACGTCGCTGAACGAAGAGCGGTAGCACCAGCATGTGTTTCGCCTTCTGGTTTTTCATTATCTGAAGGTCCTAATCGGCTCCCAGTCGAGCCGGAGCTTAAGGTAGAAGCAGCTGTTAATGCTTCAGCTGGCACTTCCTAAATTATTTTCCTTTTAATACTTCACCTTTTCTGATGTATACCTTTAAACCACATAAACTATCCAACTTCGCAAATTTAAATTAAAGTAGTGAATGAAGAGAAGTATTTCTTATTTTACTTTTTCTTTAGTCTTAAAGACTAACAATTAGACGACGAAAAGGTTGCATTATGCTGTCAACAGCTACCTAAAATGGCAATTCTTTGATCTTTTTAATTTGATGATTTCAGTAAATTGCCATGCAAAGAGTATACAAATTAATTCCCTTTTTTAAATTTCTAATTTTGACTTGATAAATACTCCTTGTAATTATAGAAATATTTTTTACACCTGACAGCTAGCAATATTTAAAATAATTGATAACGCATGTTTAATTTGACAATTTCTAAAATTTTGCAAATAATGGTTGAATGTAATTTCAACCTTTTGTCCTAGTTTATATTGTGTTGGAGTAGTTGATTTAGTAGAATTTTCCACTCGTATCTACAATTCGTTACTGATAGTGGCTAGTCGTTTTAAAATGACTTATCTTAATGAAATAATAACTGAGCTAAAATTATTCATTATTATTTAAAAGGTAAAATTTATGTACATATCTCAAATTAGTTAGCCAAATTAAATTGAGCTATTTTGTTAAGTTGTAAAAACTAACCTTTTGTTTTATAACTTTTCCAAATGATTCTAAAGCTTTTTCTTGCAATGCATCGCATGCTAAAAGAGACCAATTGTTGACAGCTGCTCTACATGCTGGCTATAAATGAATCATTTGTTAAATAATTGAAAAAAAAAATTATTACTCAAATCAATAATGGAGTACACAAATTGATTAATTAATATAATAATTAAGCTGTAATTAATGAAATAATTGAACGATATACTTTAGTAGAGTAAAAATAAAAAGCGCCAATAGCTGCCATAGCTATAATAAATGTTACAAATGTCATCAATTTCTTTACAACCGTCCTATCACAAATAACTAAATTAAAACAATGCAACCATATGCTATTTTCATTTTCATTTTATTGCAAAAAGAAAAAAAATTTTTTTTTAAACTATTTTTTCCTTTTTTATTGTTTTAATTTAATTTGCAATTTTAATTTTAATTTTATAATGCTTTTAATTTACAATTTTAATTTTTATTGCCTTAATTTAAAACAATGGAAAAAATAAATTATTCTATATTCATGAAATATTCATGATAATAAATTTTAGATCAGTGATTTAAGTGATAAGTTTTTATGTAATATTGTTAACGTTAAAGTTTCAAAACAAAACATTAAGAAAGTTTTTTTGAGAAGGAAAATTGCTTTTTTCTTATATTTAAATTTTAATTATTTATTTTAAGTAAAAATGTTATTATTGAAAATAATAAAATGCAATTTTTTTAAAAACGAAATAAAATTTAATTTATCACACGGCACGATAAGACAAAGCATCTATGATAGTGAGAATGATTAATTAGTATTTATAATGCATCCAAAACTGAGACAATTTTTGTATAAATAAAATTAAAGAGAAAATATATTTAAATTAATATTACAAAAATTGAATAAAAGAAAAACGAAATTTAACGAAATTGCAAATGGAAAAGAAACAAACGATTGTTAAGATATTTTAAATTCTTTGAAATTTGCTTTGAATGAATTTTTTCATTTTTATTAATAATTTCTAAAAAATATAAATCAAAAATTTTATTTATTCAATTTGTCAATTGCTTGAATAATTGAATTTCTTTTAAAATTATGCAAATTTCTTATTAAGAAAGAGAAAGTGTTTGATTGTTTTTTTCATTGTAAAGTAATAAAAGAATAAAAGCTTGCTATAAATATTTTTTTGTAAATAAATTATTACATATTAATCTAATTTTTATTCATCAAAAATGTATTCCTAAATTTTTGAAGCATTTTAAAATTGTACAATTTCAATATTTTCCATTTATTTCATTAATTAGCATATATAGCTATTATCCATTCTCTAAATAAAACAATAGATTGCTTTTAAAAATTTCGCTTATTATTTAGTGTCAGTTCAAAAATTTTTTGAAAGCACTTATTTTCATGATTATCACAGGAAATGTTATAAACAATCGGAAAGAAGAAATTTAATAATTTAATTTGATTTAATTTCTCAAAGCTTAAAAAGTTTGGAGAAAAAGAAACTCTCATCCTAATTCATATTACTACATGAAAATAAAAATTAAAAATTGTATAATTTCAATGGAAATTAAAAATTAAATTAAAATTTATATTGGCTACAGTAAGATTTCTATCAAAAAAAATTAACGGTTGTATTATTATCAAAATTAATGAAAAGAGAAACAAAATACAGTAAACATAGAATGAGACAATTGCATTATCTATCATCACTATATCACAGATGCCAATAAAATCTAATCAATTCATTCGTATTCTATTATAAATTATATGAATTAATAATGGTTGCCTACAGTAGAGTATTTTGATGAATCATTACAATAATTTCATTCCTGCGGGGGTCATTCATTTCTTCTTCTAGCAAAAGCTTACTAAATACTATTTCCAATACCAATCATTTATTTGAAAAGATTTTATCTTATCTGATAAATATTGAACTTACCATACAGCATATCGAATAATATTGCATTTTTATCAAGTAATAAATTACGGTATGAAGTAGTCAAAAAAATACCATACAAGATTTGCAAATGATCGTCCTTACGACTTTCGCATATCACTAAATCATCCAACGAAAAGAATATTACAATTAAAAGCTATCATAAATAATTATCATTAATTATCATTATAAATGATAATTAATTAATTATTATAAATCATTTGTAATCACTGGTTCATGAATTTCCATGGATCGGCAGTTGCGGCATATGTTGCAGCGCTCGTCGGATATTGAAAATATTCCATTGGTGTTGGGACAGTCGCTTGATAACCTCCGTAGCCTACAACTACTGACGCTGACGTGTAATCGAGTTTTTTTATTTATTTTTCAATATTTATAGCAAAAATAAATAAATTAAAAAGAAAAATAAAAAATCATCAATTAATTAGTGCTAAAAAAATTTCAATTAAGCTATTAAAATAATCTTTTTTAACATTCCGGCTGTCTATAAAATAAAAACAGATCTCATACTTTAGGCCTCTCAATTAGTTATTCATTTTTTGGCTATCTTTATAATTTGGCTATGCTTTATAATTTGCTTTTGCTGAAATTTAAGAAAAATTAAAAATTTGAAAAAATAAATTAAAAACTTACCATATCCTTGCGGAAAAGTTGCCTGAGATGTATATGCTGTTGACGGTGAAATAGTGCCAAAATACGGTGGCGGCAAGACAGTTAATTTGGATGAATCAATCTCTATCGGTGATGTCCTTTGTTCTGATGTACCTGTTTCGCTTCTTTCTGTTTTTATCTAAAATTCTTTTTACTCAAAATAAAATTTTTCCATTAACAAAAATGATTTCATTTTGCTTTCCAATTGTTATATGGATGTTAAATATTCTAATTATAATAAGGAATTCATTCAAACTTCAACACTGCAAGCATTAGTATTCCGGACATCCGCAGAAGCAGTTTTACTGGATGAGCTACCATCACTACTGCACGCCGGAACAACATGCAACGCAACTTCATGTTTCGTCGCTTTCTTTTGCTGTCGAGCTTTGGCACGACGATTTTTAAACCATACCTAAAGTTTTTGATGAAATTGAATAATTAATCATATACGAAATTATCTAGTCGAATCATTAAATCAATTAGTGAGCTTTAAATGAAAGAAGTAATGGTTTAAAAAGTTGTAGAAAGAAAAGGAAAAACTAAAAATCTGGCCTAGGTTTTTGAATTTCGATTTAAACTTACTTGAACACGTGATTCTGGTAATTGAATTTTCAACGAAATTTCCTCACGAATGAATATATCCGGATAACGAGTTTTAGAAAAGTAATTCTCAAGAACTTCCAGCTGTATTCGTGTAAATGTTGTCCGTTCACGGCGTTGCTTTCTGAAATTTATATTAAAGCAAGTGATAATACTTGAAAATCATCAATTATATTCAATCTGTATTGATATTACTATTTTACTTTGTCAGACAAAGAATTTCTTTAAAACATTCCCAGTAACAATGAAAATATCAATTGGATCATATAAATTATAATATGAATTGAATTATATTGATTATCAGATTTCAGTTAATAATTGTGATTTCCTTACAGCTATCAATACTTTTTTTGGTACTTTTCTTGTACTTTTAATAAAAGTAAGAATTTTTTCGAAGAAAAGATAATTTTCAGTGAATTCTGGCATCAACTTTCTGCAGTAAATTACAGCTCAAAAAGGATATTTGTTATTAATAAGTTATGATTAATAAAGTATACTCCAAAGGTATTTTAAAATAATGTGCAAAAATTTTAAGATATATCAATCTTTAATAATATATTCGCGTTTCCATAAAATTGCAGAGGTTTAGTTTTCCATTAAAGAAATGAATATGATAAAACTGATTTTCTTAATCTTAGTATCAATTATATATAGTAATCTGCTTTCAGCGATAACAAGTTGCTATACCATATCTATTTGCTATAACCGTAAAAGTTCGTTGAAATAAATTAACATTAAAATTTCATAAGCTATAATCTCAGGAAGCTTCAACAAAGAAACAAAAATATCTTGCCGTACATTTAATTAGAATACATCAAGGAAATTAGTAGAATTCTAATGAACAAATGGATTAATTAAGTAGCTGGAAGTATTAAATTTTTTTCAAGCGATTGTATTTGTCCTTAGCAATTGATAATACCCGAAGATTAGTACTGATGAATACTGTGCAATTAGAAATGAGTTTTCTGAAAGCAGAGAAAAAAGAGAAACCAACCTTGCTGCTTGGCTAGCATTCCAAGCTGTTATTCCAGCCGTTTGACAATCTGCTAATGAATTTCCAATATAACCCATTCCGCCGGGTAAAAAATTGTGCGCTGGTGTTGCAGTAAAACCAAGTGCTGCACTTGGCATATGTGGTGCGGCTGCGTATGCACCATTTTTAAAGTATGCCGCAGCAGCCATATTTGCCGCAGAACTCATATTTGCCGCTGCGGCAGCACTGGTTACGCTCACCGTTGGAATATATGACATTTGCTAGAATTGAAGAAAATTTTAAAATTATCAAACAATCCTAATTTTAGTTGTAATAAAAACAACATAAAAATTGCATAGCGAAAATTCAAATACTGCCTTTTTATGAACAACGAATGAAATTATATTACAGAAGACCGGGATATAAAACCTGAATTTACACAACTCAATTGACATTTAGATTTATACATCCAAAATTTCATTTCGTATAACAATAATTCCAATTACCTTTTATTATTATGCATATGTAAATTGATATGAATTATTCTTTTTTTATTAAAAATCTATTGTTTCAAGAAAAAATGATTGCAATTTTGAGCCGCTTTAATTTCATATAACGGTGACTTAGTGATACATTTTATTCTCACAATTTTTAAACCGTTGTTTGTTTAAGAAATATAATTGAAATAACAACAATATTGAACAGTTAGAAAAAAGCGGATAATATCTCGTTGGCTATGGTAGAAGTGATGATTATAGTAATATTTATTCCGTGTAATTACCGTATGATCAATTACTCATATTCATTTGCAACTCATAAAATAAATATCTAATCAACTATATCAATTAGTCAATAAATATTCCCAAAAAACTGTTTGGATTTAAAGATGAAAAATGCTCTGATTAATTTCTGATACTTGAAATGATATTGATATGAGCAGTATTACTTAGTACTTTCTTATAATTGAAAAATTGAAAATTTATAAACATATTACTGAAAATGTGAAAACATCATCATCATCAGATAACTTTAATAATATACTGTGAAATGGGATACTGTATTTCGATGGCGTATATCTGGCAATGGCATTACGTGATACAGTAT